TGTCCACCGGTTCATCAGCATCCATGAGACACATGAACAAAACACAAAACATCAACTTCAAATGGTTGAAACAACAATTTGAATGTAAGCAATTCGATCTTCTCAACGTAGGAACCAGTTTCCAAGTTGCGGACATTCTTACAAAACCTTTTACCCGACCAGCCCTTTGGTTGCATGCCATTCATCTCATTGGCATTGGCCCGACAAAGGTGGAAGAAGCAGCAGCCCGCCACACAGCGGCGCCGAACTCCACTAAGGTGCCAAAACTTGCAACCGCTGCCGGGAATCAGGGGGGCTCCCAAAAGTCTTTTCAGCCCAGAATGTTGATCGAATTTTGCTGCTCTGATGATTCGAAGCTTAGCACCCCAAGAAAGTCAAATGAAGATTGCCACTGCATTAGGGTTACCGAAAAGGAAGATGGTACCACTATCAGCTGTCGGCAACGGCTAGCCTCCCAAGTCAAAGATTTCAGAAATGACTTCAATGACGGCACTTTGATACTTTATGCATCATTGCCCTGTGTCGGGGGTAGCCCATGGGGGAACGTCAATGGCCTTACTGTTGAGGGTCAAGAAAGAATCAAAGAGCAGCAAAAACAGTTTACCAAGTTGTTCAAATCTTTTGTCAAACTTGTGGACGAAGTTTATGATGAACGAACCTTGATAGCATTTGAACTGTCCAAGAATTGCAAGTATTGGAGATGGCCAATTGTTAGAAAATTCCTTATAGAACGATCCATGACTACTCATCACTTTGATGGTTGCATGTTGGGTGTTCTTGGAAACAACGGTCAACCAATGAAGAAAAGTTGGACCATTGCCGGAAACTTCAAAGAACTTGCGATGTTAGATTCCTTCAAATGTGATGGCAAACATGAGCATGATCAAAGTAGGGGCAAAGCTCTCAAACTTGCTGAGAATTACACTTTCAAGTTGACTGACATGCTCCATGAGTGTTTCCGGGTAGCTGTGGTGGGCCAAACATCCAAAAGGATTTCACCCGCTGTCATTCGTGCCTGTCCTGCTAAAATGGCTGACTCGCAATATGCCACAGCACACCCGGCCAGCCGCGAGGCTGCGCTCGAAGCCACACGTGAGGCTAACAAAGAAGCATGGTTTCTCCTTCACAATCGCATTTTGTTTGCATTGGCCATGCGCAATGAAGGTGAGACTCAGGCTTCTCAGGACCTTGTGGATGGATTGATGACCGAATGGACACCGGCCTCGGCCCTGAGGTTCTACGGTCGAGAGGATCCGCTTGCGGAATATCTTAGCTTCTGCTTTTTGCCAAAAGAGTCCCATATTGAAAAGATCATGTTGCCAAAGCTGCCGGTTAACCAAGTAATCTGGATTTTAGTCTCAGACTCGTCATGTGCACTGATCACAGGGCGTAGGTGAGACCGCGCCCTGGTCCGCTGACTATGGCATTCATCCGATTTTTGATCAGTTTTTCGATGCACTGGAACCCAAGTTCAAAGCCTTGACATGCAGCCCTCTCGGGCTTGCCAATCCCAATTTTCCATGGTTGCGTGCAAAGGGGTACGCCGATGCAATGGAATTCAGAGACCAGTGGCATTTCGCCAACTCTGAAGAAAATCGCACACGGCTCTTTGCGTACTGGACGGCAACTTTGTTTGCCATTGACTGTGGATGGCGGGTTGGCCGAATAGGGCTTGAGCTTGCGCAATGTGGCCAGGAAACATGGGATGACTTGCGAAGGAACATGAGCGCCGTCCTCGACGAGCTGCCAAGATCCTATCAGGAGACGGTCGCAAGCATCACCAAGTTGATTTTTGGAGAGTCCCGAAGACACATCACTCCGACGGGCAGGTCATTCACCAGAGAAGATGTGGAAGCTCAACAACCTGACACAGAGGATTACATCGATGTCAAGACGATGCCTCCTGGAACCTTTGCTGAGCCTCCCAAGGATGATCCTCCAAAAATGGCCGCCGGCGACGGCGAGCCCGCCACATCCAGCAGAGCATCGATCATGGTCAAAACAGCCGAGGTCTTGTTGAAGTCGCGACCGAAAGCAGCACCTGTCCCTGTAGCCGCAGCCGCGCCTGCAGATGACACAGGAGCCACTTCCAGCCAGTACCAGCCGCAGGCAACTGCGCGCTTAGAGGAACATGCATCTGGTCACGTGAGAGCATATTGGATGGAGGAGCACTTGCCCGAATACCAATATACAATGGTAACCAATGCAGACGGGGACGATGTACCCGGTATCCTTTTTGAAGGTACGGCTTACGAATTGGAACTTCTATCGCCATCCGACGTCGAGACCATTGCCAGCCAGACTCGCGTCGACAAGAAATTTTCTGATTTTGCAACCCGTGTCAATAAAGTTTGCAGGGGGCATGGATCCTGTGCCAAGGTGCCAATGGACAAAGACCTTTGGATTGACTTGGAGGATTTTGCCAAAGCCTTCCGCAAGGAAGTGCCCCCAGACGTTTTTATCACCGTCTCAAACCTTTTTGGCACCCTAATGAAGATCGACAAGCATGGCAAGAGTAGGTTCCAATTCTTGTGCGCAAAGATTTCCCATTTTCCTGTCGACAATGGCTTAGGCATGCCGTATTATCCTGTGAAAATTCGTGCAATCCAGGGTCATTCCCAAGCTGCCTTGAAGTCCGCCGGGGGTCTTTATGCCAACTCAATCATGGTGTATTGCTCAGACCAAGTCTCCCCCGAGCGAAAAGCCGCCTTCACTGGCGTGCCCGTGTGTGCCATGACTGAGGTCCCTGACGTTGTTTTCCATCGCACGATGAGAAGCAGCTGGAAGAGCATCGCACAGAATGGCCTGATTCCAGGCGGCGGTGACTCAGTCAACAGCGGCCGTGCCCACATCTACATGGCGGAGCACTGCATAGGCACACAGGGGTATCGATCTGGATTGAGAGCAAAATGTCCAGTCGAAGTCAAAATTGCAATGCGGCAAGCAGTTGAAGCCGGTGTCATCTTTAGTCGCACAGTAATGGATGGTATTTTGTGTTCAGAACGCATCCCACCCCAATTTCTGGTCAGCATCTCAGAGGATGGAAAGGTGCTTTGGTCCCGCGCCGAGAGCAATCTCGAGCCCAGTAAATGGACAAGCGCGGAAGCAACCTCATCACCGAAATCCAAAAAGGTCACATTGACTGCCCGAGATGATGCGAACGACGACCCAATGGATGACACCAGCACGGGGCGACCCGATGCCAAATCCGCAGATGATGATGTCACCGATGATCCAATGCAAGTTGACCAGCCACCCGCGAGGGTGCGCCGTGTTTACGTTGCACCAAAGTACTGCGAACCTTTCATGGGCACCTGCCCCCTCTGTCAGGTCGAGTACGTCAGTGGCCAGGTGACATGCACCACATGTGGATATGAGCCACTCCCAGTGGACGAAAGTGGCGAAACAAAAGGGGCTGACCAACCCAATAGGAGGACCCGCATCTTGGAGAAGCGCATGCAAAAGCTTGCAGGGTTTGGGATGTTTGGCAAAATGAGCGGCCCCCTGTTGGCGGCATTGACCAATGAACAAGCCGACCTACTTCGCCGGGAACTGGGCCCAAGGGGGATTACATCCATTGAATCAGCAGTCATCAAACACTGCCGCGACCGTCACAAACGAGCAAAGGCACTTGGCTATGAAGACGTGGAAGATCGCTATGCAAGTGACGTTACGTTTTGTGACCGCGTTCATGGAGAAGGAAAGGGCTTAAGTGAATGTATTTTCGACGATATGTTTGCGTATGCCAATCTTCCAGATCCGCCCCGCACCAGAGCCCAGATCTCGGCTGGCGTCGCCGCCAATGCCCAAAATGAAAATTGCTTGTCAAAGTTGATTTTCATGTCCCAACCTCGAGGTGTGGAAGGATTCCCCATTGAATTTCGCAAGACATGGAAGAAGACTTGGGGTTTCATGTTCGGTCGCCACATTTTTACAGAAGATGAATGTCAGCTACGTCGGCCGTCGTGGCGCATTTCGTGGCCTACTGACCTGGAAGGGCACCGTCCAAGTTCCTTTTGATGGCACTCTTGAATTCCTCGAAAAGCTGTATGAGGAAAACCTCCCATTGGTTCGGGGCAACCTTGAACGCAAGGAGAAGCAGAGCGCCGCTGCAAAGGCCGGAGGTCCTGGAGGTCAAAAGGCCGACCCCACGGTCGCGCCCACAGCTGAGCGAAAACGCAAAGCCGAAGCTGACACATCCGCCGCTGGACAAGAAGCCGCCTCAAGCTCCGCGCAAGCGGACGCCTCATCCGGTTCAAAGCCAACACCATTTCTGACACCAGAGCCACCAACCCCCAAAGGAGGAGCAAGACCATTCTTGGAGCCTGAGACACCGCCCACTGCAAAGGCAGCAAGCAACGTCACACCAAAGGCTACAAGCTCCGGTCGCCCGGATGCCTCCTGGAGTTGGAATCGTGATCACTATGGTGCCCGCCGTGAATGGAGTTTCTGGCGTGGGGCATGGTATTACCGTGATGAGGCTGGCGGCCGTTGGATCTATTGGAACCGTTAGGGAGACGATGATTTTCTTTTGTAGCATAGCGCAAGATGCGGCATGGTAATGTGCCTTCCTTGCAACGCTGCGCTGGGTTTTACGGGCTTGAGCTTTTTAGAGGGACCTTTGAAAGACTGCACAAAAGTCTAAAACCAAATAAACAAATTTGGCTACCCGCGAGGGTATGCTCTTCAGGGTTATTCGTTCTCCGCAGTCGTCCCTGCTCGCCCGAGGGGGGTGTAAAAACTCCTGCAGTAAAACCATGTATTGTATATATCATCGATCTACCCGATAGCGTTGGTTCAAAAGTGCTAGCAGCTTAGCGGATTTTACCCCATTGTCGGTTGACCTGGTAAAATACACTATGGTCGCTTCTAGTATGGGGTTGCAATGGCAACTTATAACTAGTTTGTGCAACAGGCACTGACAAGCATCGAAAAACATGACAGAAACCGCAAAAACATAAAACATGGTAAAACCAACATGCTCGGGACTGCCTAGTCACGAAAAATCCGGACAACTTGTGCTATCTTCAGCAGTCGGGTCAATCGAACAACTCGAAATGCTTTAAGTGTTGAAACGCCTGCAATGCTGCCCAGTTCATCACTTTCTGGCTCCAAGGCCTGTAAAATATCAACGACAGTCTCCCAGATCGAAATCAAAACGATAAAGGTGTCCATCAAAACCCAGGCCCAGTCTTCCGAGCAGAATAACCGGACCCCATAAGCTGCGAAGCGTAAAGCCAGTTCGGAACAGAAGAGGACAGTGTAAAGCGATTGAATCATTTGGAAAGCCAAAGGTCTTGGATTTGGATCTCCAAGACTTCTTTCGACGTCAAACCCGATAAAAATTGCATTGGTGACGACCACACAGGCGAAGAACATGTCAAAACCTTGGCGCCGTCTGCAAACAAGTCCAGTACGTCAGGTCTTAAGTGAAAACCATCGCTTGAGTGGAGCAAACCTGAAAAGCTTGCTCTGTGCCGCTCAGGGGCCAGGATGGCCCACCAGGTTTTGCAAGCACGAGCCCTTAATGCCTTTCAATTGTCCATGATGGTGTGAATTTCCTCACAGGTCAATATAGGTCAATGCTAATGATGGCAAAGTCCGGTAATTTTCCCGTTGCTTTTCCCGTGTCACCATGACAATGCTGAAATCAATCCAAATTGGAAGGGCAATGATGCAGGTGGTTCTGGTTGATGTGTTTGTTCCCTCCGTGAATCAAAGGTGCAAAAATCATTGCTACTTCAACCATCATTTTTTCAAAGCTGCTTCACAAGAGCAGCAGAAACAGCAGAAATCTTTGACTTGATTATCACTTTTGTTACTGAAACAACTAACAAGAAGCCGTGCATGGCCGCCTACTTTCTCACGATGCAAAAGCCCCGCGGGTCGAATATGACCACATGATTGCACACTTGGTCACATGATGTCACATGATTGCTGACTGAGATGCGTGAAAACATTTTTCGAAGGAAATCGGCATCTGCCACTTCCTCAGTCAAAGCAAAATTGTGCAAAATCATACAAAATCAACATTTTGCATCATCTTTTGATGTATCTTGCCGTATCTCGGGGGTTTCTTTCTGCTCTCGGTTGCGGCATCTTGACATATCTCGACACCGACATCGGAGGCCGAGAGCCGAGATTCCGCTTCGTGTTTCAGCTCCAAATCCTAGCGGCGTAGCGTGTGACAGCCAGGTCACTTTGCTGGCAGTATGCCATTGTGCCATCGAGGTTGAGAAGGGGAATGAAGGGGACAAAGAATGTGAACATTCAACTTATCCAACATGCGTGAACATGTCAATGATTACAATGATTGTCAATGGCATCACAGTAAATCCATTTACATTCCATTTACCTGTGAACCATTGTGAACCATTGCCGGCACCTCTTTGGAGTAGGACCGCAGCTGCCGCAGCTCCAGACTCTGAAAATCTTCCTTTCGTGCCCAGCCATCCTGCAACAGCATAGCGCTGCAACATCTGCATGCAGGTCTCTCCGAAAATCATTCAGAAGAAAATAGCACAACATTTCATCATTAACATGTTCCAAGCTACTGGGTTTCCAGCAACACAAACGGCCAAGAGCTGAATAGTGATGTTCGATGTGAGACATTGTCCAATAGTGGGACTCGCGCATTTACCATCACAATAGAAAGTCATCAGAATCTGAAGCACTGACACATACTGCGAACACACACTCGAGAGCGCATCAATAAAATTACAATAAAAGTCTCCAAAGTGTCCAAGCACACAGGTTGCGACCTTGTCAGTGGGCGTGACGCCCTCTGAGATCTGGGTTTCTTCCTGAGATTCTCTCGGGACGGAGTCTTTCGATGCGCCTCGAACAAAGGTGGCTCGAGGGCTGCTTTCAATATTTTCAATGCTGCACTTTGAAGAACAGCTCTGTGACTGGCGCGATTCATGGCCTCGCACGCCGATCGTGCCGTCAAAGACCGCCGAATCCTCACCGTAGATTTCAACCACCGGGGCTGCTGGTCGAAGCTGGGTGTGAGGCACTTCCATCCTTAGCCCAAAAGATCCAAAAGCCGCAGCCCACATAGTCCGAAAATCAATGTGAGACTGGTAAATGCCACGTTGCTTGATGGATGTTGCTTGCTACTAAATTTGGACGAGGATCAGCACCTGTCGCAGCAGGTTGTCTTGGAAGCCCAATCTCTGAAGCAACACAGCATGTTGTTGATGGAGCAATGATGCAAGCCTGAGCTGAGAACATGCAACTGCTGCAAACGCTTTCAAACATGTGGCATCACATCATTTCACAACCAGATCAAGTGAGATGAAGCGAGATCTACATCGATACTATCGGATACTATCGGATACTATCGGATACTATCAGCATCAGCAAACAGCACCGAAATGGGGCATCACCAAATTCGTCCAGCTGCGGCTGCATTTCTTCGGGCATCTCGGCCTGCATGCCGAATCTGGATTCACACGAACCAAAATGAGAAAATATGGGACAATATGGCATCAATATGGCATCAATATGGCATCAATATGGCATCAATATGAGACAATATTATGATCTAAACATACCTACACAGTCTACACATACTGTATCTATCCGAACAGGTTGCTTAGTCCACGAGCTTTGCCTGGGAGGATCCTTTGCTTCCTGTCCGGGCCATGGAAACATGAAAGCTTCAACACCCGACGCGTCTGCCTTGGCTTGAGCCAAACAAATCAGATATATTCAGATATCAAATGCGATGTTGCATCATGTTGCATCAAATCTCCAGTCTGCTAGAGTGACTGGAGAAAGGCAGAGAAAGGAGATTGCGGCCTTTCCAGTTCAAGAGTGCCCCTTGCCAGTCACAATCTCCTCAAACTAGTGGCCATTCGGGTGGAAATAGACACTTCAAATGCCAAATGGAAAACCATCTCGCACTAAGAGCCATAGCTCTGATCTTTCAGTGTTAGCTTGACAACATCCAACTTGTCAGGGATATCCGGATATCCAAACATGTTCAAATATTCCAGACTTCCAGGATCTGTCCGAAGTTTTTGCTCAGTGTCAACCACGCCAAGTGCTACCGTTGAAATCGTTGAAACATCAGGTGCCCAGACTCTACGAGTTGAGCTGTCTTGGCCATTGATTTCCTTTCGGAACACGACAGAACCAACCGAACCAGGAACTTTGGATATTTTGGATGGTCATGATGGTCAATCCATGGTTTCCCGCGATTTGTGCCTTGGCATGTGGTATATTGTATGGCGTTCTGATACGCTGAAGAAATCACTAGAAATCAAGCCATTGGACTTCACATGACTTCACCATGCACCGCCCTTTCGCTGGGGAGTGACCGGTGACCTGACAGGACCAACAGCGCTGACAGGTCGAAATGGTCACCGTGACGTCACTGTGAATCCGTGGATTTGGCGAATGCTTGGGCGTTTTGGATTTTCCAACGCCAGTGACGTACTTCTCCTGGCCTCAGAAACTGATTCCTGTCGCCAAGGTGGCAAACATGGCCATGGCGACGTCGACTGTGGCACCTGATAAGCAGCTCCGATTGTTTTCAGACCATTTTTTCGACTCTAAGACCAAACTTTATGGGGATCCTTGTGGAAGATTGTGGAGAGATTGGATTTGGAGACACACAACTTGCTCCAAGTTTTGGGATCCTTGCGGGATCTTGCGGGTAACGGTTGGAGATGGTTGGAGGTTGGATAAGTTGGATAAGTTGGATCATATGAGATCATATATGATCATATGATATGGTTGGATAAATTATGATAAATTACTTAATGTTGGATTAACGTTGGATTTCAAGACGTTTCGGGATATGTCAGGGATGTGTCAGGGACATGCGATTGTCGTGGCCTCGAGCTGCACTTTTTGGGGTCGTAGTAGTTGTCGGATCCAGGGTCAGCACCACGTCGTCAATGTCCATACCTAGGTCCATGCGGGGAATGTGGAAAAAACCTGGAAAAACGACATGTTAGCCACACATCCACAAAAAAAAGTGCCGACGTATCCCCTAGCGATCTCAAGTGGCTTTTGGATTCGAAGCAACCCAAAAAGTGTCAAGGGCTTTTGACACTTTCAATAAATCACGCATTCTCTCCAACTAAGATGCAGTGTCCCATTGGGGCAAAGAATGACAAAACAGTCTTGCCCTTGGAAGCGGTCACAGTCTCCTCATACTTCTCCTTGGATACATTTTGACAGATTCAACTGTTCAGCGTGTCAATAAAATGTGGCGCATGTGCTGCAAACAAATAAAGTGCTGTTGGCGTATGATACCCTCCAGTTGGCTACTGCCTTCTTTTGAAAGTATCGTTTGCAGTATGGGTTTGATTCGGTTTGCATAGTTCAACGTGGAACCATGTGGAACCATGTGGAACCATGTGGAACCATGTGGAACCATGTGGAACCATGTGGAACCACTCTGAGGCGAGCTCTGGATCCATAAGTCGACCTGAAGAAGTGATGGCAGGTCCCTTTTTGCTCTTGTCCTTGGTCCGTTGAAATTTGACCACCGGACCTTCCTCAGTCATGCTTGAAAACACTCAAACTCGACATGGCGCACCGGCATGCACCGGCCACTCGCCAAGTTTCAATTTTATAGGTTTTGGTAAAGTCTCCAAAGTTCACAGTAAACTTCACTTCCTTCCAGCAGCAGTGCGCTGTCAGAAACATTTTTGGCAATTGGCTTGTTTCAACACGTTTCAAAAAAGCTGGACACAACCTGAACAGCTTGCAGGCGGGATTCAACAGACAGTGCCAAGCTGTCAGTCCAAAAGTGAGAAACCCAGCGCCACCAACATACTGATTAGTAATCGATAGGACTCTAATTCTAACTAATTACACATAAGATCACATAAGTACAGTACACCTAATTACACCAACATTTTTGCGTGACTGATGTGACATGATGTGACATGATGTGACTATAACTGTTCTGTCCGAGTCTGTCCTTTTTGCCATCCCAATGGCCAGAGAACGCAGACCACTTCAGAGTGTAAGATCGGCCAGGTTGTGTGGTGATCTGTCGGTTGCGCAGGTTGCGCAGCTTGAATGGGTCGAACTGAAGGAGACTGAAGGAGAATTGACAGGTGTGCCTAGATGTGCCTAGAGCAAATCCATCCAATGGTCCAGATGTTTCAAAAAACAACATGACAATTCAATACAATTCATACATGTCACTATCCAGCTGCCGAGCGCCCAACCTCCTGCTGCACACCACCGGCTGTTTGATAGCCTTGGTGGTGGACCGTGGAAGTACTCGTGACACTCTCTACACAGAGCAACAAATCAGGACCGGTATCTGGCAGCCGGTAAGGCTTCTTGGGGCATGCGATGACCGCATGATGACCGCACATATCGAATCATCCAATATTTTTAAAAATCATCTAAAAACCCTTGCAGGTGAGTGCCTGCATATCCCCGGGGTCCGTGGTCGTGTAATCATCTGTCCCTTGGACAACGTTTCTCCTTCAAGATTCCTTCATATCCCTGCAGTGACATCCATAACACTGCAGCCATCAACTTGTGATATCTTGTGATGAGTTGACACCCGTGAGCTACGACCTGTATCATACAGGAACGCACAAGGACACTGAGCCTGCAGCAGTGACCATGAAGATGCATCAGCCTCATTGCAAGGGGAACTGACATGAAGTGACATGAGGTGGCAGCGTTGACAGCGACACATGTGAAATCTGGCCATCCATCAGGTCATCTGTGGCATGCTGTTGAAAACTTCTGCGGACAAAGATGCCTTTTTCCGGCTATGTGGTGCTGATGCGCAGCATTCGGCCGCGATGGTTTGTACTGCTGCCAATGGGCAAAGTCTGCCACGGGTCCAGAGTGGAAAATTAGGTGGAAAATTGCAATTGGTGATCTGCGAATCAAAAAGAAATATCAAATGAGTTGCAGTTGCCATGTCTGCCATGTGTTCCAAATCGCCTTGTTGGAAGTCACCGTTCTTCACCAGATTCTCAGGTGCATCGGTCTCGGACTCGTCGGACTCGTCGGACTTGTCGGACTCTGAACCTATGCAAGGGCGCTATGAAGGCTATCCCGAACAGGACCCAGGAGGACCCAGGAGGACCCAGGAGGATCCGAAGGAAAGATGAGCGGCTCCGGCAGAGGACATGGACATTGGCTGAGGCTTTCACGCATGAGGCCAGCGCCCGAAGCGCCAGCGCCTGAAGCGTCGGTGTCTTCGAAATTCGCCCGTCGGTCCTTACACGAAATTTCTGGTGATTTCTTGTAAGTCTTGTCATGCGCTGCATGGCCATAGTGCCACTAACCTGGGCTTTGTGATCCGTGCTCAGGACCAAGGAGCAACTTCCACCGCTAGAACTTTGTGGTGCCCATCCTTGGGTGAACTGTCCGTTTTACTCTTGTCCGCCGAGTTCACAGCGTAACAGAATCTTTCCTGCTACCAATGCTGCCATGCCATGCCATGCATCAACATTTGATTACCAAATCATACCAAATCTATGCAGTTGAGCAGCGGCAGCACGACAATAGCTTAAGCGCGTAAGGATTATGATACATCCCAGGACCTGGTCTGACGGGCCGAAATTCCCCCAAGGGACATCATTCAACGATAAAGGCCCGTTTCTGACTCCTTTTCCTTATTTCGCGACATCATGACTTCATATGACTTCAGGGCAAATCCGGCATAAATCCGATAAATCCGACACATCCGTACATCTTGATACATCTTGAATACATCTTGAATACATCTTGATGCATCGTGTCCCTCAAAAGTGTCACGCAGCTCCCTTACTCTGATTCTGGCCTTGCGCAGACTTTTGATGCTGGCCATGTCGCATGAAATGGAATCGACAGCTGAAATGAAGTTGGCAATCTACTCTGCCCATGGAACTCCCAGCCAAACGGCCAAAGAACTACAATGTGATACAATGTGTCAACTGCGAGTGCTCAGCCTTAGGGTTAAGCATAGCAATCAAGGAACGTGAACATGGAATAGGCCAAGGATGGCCAAGGTATTCTCGGCAAGTCGGCCAACATCAACAAATGTCATGAAATGTCAATGTTGATGGTCAACCATGGTCAACCCTGTGTTCAACCGCAGCGCACAGTCCAACTTTTTGAAAACGTGTGGGCACATCGACTGTCGTCGCCCAATTCAGAGACTCCTCGGCAGTGCGATCTCAGAAAACGCAAAGATCGTATCACAAAAGCTCGGGCACCTGAGATTTTGGCAATGCACTCGGTGCGCTGTAGCCGCTTCGCAGCCCCATGTAGCCCTGTAACCGTAACCCTATGCTTCTTTACCCAAGTGCTGTCTGAATCTGCGAACCAGAAAAAAGGGTGTGTTCAGATTTGCAGGCTGAGCTTGGCTGTTGCTCTCTGCTACATCCAAAGGCGCTTTGGATGAACGCGGCATCAGATTTTGGTGCCGGAAACCCGTAGCATCATGAAAAAACCGAATCCTAGTTGACAAACCAAATCAAGACACCCCTGCAGCCTGCAGTTCAAAAATATTTGAGTGGTTCATGCACGCATTTTTGCCGTCAGGTCACACTTCCATTGCTAAAGAAAGCTTCAGAGCCAACAGGAACGACTCAAGAGAATCTTTCTACAGATGATTTATGCCAGACCATGCATGAAGGACTTGATGCCCAGCAGCAAGCCCCTTTGACATAATTTTGACATGTCTGCGGGCGCAAGCGATCGCTCACATGCTGCCTTTAAGTTGCCACCGCATCCTGAGATGCAGTGTATCCACGAAACACCGCTCAGGTGTTTTTTCATGTTTTCTCAGTGTAAGCAAGGGGCACCAACGCACACACACACACACCTACAGACACAAACAACTACACCCCTCTCCACGACTCCACTTGCTACGCTACTAAATGAATGTCATGAGTCATATGCATATCTTCTGGTCTAACTAACTTGGCACTGGCCATGCATCTTGCACACTTGCACAAGTCAAATTCACATTTCACATATTTCACTGTTGGGCGGTGCAGTGTGTCCCGATGCCATGGAATCATTGGAATCATTGGCTCGATGGTTAGATCGGTTAGATATGTCGGCTGATGCCCTCGGTGCAAACTGTTGACGAGCCTTGGCGATGAGCATCTGGAGGTCTTGCAATCAGTCACTGAGGCGTTTGCCTCACCACATCTAGAATCATCATGATACATCTAGATGAAATCTAGCTATTTTCCCTTGGGAAGACTTGAGATTCGCGAGGTGTGATCACATTAACCTAAAAATAAAACATTATATACAAGGTTCAGCGTTCAGCACTACCAGTTCAGAAATACTAATCTCTTCATATCTCTTCTATGTAATTGTCTTCTGAACTTTTTTTTTGGCGGGAACAAAGCAGAGCTCAAATTTTGGAGGCACAGCGGTGCTCCAAGAAAAACAGACTGAGACGGCTCCCGAACCACTTCGGAATGCTGAGGCTTTTACCATCTGAGTTCTCTTTGTCCTCAGGCAAACGATCAGCATCAGGTAAGTGAAATGATGTGGAATGCCGGGATGCGAATGGACACGCTGAACAATCCTGAACATCAATTCAATGAAACGGGGAGTCTGCTCCCAAGATGTTCAACACGGCCACCAGTCAAAGTTCCATTACATTGGACATTGTGATACATGTTGAATCGTTTTGACAAAACTGAGAATTCAGTGCGTGGCTTTCGTTGAATTCCTGATGCTGCGAGAATTGATTGAATCCGTTGCGCCAGGTCAAGCTTGAGGCATTACAGGCACTCCAAAGCAGCACAGTCCTTTTCGTGTCACTCCCCATGCATTCTCGCAGCAAAGGAACCTGAAACTGTAAAACGAGATTGTCGGGTACACGCCCATGCGCCACTTGCGCCAATTTGGCTGAACAACAGTAACAACAGGTTGCGTGTGCACAGGTTCTTATTGATTTCTCATCATTTCTCCAATGTCTCCCCACCTTGGACAACGAAAGCCTCCACGCCACCCACCACACAAAACCTTCAGAGCGTCGCAAACGCAACGTGGCATCAACTGCCGGTGCTGTCTTTATCTGTCTTTGATCCTTGCCTAAAAAGGCCATGAAGGCCAAGTAGGCCCCAAGAATGACACCCACCTGTGACACGGTGAGCATGGAAAAGACTTGCCAAAAGTCATGCCATTGCACCATTGCCACCAGTTTTTGCGCATTTTTTCAACAAACATCCAACACAAACCTCATGGGAAAAACGATATCAGAGTTATGCAGCACTGCAAAGATTGCAAAGACAGAACCCTTTGGGCCACCTGGGTTAGCAGTCCGATGGAAGTCGCCATTCAGCCAACTTTAACACCACACAAGATTACAAGGCGTTGGTGTAGCTCGATGCAGTTGCCAAGCTGAAGGAACATTGCAATTAGTGTCCATACATGTCTCCATGCATTGCGCGAAACTTGAATAGCCCGATCTTGCAACCTGACAGGAGCATACAACCGGCCATAGTGACGCTAGTCAAGCTGCAAGCGTTTGTGCTTGCAGCGTTGCCAGGCAAACATAATGTCCCCTTTTTCTGGGCAACTAATTCCTGACTCTACTGTTGCGGCAAGTGCTAGCAATGTTCCAAACTTCAAACATGGTTGCATCATATCATTGCGAGTGGTTGAACCGCATCAAATTCGCAGCACGTCAATACGTCAATACACCTCACGAACTGTGTGTGTTTACAATTGTTTACATAATTTACATGTCTTTAAAAATCGCCCAAACTGTCTCAGCTGGAGCCGATGCATCATGACATGACTTCGTTGCCACAAGCGACGACAGACTCTGACAGAGTGCTGAAAAAAACTGTGGTCACTTTCTCATGATCAATCGCTGCACGCAAACACACACGCTGATAGTCACTGATAGTGCACATATGCCTATATAACTTATATAACATATCACTTATGCTATACACGTGCATACATATGGCGATTGCATCTTACATGACTCCCTTCAAGGCATACGAAATAAGCAGCTTGCACAGACTTACGCTTGCTTTTCTTTCCGGGGCACCTATGCTTGTGACACATTAAAAGCAAGCTAGCTGTTCGACGAATTCTCGTCACCGTGGAATGGAGTAGGTCTACCAATGTGTGCTGCACTGTGTGCTCATGTCTTATTTCAACAATGGAGTCATCTCTGTCGAAGATGGCCTTGGATGGCCTTGGAATCCAAGGAGACAAATGTGATTAGATGAGATGATGAGATCATCTAACACATCAAATTAAACAGGTGGGCTTGAGCTTTGAAGTTCCCATCTGGGCACCCAAACTGTTCCAGAAATTGTACCACAAATCTGTACAGCTGCTTCATACATCCATGAAATCCATAACATCCGTCAATCATCTCTCAACATCCTGGCCCTCCGTCCTTGGCGTTTTTTAGAACTGAATCACAGCAGCCGTTTCTTTGGCGTGGAACCGTAGAACAGCTGGTGGCTGTTCCAGGCAGGTCTGGGGATGTCTGGGTAGCGACCTCGCGATGGAGACTCAGGGCTGGGCTGAACTCACTTGGGTGCCAAATTGTGCCAAATTGTGCCAACGTCTCAAATATTCCCTGGCGCATCTCTGATTTTTGACGATGAACGCTTGCTGTCACTTGCTGTCGCAAGGCTCATATCCTGTGTGACTCTTGCGATGTCCTCATGATCTGCTTCATCGCCGGTGCATCCCAGGGTGAAACATGAAACATGCAACCAGCCATGGCCATGGCCATGGCCATCCCGCCAGGAAAAATGGGAAAATACCATACATGCACCATAAATGGACCATAAAATAACCAGCCGAACCCAGGGACCCGGCAATGCCTTGAACCCCACGGCGCTTTTGTCGGTCTTGGTCTCGGAGCCTGTGCCCACTGTGCATCACAATGTTTCACGTGGATTACACATCGAAGCTTTCCGAAAATCTACAGGCAGACTCTTGCGGGAAGATAAGGAAGGCAGTGCACTTGCAGTCGCTGGCATTATCCAAAATGTCCTGGGTGTTATGTGGATCAAGGTGGAAAGACTTCTGCATGAAGCCATTGCAACGACAAAGGACAGTCAGCTAAAACAAAACAGGCTGTTTCAGCGGTTTAACTTAGGAATTTTGACAACAAAAGTCGCTGTCCAAATTTTCCAATTTGACATTTTCGTCGTGACTTGGCGTTGCATGGGACCACACGTGACATTCCGTGACATCTTGTTGGCTCTTTTCTTCGCATCCCAGACTCAAACGCTACAGTCTTAACCCTTCAGGTTGAAGACGACACTCGCAGCCTGCCACCCAGCTCGAAATGAACTGCTTGGCAAGCTGCTAGTGCCCAGCAGGCTTGGCTTCGTCGAGCTACAATTCTCCGGAATTCTCCGGCACATTGGCAACTGCACTGCTACAGCGTTGCTACGACACACGTCGACGCTCTATTTACTGGGCTCAGCGATCCGAAAAGGACCCTGCAGCTTTCAAGATCTTTCAAGTGTGACAAAGAAATGCTAACCAAAGATGTCTCAAGATTTCACTTTATGTCACTTAAACAATGTCTTTATGAAGTCTTGAGACATCTTCCAAGTTTTCAAGCCAAGGAATCAGTGATCCGTCAACTTGATGTTTGCTTTAGACGCAGAACTCCAACTCCCAAACTCCCATAGAATGAAGTACAGCAAGCCAAGAAGAGCCAAGCATCCAGAAACATCCTGTCAAACCCTGGCCATGTTCCAAGCTTCAAACTCATTTTGTGCGACGATGTTGCTTACTGTTTCTGATACAGGCATGTCTTGCCACACCAGCTATATCCAAACTGTCAGGCGCAGGTCTGTTGCCAGCCTGTCTGCCGTTGCCCGAGCGCGACTCCTGTGGACTTGCAGCCTCATCGGGAGCAGAAAGTGCAGCTTGTCGATCCGCAGCTACACTTTGAGAGATGGTACAGTGCCTCTGGTGGAGCTTTAAAAGCCTACGACCAAAGTCTGCCAGTTGGGCATGGATCAAAATTTTCATCCGCTTGGAAATGTACGCTTTGATGTCCACGTGAGATTTATTGTGGCTTGAAGCATGGTTGATAGATTGATAGTTAAAAAATGTTATATATATATATACATATGAGTATATAAGTGTTTCGAAGAGTTTTAGAGCACTCATCATACTCATCTTTACTAATCTGGTTGAATTCCCAAATTGTCCCAATGTCCTAATCCGCCTGTCCATATGTTTCTCATGGTCCGAGGCACTCCGCAGGGCGACCGAGCCGGAGAAGTTGGCGACATTGGCGACGTCGGTGAAGTCGGCGGCCGTGGGCTTTTGGCCGTCCGTCCTGGCTGTAGTGACGTAGTGTGACCGAGTGTGACTGTCTGGCAACATGTCGCAACTCGACGAAACTGGGGCAACACTTTTCTTACAGGGTTTGCAACACGGTTGCATTCTTCATGGGACATTGTTGCGGGAACATCAGTGGGTTTAAGATGCTGTACAGTGATGTAGGATTAACATGATAATACTTCATTGTGGCCTCCAAGATACTAGAAAGCGAAAATAGTGAAGGTGACAAACATGCACATATATATGATATATATGATATAAAAGATTACAGTGCAGCGGGAAGCCGTGACTTCAGGTCGTGGTTGCGTCGGGTGCGCTGGGTGCGCCGCGTGCGCCAGGTGCGCCGGGGGTGCACTCGGTGCGCACACTGTGCGCAGTCACTGATCGCAGCCGCAATGAAAGATTAAACAATCTTGAAATGGCGTGAAGCAAAATTGACACCATTTGACACCAAGGGCATCCAAGAGCGGCTACATCCTCGGGATAAGTTGAGCTGCCGAGCTGCCTTCAAGTTTTCCCATGCGAAGCCCTGCAGCTTTGGCGTAATCTGCTGCACGCTGTCCGTTGGCCTCAACGAAATTGATGTGTGAAACACCATGAATCCATAGAGGATATGACGAGGATTTATGTGTACATTGTGTACATGCATATGAGTACGTATATGTACGTATGTTTATATGAGAATATATATATATATGCCCATACATGTTCATATCGAGGTGAGGTATGACAAGATAAGGTAAGACACCGGCACACCAATCTTCCCAGCAGTTAGATGCAATTGGATCAATTGGTGCTTGGGGCTGAGGATAGGACATCTTTAGACGACAAAACATCTGGACTTGCCTGGCTGGACATCACCATACCAGTCGCGAAGGCTCCTCTCACTTTATTCTACTCAGATTCTCTCATTGAAGGAAAGAACTCTCTCTCTCTCTCTCTCGCTCTATATGTATATAGTTGTACACACACATATATATAATATAATATAATATAATATTATATTTCATGTTTGCCCATCTTCTTTCATCCTCATCTTTGTGGTCTTGACCGTCTCGAATCCACCCTTGCTAGTTCAATACATTAAACAATTAATATAAATTAAACATCACTAAACTTCCTAAGATTTCCTGTGTGTTGCTGAAGGATTTCCTGTGTTGCTGAGTGAGGATGACGAGGATGCCTTGGCAGCCAGCCAGTGCATCACATCTCCCAGGCCAGCTTTCGCCGCCAAATGCAAAGGTGATTGCCCTGCCAGAAACATGTTGAGAAACGTAGAGAAACGTAGAGAAACGTAGAGAAACTTCCGTCAATGACTTTGTCAAACTTCCGTCAAAACTGTCAAAGAAAACAGTGGATTCGTGTGGATTCTATTGTTCTTTGCTATCCCTGCCTTTGCTGTTCATGGCATTGACATCAGCATTGAAGTTGTGCAGCCTTTCATAAGACAAAATTTAGCTGGAGCCTCCGACAGGACAGAAAAACACAGCCCGCACTGCCATATCTGAGCCAACGACGTCATACAAACTTGCCTTCAAAACAACTGTTCAGGCTTGATAATCGACTGGAGCTGAATCATTTATGCAAAGTTGTCTGGCAGCAAACATGATTCACAAATAAATCAGCACTGGTTTGGCTTCCACTGGAATGTCAGTGTCACAAACTCAACGCAAGTGTTCAATTTGCCTCCAAGAAAGTACCTGTAAATACCTGTAATTACCTGTAACTTCTGATAGCTGCGCCTTAATGCATTACGTTGCACATGTCGCAGTACTGAGTCACTACTGTTTCTTACAAGCTGTTACAAGCTGTCAGCTGTCCTGGAAACTTTGTCCTTCACACATTTCACACATTTCACACCCTATGCCAGGGCCTGGTAGGTGCGAAAAAGATGGGCGTCTGCGCATAGCGGTCTGTGACGTTGGGATTCGCGTTCGCTTCCAGCAGTAACTTGCTGACCTCCGCCTAGGCGCCAGGAATCGCCAGGATACGGAATCATTCGATGCCCATATTTTGCCATACTTAGTAACAATCGAAGCTCTAAGACTCTAAGAGATCTAACAGGCTCTAAGCCACCAAGTGAAACAATCTTGACATATCTTGACATATCTTGACGGCTAGTATGGCACTCATTGAACATCATTGAACCCTGCCTCTCCATGGAAGGTTGCCAAATGGAGCAAACTTACACCGTGCGCATCGATTTCGCCTGGAGGCGGCGACAGCACGACAGCAACAGCAGCCGGCAGATCCGGCTGCTGACTCTATTCACAATCAATTCGATTCAATTCAATCATCTCCAAGTTATGTCATGATATGAATAATGTCATAATATGTCATAATAATGGATTAACTGTTGGTTGACATCATTAATCCATATGAATATATATGAATCCATATGAATCCATGATCATGTGACATGTCCGCATGGCGTCCACATGGCCCGGGCACGCCTGGATCTGCGTGCGCTTTCAGCAGACATTTCACCAGATCGGGCGCACGCGCTTGGACCGCAGCTTGGAGAGGGGAGCCGGGACCTGAGCAAAGGGTCGCACAGTGCGTCTACTACACACATTTACACACTGGTGATCACACATACGGTTCACATACACTATACATCACTATACATACACTTGTACTATGTTATACTACCATTTATAGCTATACAGCCTTCTGAAGTTAGGATTCTGAAGAATTGAGTGCTACCCTTAGCCATAGCATGTCACATCCGTGCCACCCCCTATGTCGTCCTTGTGTGATAATGTGTGATAACGTGTGATAACGTGTGATAACGTGTGATGCCCGCCTTGCCAGCTGTTTGGAGATGCTCCTTTTTGCAGGGCGACCTGGCAGCGTGGCATAGCGTGGCATTGGCACATGGCGGCTGACGGCTGCAGCTGAAGGGCCTCGACTGCTTGCACTGCCTGGCCCCGCTTCTCAGTGTTCGGCCGCAGCAAAGGCTGCCTCAACTCTAAAAATAACATAAGCCATTATGTAATTGTGTAGCCATTATATAGCCATTATATAGGCATTATATAGCCATTATATAGCGATTATATAGTCATCATAGCCATCATATGATATTATATGGCCTTACATAGCATATGTCAAAAAGCCCAAACCCCAAAACCATGCCAAATAGGAGAATATGACCGAGTTAGTTTTTCGGTCATGGTTGCAAGCCTTACAGCTTCTGTTGCTGACCCTTCCCTTTCTGATCTGGTCTTGAAAATATCTTCTTAAGCAATCGCACACTTTTGGGGACTTATGCCTATGCCTTAGAGAACCTTGATGGGTGCGGTGTTCTTCCGAACCTAACCTCACATTTTGCAATTCTGTCGTTGTTTAGAGACATTGTGCTTAAAAGCGTTTTTTTTCGACCTCTGTCATTGTCAAACTTATCATTGGACATCTTCTTTGCACATTTTTGTACAACCCCCCGTTTGAGACCCCTAAGATCCCCTAAGCTTTTCTGGGCCGAGCCCTAAGCTTATCGCTGTTGGGGAGGAGGAAAGAAAAGGTCCTTGGATCGCCTAAGTTCAAAACCTCAGGAAGTTACTTTCCCCCAAAAAACTTTCTGTGGGAACCTGCTGGGTACTTCAGGCTCCAAATCTGTTCCAATACCTTTCCCGAGCATTTTCTGTTGGGGAATAGCTCCATTTGGTGCCTCACATTCTCTCGCATTTCTCTGTCCCAAACCTCTACAAAGGGAGCAGTCTACAGCAACGTAGGGACGCACACTTACAACTCATGACGACTTATGGTGGCTCTGCCAAGCAACGCTGCTCGGAAGAGATTGACGTCATTCGCCTCCATCACTGTCGTAGCCTGCAGAATGCATTGCATGGTTCTGAATCTTGGCGAAGAATGTGCTGCCCAAATGTCCATGGGTCCGGGATACAGGACTCGTATGAATTCATATGACATAAATTGACATAAGGATACATAAGGTAGAATGATGTGGCCCAACTATGTGCCAGGACAAAATGCAACTGAAGGCCAGTGGTGCAAGTGCAACAAAAATCACCTGAAGCAGCTTGAAGACTTTATCAATTGCCTACATCGACCCAGGACCGAAGTTGGAACTTGACAAATGTCCCCCACGTCCTGATACGTTGAAGGTGCTAACCGCTTCTGGTTTCCAGTTTTCTCTTCATGTCTGAACGGTTGCGCCTCTGCATTCAGCGGCTTGAAACTGGACCTTAGAGTTTTAGTGCCACTGACAGCTCCCACCTTACCATATTAGTTGTGGATACATGACATGCTACGTATATTATATAATTAAACACATATCATATCCCTACATTTACAACGTACCACACACACACATATATATATAAACATAATTACATATTTTTTTTATGTTCCAAATGTTGCCAATTGCCAATGTTCCTTTGCACATCGCAAATTGTTGGCCGAGGAACGCCCCTGGGAGTTCTGCGAAAGAACCCCTAAGAGAACCTCTCATAGAGCCCACCTGTCATAGCTATCGCTGAGATTCACTGAGATTCGCTGAAAACTGCGAGGCATATGAGGCACTCTTCAGTGCCTGCGCTTTCAGTTCTTCGAGTTCACTCCGCAGGGTCTGGATCTCCAACTCAACCTGAGGTTTCGTCTGACAAGTTGTACGCTTTCTATGTCCCAGCCTGAATCAGCCTGACAGGTCTGGGTTTCTATGTCGGTTTCTGTTTTCCTACCGAGCCACTTGTCGTTTCAGATCTCGGACTTCTGCGGACTCCCGAACGCGCTTCCTCAGCTTGTTGAGCGCGTTTGAATGTTTTCGAACACAATAGAATACAACATTAAACGATTCCTTTGAAATGCCGAGTTCGGCCATATTCTGGATAGCTCTATGCCTCTCTGCTTCTCCACGCTCTTTCTTGAGTACTTTAGCCGCTTTAGCCCTAGCCGCTATGTATCGCTATGTGGTGCTACATGCTACTTGGGGACCCTTTCACCTGCAAATCTCGCCATGATTCGCAAAGTCATCTTCAGCACCAGCAATCGCTGCGTCTTGTGGCTCTTGTTGTTTCAACTTCGCTTCCTTGCACGGCTGATACGGCTGACGGGGGTGCGGCCAAGGAACCGCCGGTGGGATGCTAAGGCGCTAAGGGGATGGCCATGCTTTGGTTTTGGCTTTTCCGCCTGGCTCGGCACGGAGCACCCCAGACTCACAGAATTCACCGTACCCATCCGTAGCCTCTATCAATCCAGTGGTCTAATCACTTCTAATCCTATGATCCTATGATGCAAATTGATGCAATACATACTATACACATCATTCACATCATTACAATATATTACACGACATTACACGTCTATGTCCTGTACCGGCGCAGCAAAATCCTTCCCCCAGCCGAGCCTCTCTTTGTTTGCCCTGGCCGTCTGCACGTCCTGCGAGATAACTTGGAGACATGACATGACATGACACAGAACGGATCAGAACGGATCAGAACGGCTTGGATCAGTGCCATATTGAGGCCGTGCCGGGCCCGGATCATGCCGCAGCCTCTTTGGTTCGCTTCAGTTCTTCCTCCTGTGCTGCTACTTGTTCTTTCAGTTGAGCAATCTCCTGCAGCACAGGGCTATCTCAAAGTGACATCTGCGCCATGTCTTCTACCGATATCTACAAATGTTTCTACCCGCTTTCTATGTGATTTGCGCTGCGCCTTCTTAGTCTCTTCTTCATTCACGGCCGAAAGCTCCTGCCGCTCCTCACACAATCCACCAACTACCTCTCTCTCTCTCTGAATTCATCTGGCCCGGACCGGCCCGGAAACAAAGATGGAGTCCTGGTGTCGAAATGTGTCGACAAGATATTCACCGGACCGCACCTTGAGGTCGCGATTCTTGGTTTCGAGCTCTTCTTTTAACTTTGTCAGCTGCTCTTGGCTGGTTTCACTCTTCTTCAGTGCCTGCAACAGCAGGATAACAGCAGGTAACGAGAAGACGGTGTAAATCTATGAAACATTATGAAACATTATGAGACGCATATAAAGATATTATCAATATATATCAATATATAGCATATAAAGGCCGTTCTGGTCCCAAAACCTGCCAGGCACTGCGGTTTAATCTCACAAAGTCCTTGCAGAATAATATTTTTCTTGTAGCGTCTTAGCTGTTCTCTGAGCTTAGGTACCGTCGGGCCCCGTCTTGTTTGGCTTCGTTTGTGCCTGAGAAAGTTCTGTTTGAGCTCTCTGCAGCTCTTCTGTGCTCTCAGCCAACTTCTTCTTCAGAGTGGCCTTGGCATCTGTGTCACAGGATCACCCGTTTGACCCGTTCGAAATCGTTCGAAGGTTGGAAATCTGCGCCAACTGCAGTCACAGTGACAAGTTCGTCGCCATCTTTCGACTCCTTGCAGGGGACCACTCGACCACTCCAAATACCGTTTGAACATCGACTCTTCAGGTCGTCCCGCTCGATGCGTCTGATATCGTGTTTTTTTTGGTTTCGTGATGTTTCGTGCATTTCGCCATGATTGTTGGATACTTCGCAAATCTTCGTACCTGGTGATATCTGGTGATGGTGATGTTTTGGCACGGCCTGTTCTACCGGCTCTTGGATCTGCTTTGCAGAGCTCTCCTGCAACACATGGCTGCAAGGGCCTTGGCATGCGGCCACATGCCATCACATCCCAATCATCCTGATCCAAAGTTTCGAGATTTTGTTTAATTTGCCATAACTACTACAGTTGAGTACTTTGATGAATCATGTGTAGCAACGTAGCCAATATAAGTGACTATTTTGGAATATATATACATATATATGTACCTGAACTTATGTGAATTATGTTATATAATTTATATAATATATTATAATATACATGTGTCAAAAGTGAAAAATCTATGAAATGAATCACATGAATCCATGCTTTCCAGCGACAGCGATTTCCCAGTCCTCAGCTTTGACTTCGTTGGTCTCGGTCTCTTTGGTCTCGGCTGCTGGCTTTTCGGTGCCTGTCACCGCTTGCGCCTCTGGCGGCTGCGCCGCTTTCTCTGCAACTTCCTGCGGAACAAACAAACACTGTGGAACCTATGTTTTGTTTTTAATGTTTTGTTTTTTGTTTTTTTCGTGGAACATCATGCAACACATGTTAACTAATGTAAAACACATGATCTCCAATATGATCACTGATGTATCACTGATATTTGCCAAACTCCTGGGAGCTTTCCTTGGAGCTTTCAGGCGCTGGCCTCGGGTTTGGCACAAGGATATATGGGGATCATAAAAGATCAGAATTCATTGAATGTAATCTGATCGGACTTGCTCATATTGCTTACATGCACGTATGTATATAGCAAACAAAATACAAAATAATAATGTCATAATATGTCATATGCAAGTCCAGCAATCCGAGAGCTGCTTCGGCGCTCCGACACTTAAGGTTGCCAATGGATTCCTAAAGGACTTGAAGCACTGGCCTTCTCCTTTTAATCTCACACAAGATTTCGGTGGGTTCATTGACCCTTGCTACTTTTCGCCACTGCCTTGCCATTTTAGCAAAATGCGGCACACCGAGTATGGTGAAACAGTTGCATGGCTTAAACATGGCTTGAACATGCTTGAACCATCTTGATGCTTTTCCCACACTGCTGGAGCGACATATTCTGATCCCCCGAGCCCATGTGTTGTACTGTCGCAGATGGAGAAACCAAACACCACAGCAGACTGGGGTCAACTGGGCCATTCAAAATCCGGCCCAGATCGAAACCAACATGAATTCAACTCATAACATCTACAAACCAAACATATGACAAACATATAACGGTCATATCCCAAATCCCAAAATCTACCACCAGCATCCACCAGCTTGAGTTCCTCTTGACCAAGTCTGGAACCCTCAGGCTCTACGCGCGCAGAGCTCACCTATGTCAACGAAGTTACCTGCCAGCAAGCTCTGTTGAAAAAAAATGAAAACAAAGGAAAGGATGGCGGAAACAGTTCGTCATCCAATTTTCATTGATTTCGTTGGGTCTCACTTTGCAAAAAAAAGTTCATGCCATGTAATGGACCCGCTGAAAATACCCACTTCTGTCTTAAACGTGAAATTTCTGAAAGGCCTCGTATAGACCTGGCAGGACAGAGTCTCATCTTGAAACATACTTCATACTTCCACTATCTTCCACTACTTCCACCAATCTTACTAAGACTTACTAGATAATCTTTCTGATCACCGGTCATCACCGAGGCGTGCCTGGTGGGCCTGTACTGAAAGGACCAAATGTCTCAGTGGTCCTCGGGCAGAATCAGAATCCTTCTCTCAAAATCTATCGCCTCTTTCGGCACCGAAAGGAGCACGGACATAATTGTGACATATTGTGAATGATTCATTACGCCTGACATGATCATGCTATGCCATTCTACTATGTTTGCCCCACATGGCTCTAAACGCTTCCTTGGACAGCAACCAAAACTCACATCAAACATCACACATCATCACACCAAGGCTCACAAGTTGGGAACGGCGGTAACACGGTGCTGGGAGATTGGTTTGAGAAGTTGCTCTCCAACCTTCTGCTGCTGGTGTGGTTTCGACCGCTTCAATTGCTTCATCACAGGGCAAACAGAAAAGGACACGATCTGCGACCGAATGGTTCCAGCGTCTTCGCTTCTCATCCCATTCAATGCTGGCTGATCCCTTGGTCCATTTCATCTCGGTTTCCGATTTGATATATCTGCCTGGCACGTTCCTGAGAGCTTTGCCCATAGACGCTTCGTGCTCTGGAAGCTTGCCGCCAACGTAGAAAACATCCATCTTTTTGTCTGTTTCAGCCGGTGTTTGGTACCTCGACCGTCTCAAAGTACAGTATCTCAAAGTGAAAAATAGGCTATCAGAATTATCAGAACAGAAAACGTCGTTGGTAAAAACAAGAAATGTGTAAGGGCGGTGGAAAGTGGAGACTGAAAAAGAAAACAGCAAGCTTTTCGAGGACATGCTGCTGCACTTGGACGTCCACGGTGCTGTCAAACTGCACCATCAATGCGCTGAAGCGTCCATCTGCTGCAGTCTTGTCTGGCGATTGGCCATAGTAATCCTTTCCCACTGCCCAAATCTGCACGTCCGGCATGGCTTTCTTGTTTGCATCCACAACAGTACCTTGCAGCAGAACGGCTTTGTTTGGACTGCTGTAGGCCATGTCCACATTCCAATAACCCAACTTCTTTACCGGAGCTGCCAGGGACTTCTCTCCTTCTTTGGCGAGGATCTTCATAAACTGCTCAGGTGTGATCCAAGATGCCGAGACTTTCTCTGGGTCAAAATCTAGACCTTCGTCCATGCCCTTCTTCACACGCTTTTTCGATTTCCGTGGCCGGCGCGTGACTGGCACAGCTTCCTTGATCGCGACCTCACGCGCAGTGCGGCGCATGGAGTTCTCGGCGGGGACCCCATCAATCTCCATGTCCGCAGCTTCCAATTTCCATTTGCCGCTGGCAGTGTCGAAGCTCCACATCTCTGGAGTTGCACCCAACTTCTCGGCATTGGCTTTGGCTTCGGTGTGCAAATCCAGAATCACTTCCGAGTCCTCTCGGACCTGTGATCATCTGTGATCATGATCATCATGATGAAGATATAAAATGGATCAAAATTGATAGAGTGATAGCCAGTGATTTGATGATTATTTGATGCCATCTGCATCCTTGGCTTATGATTGTTATGATTCTTTTGAAACGCAAACGGTGAAACCACTGAGACCCTCAGAAAACCTCTTACCTCGTTGAACCATGTTAAACCTCTTTGTTTTGGACGGCTTTACATGACCCCGGACCCAACCGGCCCCACCGGGCCCACCTCCAACTCTTCTCCCTTCTCGTCGGTGGCGTTGATCCACGCAGCCCCCAGACTTTCCAACATCACCTCTGCACCATCAGCACCGATGGCCGAAAAGTCTCCAGGCATCGAAGCCAGGGATTTGGGATCCGTCACGTCGATCACGGAGAGGCTCACTGTGACGGGACCTGTCACGGCTCGGCCATCGGCGTAGGACGAGGCGTTGCTGGGAACCGTCACGGAAGATCCGGTCACTGGATCTTCCACACAACCTCCAGCACTTCCGTCGAAGACGGCAGAGGCTGACAAGGGACGGAGAACCACATTGACGGACTGGTCAGATGAAGATGCTCGGACCATGGTGGGTGCAAAACCTTCACATTCAAAAGATAAACAAGACCAAGAAGAGGATCCAGATGCTTGACTGGCAGTCTCTGGCACATCAGTCTCATCATCCTCAAGTTGAAACTGGCCATCCTCATCTGACAAACAACCGGTGGCTTTCCATTTGATGCTCACATTGCCCAATGGATTGCCTTTCAAATCTGTGACTTGCCCCAAGATCTTTGGGAGTTGCCGTTCCACATCTGGCGGCGCCGGCGCCGGTGGTGACAAGGCTTTCTGAAGCTCCCCCCAGGAGAGGCTGCGATCCCAGACCGCAATGCCAGCCACATCCAACTCATTCCCAGCCCAACCAGCACTACGAAGTTTGCTGCCCACCAAGGAAGTTGGAAAAGTTCCCAAATCCAACAAACCCTCAGCGTCAACGGCCAGCACTGAAGTACCACCTTCAATGGGTCTGAGGAAGACCTGTACCCAGCCCTGCAGAAAGTCTGCAGATAGTTCGTTGCTCTTGTCCACGTTTAAACCTGCTGCACCCATAGATCATCACGGTATTATCATGGTGTACAATATAATCAATATAGAATATCAATGAGATATCATTGATCCATATGATCCGGAACATCCTATTGGATCCTAGTGGAACTGCTCACTGGAACTGGGCTTGCGGTCTCTCACTGTCAAGCTTTGGATTAAACGATTAAACTAACCACATGGAACAAAACCTCCATTGGAGCCAGGAACAGCACAGTTTCGTTTTATCATCTCCAGGCATTGCCAACCAATGCTTGTTGTCATGTCCCAGGAGAATGCTGTCCCATCCGGCTGTTGATCCAGCTCCAGCACGAAAGCAAACTCCTGTGTACTGTGCAGATCCGGCTCCCAGGCGTTGGGCATTGTGAATTGTATGGATTTTGGCAATTCAAGTCAGTATCTGATGGATTCATCTTTCCACTCCGTTTATTGTTAAACGGTTTTAAGCAACATACTGCATTGAATATATCAAATCATATAAGATATATAAGTTATTTAAGTATACACCGTGACAAAATGTTATAAGTTATAAACATAAATCCCATCCAGCAACAGAAGCCATATACATTCTACACATTCCCACCAATTTCACAACGACTTTCATCTCTGTCCTACAGTAAAGGACTCCTTCAACTCCACCAGTCCATTGGGATCCTCCAGAACCCGCAGTCGTGCTTTTCCTGGACCACCCAGCCTGGCAACGGTGGCCATATGTGGCCATGATGGCCATGGCATGGCACTCGGCAGTCCAGGCCTCCAGAAACCAACTCCCTTTTCTGAGCCAGCCACTGGGGCACCGATTTGGAAACCCTCGGGCAGTGTTGCACCTGCAAAGCATGAAATTCACAAAACACAGAGAGTGCAAGGCACTGCAAGGCACTGCAAGGCACTGCAAGACACCAATGTACTGCCAATTTATCACGATCTATGAAGCACCAAAATTGCGTCACCATGGAATCTCCTGTGTTCTGCACATGGCTTCACCACTGCTGTTCATCTCAACATATCTGACATATCTCAACACACCCAGCGGCAACGGTGGCAACTGCGGCAGCTGTCACAATGGCCTGGATACACCGCCACACGATAGCCGGCTGGCCAAGGGAGAGCCCCACCAGTCGTACTCGCGCCGGAGCCCATGGCTGGACTGCGACTTTCCCAATGCCGCCCGTTTTGGCACGTGAATTTCGTGGCTTTTTGGGCAAAACCTACTGCTACTTACTGCTACGTGTCTGCTTCCCCGTGACTTCACCCAAGATAACAAAACAGTCTGCTGTCGAACATTTCACCATTTCCTTTTGGCAATTTGAGTGGTGCTGTCGTTGACAGAACTTGAGCCAGAAATTGAGAAAGATCCATGGAATTACACTACGAAGTGACGGAGTACAGAGTGGTGGATTGGGATGCAGTCATAGTCGCTGTTCTCAGTTCTTAGAATGGATCAACGGAATTCAACGGACATATCTTAAGACTGAATCATCTTTGAAAACCTTGGAATTTGATTTCTTTTCTGCCAAGACACAGGAAGCTCAACTCCAAGGGTCGTTGCGACTTCATGGCACTACGGAACTCTTCCTCAGCCAAATGATCCATAAATGATCCAAATGTTGCAACCGGACATTGAGCCATGGAATATCATGGAAGATCTGAACCTGCAAAGTCCAGAGCGGGTCAGCGAAAAACTTTGTTCTGTGGTCAAATGTGTCAAATATAAAGAAACTTGCTGTCCACTTCGTTCTATAGTTGCAAAAACCTCCAACAACTTTCTTGACAAATCAAGCTGTGACATCCAGTGATCTGCCAAGTTTCAGGGGATAAGCTGCCAGCATCTTTGCCTTGGACCTGCGTCGGACAGGCTCAATGGATTGGGCAACAACCGAAATGACGGAATGCTTTAGGGATGTTTCATCTGATTTCACGACAACTTGGAGCTTCAAACTATTTCACCAGAATGTTTCAACATGTTTGGACCACGTTGTTTCACGTTGTGAGTTTAATCTCTCGTTTGATATGCCTTGAGCTGATTCTTCCCTGCCTTGAGGAGCTGAAAGCCTTCTCTGAGACCATGCTGCGCCGCCCAACTGCCAGCGTCCACTTTCTTCACAAAGATCTGCTCTGCTGGAGGGAAGCAACCTGAAAAAAACATAAAAAACAACCTGAAAAAACAATGAAACACATCTAGCATGGCTCAGGTGGTACCAGATGGTACAAGTATAGGATGATTAGTCATGGATAGTCATGGATAATGACTAATATACTGAATATACTGTCATTAGTTCTCAGTTTCTACCCTTGCTATAGTCATGGAATGTCATGGATGTACATAGCATGGAAGATACAGCGAGGCGTTGGTGGTTACAGGATAGTGCAGCTATGTCGGGACAGCTACCTAGCTGAAGCGGGCTGGTTAGACTGTCATGGACAAATTAAAGAGATACAATAAGACACCATGAATCACCATGGTTTCAGATGGGATAACACCATAATGGACCATATAATATAATTTTCAGATGATACTCCAACATTACCAACATTACCAATCAGCATCCTATTCACCATCGACGGGAGAACGTTTTTGGCCAAGTTGCTGACACCAAATCCCAAGCCACCCTCTGTAGCTGTCAGGGTGATGGCTCCTGCGCAAACTGCACCAACCATCACGAACCATCAGAACCTTAGTTGATGAGATCTCACCAGCCTGACCTGAGATCGCTTTATTATGCTCGATATGCTCGATACTGGGTATATCATATATCTTTTAATCACTGAGAGTATCATCACCCCTGGGTATATCATATAGTATCATATATCATCACCATGGTATCACCATGGTATCACCCCTCAGCCGGTCCTTCTGGTTCTGGTCCTTGCGGTCCTTGCGGTCCTTGCGCCTCTGGCACCGGCACTGGCGGCTCCTGGTGGCCTTGGTGAGACAGTCGCGGCATGCGGCCCAGTGGCCGATGCTAACATCTCTGCGTAGGCTACTTCATCCAATTCATCATGTTCATGCATAATTAAACAAATATGAACACACACACAATATATATATATATATATGATATATGTATGTATGTATGATTAATGATTCAATGATTAATTATATTAATTATTAATTTTGTCACTTATATATTCAGCACATACTCAGCACATTTTTGGCCATAACAATTGAAATGTTTGACTGAAATTTTGAGCAAACGACTTCGGTTCTCTGGCTCCACTGGCTCCACAGGCTCCGCCTACAAGTCTTAAGAGGCAACAAAATGTAACGCTTAGCATTCGGGTGGAAATGAATCTTGGGAGATGAACGAGGACAAAATCGATCAAAATCGGCATTTGGGGCCATGGGCGCCTCTTGGTCCCTCGGTGGTTCCAGCAACAACGTCACAGGACGCTCCTCAATCGGAATCGGGAGCAATCGAGCAGTTACAGCAACATCATCAACATCCTGATTTCGAAGAAACTCCCCTCCAAACTGAGCGAAGACGAGCGAAGACGAGCGAAGACGAGCGAAGACGAGCCTTCAGCTTCTCCTTGATTTCACTGATGTCCTGGGATCACGGATCAATCGATCGATCGACCTTTCACCATCTTCCAGCGTCATCTTCCACCGGGTCGTATCTGTCCATTGGATTACCAAGGTGCAGCCATGGCATCGCAATCGTGTCCGTTGATGGAGATCAAAATGAAGCCTCAACATTGAAAAAATGCTGAAAATTAGATCAAAATTTTAAACATCAAAGAAACATGGGGATAAGATGGGAGAAGATAGGGAAGTTAGCCGATTTTGCAATCCAATGATCCAATGTTATTCAATTATTCAATGTTATTCGTTGATCTGAAAACGCCTGACAGATCTCACCTCCCAAATCATGGTGCCGAGAAACCCGGTGCAACCTGGTGCCTCGGCAGAAGTCAAACACATCGGATCGAAAATGATTGGGGCATGTCAACGTCAGCAAGTTGGCAAAGGGCAAATACCAACAACATGTCAACACAATGCCAACAAATCGGAACAGATTAGATTCATTAGATCCATGATGATCGTGAGATAATCATGACATGCATGTCCAAGTCTTGTCCAAGTCTTGTCCAAGTCTTGGCCACGGAACTGATGTGCAAGGCCCCCTGGTTGCACTTTGGTAACTACCCGGCAGCTGCTCTCCTAAGTTGAAAAAGCTGAAGCAACGTCTGAAACAAAGACATCTAAAAACATCTAAATCCAGGTCCAGCTAAACACATCACCTGGACCTAAACATGTCACCTAAAGGAACGCCCCAAAGGAACGTGAGGTGTTTCTCCAAGTCTCGAAGCCGCAGCCCAGCTTCGCATCTTTGTCAGGCCTTGGCCAACCGGCTTTCGGCTTTCAATTCTGGTGGATTGGCAAGATTTACAGGAACGCGAACGCTGTGAACGCCGTGAACGCCGTGAACGCTGTGAACACCGTGAACGCCGTGAACGCTGTTGGTTAGAGAAAGCGGAAATCAGCTCCCACCAGCTCACTAAAATGCTTCGAGCAGCAAGGATATCGTGACAGAAGCCATGAGGAAGAATGACCGTGGAATACGGGCCGGCTGTAGTCAAAGAAATGCTGTCAAGTCTGCATGGGTACTGCAAAAAATCGCACATACAAATTACACAAAAATCAAATAGCATCATGCCATGCTGATAAAGCCGATGTTAAAAGAATGTAAAGATATGTAGCGTATTCTTGGAAAATGTTTATAACGTATATTCTTAGTATTCTTATCAGAGTCCATTTCGTTGTGAATGTGCTTTGGGTCCCAATGTGTTGACAGAGCTGACGGGGCGAAGCTAAGCCATGAACAGCATCAATGCCAGCAGCAAAGGCAAACATGTCGAACCACTGAACGGGTTGGGAAAATGATGTTCCACAGCACACATGATACCAGTACCTGACACACACACACAACAATGCAACAATGCCGCAAACCGATGCCGCTGATACCTTTCAAAGATTTTCAAAGTCTCGGTGACAAACATGACTAACATGACACACATTTACGAATTTACGAATTTTACGAGGCTCTTCCAGCCCCAAGCGGCCCCAAGCCTCGACATCACACCGGTTGTCCTCAGGCACTGCCCCCAAGCTGGGTGGCACAACTTCTCATGTGACACCTGACCCTAAGAAAGCGTTGAAGTCAACTCAAGGATCTCAAGGGTAGGACTATTAGGACTAAAGATTATTAAAGCCTTGACATCTCAATTTTGATGTCTTTGCGAGCTTCATCTGCGGTAGAAGAATATCAAATGCACTTTGGGCACCAGTGGACATCGACACCAGTTTCAAGCTAGCCTCTTTGGCGACAAATCGGCAGCAGGAAACAGGCTTGGCACTGACTCAACCAGCCTCACTGTCACCAGATGGCTCCAAATCACCAGGAATCACCAGGAACAACCTGAGGAACCCTGCAACCTCCTGCGACGGTAAGCCAAACCTGTACGCCTTTCAAAGCTGCATGGGATTTGACACTAAACTATGCAAAGCCTGCATTTGTTTTAGGACAACAGTTTGAAGTCGTAAGTTCATGTAAGTTCGTCACGGCTAGCGTCACCATCATCTCCCACCTGCAAGAAAGGAGATGCCAGCAGAAAAAATGCATAAAGCGTGGTGAGAGTAAACCACTGAGGCACTTGACGGCACTTCTTACAAACCTTCCGGGATCTTCCGGGATCTTCCGTGTGGAAAGCATGGGAGAAAAAAAACGTTGCTCCCTTTAACTTGTGCTTTAGCCTTCCATGCTCCATGCAAAGTCACCTGCGTCGGGAAAAATTACTCAAAGGACCTTGAAGATTCATGTAGAAAGGATTGGCTGATTGGCCAAATAGCTCATTGCTTGAATGACCGGCCCATAAGCATTGAGTTTCTAAAGCGAGGTCAAATAGAAGCCTTTTCACGTGCGAAACTCATGTAGCTGATGCTGACGCAGGGCAAGCCATGGCAAGCCTGCATGTTGCACCTTTGAGAAAAGATTAGAAAAGTGAGACCAATGCCTTTAGCAAAGTACGCCGAGCATGGCAAATGCTAAGAACAAAGCAAGTCTCCAGTATCTCTGCGCCTGCATCTTAGGGTTGCAACTGTTGCAACTGCTGGGACGCTTCTTTCACCGCAGGTGTGGTGGGCGTGGTCACCCGTGACCCGCTGTTGGCATCTGTCTCACTCTCGACGGGCCGCTGCCACTGGGAACGTCCGGAAGTGTTGTTCCAGTAGTACCTTAATTTAGCGATGCCGTCCTTTGAATTTTGAATTCTGTCGCAATCGGCCTGTCCCAAAATGTCCCAAATGCACTGAGCATAAGAACAACAAAAGCCCTTGGCCGACCCTGCTCGGAGTGTCCCCTTGATCTGGGTGTGACAGGGTGTGACCGCACAACATAAACAACACTGACAGCAGGTCAGAAGTGACACAACTGCAACCGAGCCCAACCGAGCCCAACCGAGCCCAACAGGCAACAGGCAGACCTGCTCCTGAAATTTCTGCCCATTCTGCCCAGCAGCCAGGCACTTTGACTTGCATCAAAATGTTTCTCCCATCCCGATGGCAAATCTTCGAGTTCCTGTCGATCCAGTGCCGTAAGAACTTGTCAAGCTTCCTATCTACATCAACTGACTCATTCGAATCATTCGAGGCCTCGCCAGGTTCTGTGGCTGCTTCCTGGCACTTCATGACATCAAAAACCATCAAACATCACTAAAAATCAACAAAACTCACAGACATAATGAAAATTGAAGCGGAACATCTTCGAACGTTTTCGCAGACATTTGGCAAAGGTCTTGGAGGGTGTGTCTTTCCATTCGGGATTCGGCCTGAGTCACATCAGCCACATCTTCTCCGTTTCCAACCAGCCTTGGAACTCAGCCGTGCTGATCTGCATCGAGGTGGTTATGAACAAATTACAAATACAATAAATATGATAAATGATAAATATAATTTCTATATAATTTCTTTATAGTACCAGTAAAATAAAATCAATAAATCACAAGGTGCATTCAAGACTTGCAAAGACTGGCCTGTTTTGCCAGTTGAATCTGGACATATCTGGACTAAAGGTGCCGCCAGAAAGTAACCAGCACAAGCTGGCCATTGCTGACAAGCCTGGGCTTCTGGCATGAAGTCTTCATTGAGGAGCTCAGATGCACTGAGCCGCTTTCCTTCCGGAACATGTTTTCTGTTCACAGGGGAAAAACTGGGAACACCACAACTGGATCTTGCAAATAGGCTAGGTTATATAAACACATATAAATACCATAAATAGGCACCACATGGCACCACTATCACTCAGGTTTGCGTGGCAGTTGGATAAACATGATTAAGCACAGACTTCAGCAATTTTGCAGTCTCACATTTTTCGAGCGGACAGGACATTGTGAGGACGGCACAGCTCAAACCAAAAAACCGACAATCCGAGTAGCGATGTCTGCATCTGTCAGAAGATACGAATCTACTGGCTTCGTCTTCACAGCTTTCGCGTACAATTCTGCAACTTTGCTGCATGTAGTAACGCGTTTCGGTGGATCATGCTTGCCCTTGGTGTGATAAGGCCAAAGAAAAAGGACTTTGCCTTTGAAACCTTTCACATTGTTTCCCAAGGACGAACCATCTAGGCTCTTAGGAAATGTACCATCAAAAAACCATAGCCAAGGCCCCGTGTACTCCTGCAATGCAAAGTTAGGATCTTTCTTCATCTTTGCCTTGTACTGAGCTTCATCCATCTTGTTCAACCTGTTTTCCAGGACCAAGTTGCTTGCTCGCTTTGGATTCGCAATCTTGTACCTTACAGCCCGCACTGCACCCCAGTCTTGACCATACAAGAGTGGCTTGGCTAAGCCAAGCCAATCGCAAAGCTCCAACAGAACTGCGACATCCGAATCCAAGTGTTTTTCGGCGCTTCCGGGCAATCTGGGTGCCAGCACCTGGCAGTTGATGTCCGTCAGTGCCGTGATGAGGTCTTGCAACTCTTCCAAACCATTCCCTAAACCACCAAGAAGAATCACTGTCTCTTCAGCCGCTGACTTCCAGGTACCCCAAACTTCCACATCACCAGAGGTCAAACCAACTGATCCTTTCCCCCCAGTGAGATTCAACTGATTTCCGGCTTGGGCAATCTTCTCTCTCTCCTGAGCTGCTTGGTCTTGTGTTTCCTTCTGTTCTACCTTGTTCTTTACGTGCGATGCCTGCATGGCAAAGCGAAGAGTGCTGATGCTCTCACTCAAGGAGTCTGCAGCTTGTGTGACACATGCAATAAGAGCAGTTTTACTGTTACCACCCAAACCTGCTTTCAGCAACATCGTCAGAGGTGAGGCATTGTAGGGGATGAAGACCTTGCTCTGATTGATCTGATTGGTGTTATTGGTGTCGGCTTCAATGAGAGACATCACGACTCTCCCCAAGGCCGTCAGAGACAGATTCACGTTGGTGGCCTCGGCAAAGCCGTCACCAGTGACTCCACTCCGTGCCACCCGCTCACTGCCGGCCAGATCGACGATAAACATCGAGGAGAAGATCTCGCCATCGCCGCCATGTTTCAATCGCAGCATCAAAATGGCATGGCTACGACTGGAGACTTCATTCATGTCTTGTGCTCTCGTAGCACGTCGTGTGGCTCCTGTGGCCACAGCTTTGAGAATCTGAGCGGCGGAGGTGGCTCTGTGGCTGGTCAAACCAAAGAGCTCAACTCCAGCTTTGCCCTCGACAAGTTTCCCAAGACCTGGTGTATCTACCAACAAATCCTTGAAGTCGTCCAAGTAAAGCTGCACGTATTCATAGTGTAACTCTTTGTCTGTTGGCAATCTTTCAAAAATGTCTGACAAACTTCTGGTCACGATTCCAGGATCCTCTCTGGGACCAAAAATGGTGTAAGTCTTACCGGTGCCAGTTTGCCCATAGGCGAAAATCGTGACATTGGTTCCGGTCAAGAAGTCTTGAACAAATGGTTTAGCGGTGGCATTGTAAATAGCCTCTTGACTCATAGATTGCTCGAACACACGATTGAACACATAGTTCCCTTTCATGCTGGAATCACCACCTTGCACTGAAATACGCTGAGGTGGCGGGTCACGCGGAAAATCGGTGTCGGAGACAGCGAGGCAATTCTCTGATCCTGCTTTCAATTCCCTTTCTAAAAGTGGCCGGATTCGGATGAAGACCGAAAATGTGTCATTGATTTCGCCCATTTCAATGGAAGTCATCTCTGGCCCCAGATGCAGACCTGTCTTCACAGTCACCTTCCTCGGTGCCATCTGGACATAGTCCAAGAGTTCCTCAAAACATTCCGCCGATGCTCGAAAAACCAGTGCATGGCCGGCCACTGCCAAGGCAGTCTTCTCCAAGCTGCCTATCCACCAGCTGCCATCCTTCATGCTTTTGATTGGAGTGGGGCCATCTGCATCCTTCACTTTCCAAAGGACAAAGGTTCCCAACAAACCCATACTACTGGGGTCTAGGAGCATCTGTGAAAGTTGATTGAGGCCAGAAAGCATCCAGGGCGGCTGAGTGGGATAAAACTTTTCACAACCACACAGCATGATATCAGCCCCGCGTGCTTCAAGGTTCTCTCGAAGTCCCTTAGGGACTTCTCCAATCTGTACATTCAGCAGCACGTGATGGGCTGCAAATGGGGCAGGGTTTTGCGCATAGGCTCGCAAAAAGGCACAGGCACCAATACCCTCAGCAAAAACTGAAACGCTGCCGTCAGGTGCCCCGAGGCACTCCATGAGACGCAAGAGTAGCTCTCCACTACAATTTGTAGACCAATCTTTTCCACCTTTTCCACTTGCACGGCCAAAGCCTGGGAGATCCAGAGCCACGACATGAAATCCTTTCTCTGCCATTGGCAGCCAAAAGTGGCTCCACAAAGCCATGCAACGATCATCACCAAAGCCGTGAAGACATAAAGCCACTCGAGTCACTCGATGCGGAGTTTCAACTGTTTCAACTGCCAAGCATCGAAGAGGCATGGTGTACTCGACACTTCCAAAGGTGGTCTTGGCTGTGTATCCGACCAAATTGGACATCAACCTCTTTTCGTCCTCGTTAAACAAGGACCCCTGGAAGAATGCATCGGCATCATCCAGATCTTGTGGCTCCAGTGACATCTGCCCAGTCGACACTGGAGCATAGGCAGCATAGGCGCCATCGATGGCACCCAGCGACGCACCAGAACCCATGGTGTGGATATCAGATCTGGGTTGCACAATTCAGGCAATTCAGATTAATTCAGCATGTCAAAATATGTCAAAATCGATTTTGCTTCTGATAGCTCTGGGTGATTTTAGTGAATTTTAGTGAAGCTGGCAGGCCTGACGCGTTTCACACCAATTCTCTTGACTGTTTTAGGTGTGATATGGTGTGATACTTGTGGATGATCGATCTGACTAAGTTGGCCGAAGGGGCTTTGCCTTCAGCTGAGCCATTAGACCGGACACGTTGCTATGACGTTGATATGAACCGCACTATGCGGTAGGAATCATATGAAGTCTATTGAAGTCTTACTGCAGGTACGAGTCGTAGTCCCAACGTGTCTGAGTGTTGAATTTGTGATAATTTGTGATAATTTGTGGCTTGAGATTAACTTCAGATGCCTCAGTGTTTGGGTCCTGGGTCCAGCTGCGTGCAGCGCCGGATGAAGTTCTTGCACTTCAAGGAGACTGTGTCCTTAATGAAGACAGCACGAAAACAGCAACAAATGCCAAGATTTGGAAAACATCGGAAGACTGAACATCACTGAACCATATTGAACTTCATCTTGGCTACACTGAGAGGCTGAGATAGTCAGTAAATGTCAGTAGTCACACTAGTCACAACAGAGATTGCCAAACCTTGGTTGAGATGAACGGAACTGAACCCCCGAATGCCGGGCCATCTTAAGCGTCTTAAGGCACTGGCAGGGATGGGAGGCAACTCCCCAGACATGCCAATCTTCAAGATCCTCAGACTGATCAGACCATGTCAGACCATGTCAGACCATCTCAGACCATGTCAGGGTACCATATGTACCAGGTGACCGTTGTGTGGTATACGATATGTATATATATATATATATATGGATATGGATATGGCGTATACGGCGTATACTGCGTATACGGCATGCATCGGCATGCCGATTGACGGGAATTGGCTCCGTGCCAGGTGGCGCTGCCATGAGATTGTCAAAGTGGCCCCATGGAGAATCCGCCGTGGCCATCCTGGGGTGTCATGGGGGATCTGCCAGGGATGGCTATGGCTATGGATGGCCATGGCATGATCCGTAGCCAAAAGTGGAAAAGGTGAGCCCCAAATCCGCCAAGAAGCTCGATAACTAGGCATCCAAAGCTCCAAATATCACCTGCAGAGGAATTCCATCAACTCTGATGTTATTTGTATTTATTTGTCACATATTTGTCACTTTTTGTCTGCATCTAAGCGAATGTTAGAACTGTTAGCCTGCTCTTCCGAAGCGAGAGTGGGTCAGAACCTGCCGGAGATGGAGCGACTCGCAACGCAGAATCAGGAACTCAACTTGGTTTGAATATGTTTGAATCATTCAGAAATCATTGATATCATTCATTCTAAAATTCTAACCCCACGACTATTTTCCGCAGAACCTAACGTTCGCCCATGATGACATAATATATCTCAAATTTCCCACGGTTTTACCACATGCTTCATCCGCGGTGCTAACCGCCTTGCAGGGATGGACGGTGCACAAGGTGTGGCCCCTCGCCACGCGTACGACATGAAATTTGCTTCATAGCTCGTTTCACAATAGTTTGCGGCAACAACCCTTCGCAGACTTCGTAGGGTTCCGTGGAAAAGAAGGGCCGTTTCGTGCGAGAAAACACAGGCTCCGGGCAACCGTCCGGATCTGTGCGGACTATTTTACACTTTACATATCTTTACATATTCTACCAACCATCTGCCAACTTACCATAACTTACCATAACTTACCATAGCGGCTGCCCCTTGCACCATCCATCGCCACCTCGGGTGCCATCCATGGAATGGAACCTTCGATGGTCACAGCAGTGGTCTCCTGAAGAGGCTCCATGTGGCCACGTACAGAACATGATAGTTAGATATAGTTAGTAGAATATAGGGGCCAAATATGTTCAAATCTGATTTGCGAATATTTGCGATGCATGTCCCATCATTTTCCAATCCAAGAGTTATTCCCTTGTTATTCCTTTGTTTTTCACAGAGAACTTCTGCTTTCCCCGTCCTTTGCTCTCTTGGAGCACCCAAAGTCTGCCAGCTTCACCAGGGAATCGACTCCCACCAGGACGTTGGCGCCCTGTCCATGCTGACCGTGAACAGCGATTTTTTTCAAGCTATCCCAAGACATAAAAACAGTTAAAAACATCTGTAACTATATGAACTCATCTATAATATATGCAGCATATTATATGCATATTATATGCATATTATATGCATATTATATGCATATTATATGCATATGTGAATATATGCAGATGATTCAGATGATTGTATATGTATATATTTGTGACACATCTCAGGAGGGCAACGAGGTGCCTTGATATCTCGGTGCAAAATGTAGGGGTTCTGGGTGTGGAGATATTCCAGCCCTAGGCGTAGCTGGGCTGGAGAACAGGCCAGCAATGGAAAGCCCGCGGTCTTCCAAAATTAAACTTAATATACCGATATACCTGTCATATACCTTTCATTGCCTTCATCACCCTCCATCAACCCCAAGTAATCCCAGGTATAAGAAGTATAGCATTCACAGAAGTCATGTTGTGCTTCGGGCGCTGGGATCTCTGGGGATCCTTGCCAGAGAGCAGCTGCTGCCTGACAGCTGAAGCTGCACCAGCACGATCTGTATGAACATCACATGGACAGGCTGGACAGGGTAGAATCACGTAGAATCTCAGTGTCTCAGAGTACGACGTATAGCGTGCCATGAGGCTCTCTTCCAAAGGTCCGAAGTTCGAAAGCACCTGCGCAAGGCAGATCTTGGCGGATCTTGGCATCCACCCACTTCACGGCGTTCCGCTGGTGCGCCTGGGACAGGGAGCCACCTGCCATGTATTCCAGGTACATTTGCAGGTGGTTCTCGTCGGACCAATGGCAGCCATAGTAGGAAACGATGTGCGGATGCCTCAGTGGTACTCAGCCAGTGGTACTATGTGGTACTTCAAAGCTTCTGCGTCGTACTGTTAGGCGTACTGCATGATGATTTCACAAAACTGTGATCGTTTCTCCTAATCTTTGGGAAGACCAAGTCACCTGAGACTACTCATGAGGTCAATCTCGTTCTCCAACTGCACCTGTGGTATGAGAATTAAACCTTACAAAGGAATCCTCCAAGGAGTTGTCTCCCATTCTCTCTCTCTCTCGCTCCATTGTCTGATTGGTACCTTCAGCTTCTCATCTGGCTGGCGCTTAACATCAATGTACACTTCCTTCAAGGGCTTCACAGTCACGGTTCCACAAATTAAAAACAATTTCCTTGTCTCCCCTCACCACCACAAAAACTTTTGCGCAAGGGACAGCCCTTGGAATGTCACGGAATAAGATAAGATAGCTGATGATAGATGTACTGCATAATCGTATGTGTATATAATATATATACGTATATATATATATATTGATATGTTGGTATGCTATGGTATGGCATGGCATGTTTTGTGATGTTATGGTATAGTGTGGTGTGGTCTGGTCTGGAGTGGTATGGTATACGGTATGGTATGTGATGGTATGGTATGGTATTGTTTGTATGCGTACATTTAGGTATGTATATCTATCTACCTACAAACATGAAAGCCTATTGAACCATTCATGACTAGGTCATGGGTGTCGAGAACGATACCGGAAAGCATTAGTCATTGGGTCCTTCACAGCGATGACCATTCCAGTCTCGTGGTGCATTGCTTTGAACACACTACCGAATGAGCCTGAGTTTGGGCTGTTTGGGCACACAGATTTTTGCGGCAAAACATGTCACCACTCCACTCGTTGCCAACTGTCAAGCACACTAAGCACACTCATCATTCTCATACGCGTGAGTCCGACGATTCGATGGACAGTATGACAGTATGAGTACAGTATGAAACTGTGAATCTCGATATATCTCGATCTATGCTGCCCACCATGGCCAATGCTGTCTCCACGTTGAAGAGACGTGGGATCAAACTTCATTTCCAGAGCCTCGGATCCGCTTCCAGCAGCTGAAGCCAAAAGACTGTCAACCACCGGGAGAAGATGGGGGAAGTGCAGCCGTCAGACGCGGTTCTCGCATGTTCTCACCGTTTATCTTCTCACATCTCGCCAATGTGTGATTTCTGTTTGATTGCCCATCTTTTGGTAAGCGGCCGGTTTCTCCTCCATTGGTCCCTGCACCTGCGATGATCACACTAATGCAGTGGGGATAACAAACCATTGAGCCTCTGTGAATTGTTAGTATACATATGCGTATCCCCCCACACACGCATAAACAAACAAATACATGTGTATACAATATTAATATGTTAATTAACATTATATATAATTATATATTGTATAATGATATATATATATATATCTATGTACTCTATGTACTCTATGTACTCTATGTACTGTATGTACTGTATGTATGGTATGTACTGTATGTACTGTATGTATGGTATGTACTGGATGTATGGTATGTATGGTATGTATGGTACGTATGGTATGGTATGGTATGGTATTGTATGGTATGGTATGGTCTGGTCTGGTATGTATGGTATGTATGGTATGGCATGGCATGTTTTGTGATGTTATGGTATAGTGTGGTGTGGTCTGGTCTGGAGTGGTATGGTATACGGTATGGTATGTGATGGTATGGTATGGTATTGTTTGTATGCGTACATTTAGGTATGTATATCTATCTACCTACAAACATGAAAGCCTATTGAACCATTCATGACTAGGTCATGGGTGTCGAGAACGATACCGGAAAGCATTAGTCATTGGGTCCTTCACAGCGATGACCATTCCAGTCTCGTGGTGCATTGCTTTGAACACACTACCGAATGAGCCTGAGTTTGGGCTGTTTGGGCACACAGATTTTTGCGGCAAAACATGTCACCACTCCACTCGTTGCCAACTGTCAAGCACACTAAGCACACTCATCATTCTCATACGCGTGAGTCCGACGATTCGATGGACAGTATGACAGTATGAGTACAGTATGAAACTGTGAATCTCGATATATCTCGATCTATGCTGCCCACCATGGCCAATGCTGTCTCCACGTTGAAGAGACGTGGGATCAAACTTCATTTCCAGAGCCTCGGATCCGCTTCCAGCAGCTGAAGCCAAAAGACTGTCAACCACCGGGAGAAGATGGGGGAAGTGCAGCCGTCAGACGCGGTTCTCGCATGTTCTCACCGTTTATCTTCTCACATCTCGCCAATGTGTGATTTCTGTTTGATTGCCCATCTTTTGGTAAGCGGCCGGTTTCTCCTCCATTGGTCCCTGCACCTGCGATGATCACACTAATGCAGTGGGGATAACAAACCATTGAGCCTCTGTGAATTGTTAGTATACATATGCGTATCCCCCCACACACGCATAAACAAACAAATACATGTGTATACAATATTAATATGTTAATTAACATTATATATAATTATATATTGTATAATGATATATATATATATATCTATGTACTCTATGTACTCTATGTACTGTATGTACTGTATGTATGGTATGTACTGTATGTACTGTATGTATGGTATGTACTGGATGTATGGTATGTATGGTATGTATGGTACGTATGGTATGGTATGGTATGGTATTGTATGGTATGGTATGGTCTGGTCTGGTCTGGTATGGTATGTATGGTATGTATGGTATGTATGGTATGTATGGTATGTATGGTATGTATGGTATGTATGGTATGTATGGTATGGTATGGTATGGTATGGTATGGTATGGTATGTGTGTGTATGTATGTTAGTATGTTAGTAATGTAATGGTAATGGTAATGTAATGGTAATGGTAATGTTACGGTATGGTATGATATGTATACACGCTTGGCAGAGAAATGCCATTAACTAAATGGAATGATATAAAATTCATGGCTTGAACTATTGTGAATAGTAAATTTTGAGCCTCCCTCTGCCGATGGTTGTATCAGAATAGGGACCCAACATCAACAACAGTTTCTGGATCACCTACTCCTTCCACAAGTCACCCAACATCGCAGGCACATACGTTCGATTCAAAGACCATCAAATGCCAATGTTTTCTTTGCAATGTTCCAGGCCCACATACATCATCTTAGATGTTTACCTGAGACCATTTCAGACACTCTATCAATATGTAGATACTATATACTGTATATATATATGTGTGTGTGTGCATGCATATATCAATGATATATGTATGTAGTATGTATATAACACACATATATATATATATTAATTATATGACCATATGGATATGTACATAATCTGAATATGAAAATTATATCTTTGTATATCATACATCCCAGATACCACTGCCACCGTGCAAGCTTCGGCGCCTGGATCTCGGCCACGCCTTGGGCACCACGGGTACAGGTCAACGTGACCTCCGTGGCGAAGCCGACCTTCACCATGGGCTGCCGCTGCTCCGCCTGGGATGGTCATTGATGTCATTGGGAGAAAGACTTAAAGCAAAAAAAACATCTTTTCCTAAGATATTGGTGTTGGTCTTGATATATTTGTGATATATTTTTTGGGTTGATTCGTATTGCTGCAACTGGTCTTGGTTGCTCTTGTGATGTTCCTGCTTTGAAATATGAGACTGTAGCGGGTCCAATAGTTTTGGTTCAATCCCACTCTCCAAGTTGCCTCTTTCAGGTAGTTCCGAACGTCCTCAGCACACAAAGTTGATATCAAAATGGATGGTGGAGATTGTTGGTGCTGGTCCGGATCGCCGGTTCATATGGTTCATGCACAGCAAAATGGTGAACGATAAAGACCGGTGAAATGTTCGATATATACAACACTTAGAAAATGTATAAACGTACAGCACTAAAAGCGAAGCACTAGGTTGTTGCCCACCATGCAAAAGATAAAAACACAACTTTTTTAAACAATGTCCCAAGGTAATCAAACGGGGCAGGTGAAAATCTTTAACCATTTTATCCCCCAAGAAGATTTTCTCTGAATTCAACTGCAGACAAATGTACACAGGATAGCTTCTCCTATTTCTCCTGGGGCCATGTTCCTTAATTATCTTTAATTATTTTCCAATGCCATCCAATGCCAACATTTTTGCCCTAGACCCTATCATCTCTCTTAACCTCAGTTCATCATCTCATCCATTCTCATCCCTTAGGATTTGGATTTGGACAAGGTGGGTAGGCGATGCCATGCGATGCCGAGTCGCGCTTTCGTTGGTGACAGCCTCTGGCAACTCGACGCCGAGCTGTTGAAGCTGCGAGCCCAGTTTCACCTCGATGCACTCAGCTGGACTCGGACGCTGAATCGCTGCCAACGGGACACCAGATGGGACACCAGATGGGACACTGTCTTCGTTTGAGGTTTCACTAGATTTCATGAGATTTCATCACTTCTTTTGTGGAGTCGAAAGACATCGAAACAATGCGAAACATCCCAAGATCTCCGATTCGAGTGGCCACTGCCGCCGACTTTCGTGGAGCGCTGGGTACACTGGGCGGGCCTTGCAGGTCCAACTGTTTTCCAACTTTCAACTGATGCTCACTTGGTCCATCATTTGGGTTCAACCATTATGTAAGATAATATGTAAGTTCTGATGTCACTTGTCATTTGATTTCACCACATTGATTTTGGGGTTTCTCATGGTTTCTCCATGTTTCTGGGACATGCTTTCAGATCACGGTTGGCACTGCGGCGCTGCACTTGACCACCCCCAGGCCAACCGGCCTATCCCCAGGCCTTTCCGTTCTGCTTCGCGTTCTGCCTCTGCCAGGAGCGTCTTCAGCTCGCTCTTTTCCACGATGGAGCCAGGCACTCTGAAGCCTAACCTCCACAGCTTCGCGCTGTCAATGCTCGATGAATGATGGGTTGAACATGTTGAAAGGAATCAGTTGTGAACATGAATGTTCATAGTCGTGCCTACACCTCACTTTTTTCAACGAGCTATGAGAAGCTATGTCACTTGTGTAGACCGGATATCTAGTGACATGAACATCCATGATATCACATGACAACATATCAAAATCGACTAGAAATGGAAACACATCATATCAAAACATCTTGATAACATATCAAACATCATATCATGTCGGAGACGTTCCGGGACGTTCCGGGGCTCCGGGCTGCCGCAGCCGTCGCTTCATTTCTGCTACGGAGCTGGAAGCGGACGGCGAGGCATCTTCCGTGCCTTCGGCTCTGGTCACCGCTTCACCCGATACGAACCCGGTATGTTTATACATTTTATAATATATTATGATATTATGTATGTTTCACCTGATGTATCCTGATGTTAATTTGGCATAGTGCGCCTGGCTGTTGGGCCTTGGCGGCATCTTTGGCTGCCTACGAGACATCACCGTGTCACCCGCTGACGACACGAAAAAACAAATGAGAACTAGAACAGGTCGGCTGACACAGCTGACGCCAGCTGATGCCTTCTGCCTTTCCGCTTCCTCCACTAAAGCCTCTAGCTCTTTCTTCCTCAGCTTTGCTGTAGCATTGCTGCTGCTGCTGGTTCACAGCTTCAAAAAACATCATACACACTGCATTAAATCATATTCAATCCATTTTGATTTCGGATTCTGAGTCTGAACTACTTGATCTAATTGCAGTTCTAGCTGGCCATTGTAACATATTGTAACCACTCCCTCCAAATCCAAAATGGATTGGCGCAACTTGACCTTGCAAGTGTCTCCACCACATTCGCGGGGAGCTTCCATCCCATATCACGTAGACGAGCCTGCATAAATCACCAAGCTTTTGGATCTTTTGGTTTTTGCTGCCATCTGCTCTTTGAAGCTCAACACCAACAACTGCGGAGGGAAGGGAATTGGATGAAGTTGGGCTCCCAAAGTTGAGACGATCTTCGGTGTACCTTGAGCTCAGCCACTGTACGAGATGGGGACGCAAGCAAGTTCAATGGCCTCAGCTTCGCGCACTGTGCTCTGGTGTGCAGATTCTGAGTGGTCTGAGATGGGGATCTACATGGATCCACGAAACATCAATTTGACTGAAACATGCAGTCAATAGTCAAATTCAGTCAATAAGAGTTGAATTCAAATCATTCAAATTGACCCCAGAATCTTCAGAGGCTCGGCCTCGCATCCTACGCGTGGTTCGAAATCAACAACCAGTAACCATCAGTAACCATCAGTAACCATCGATCCTCGTTGCCTCGTTACGTCGTTACGTCGTTCTCGTCACAAGGTCCTGGCTCTGTCTTCGGCGTCGAGGGGACCTCAATTTGAGGTGGATCCACCTGCAACTCATACCTTGGCGCAAAAGCTCCGTCACGTAGAAAGAAAATGAATGAAAATGACATAAACAATACATAACAATACATAAACATCATAAACGCAGCTCGGAACTCTTGAAATCATTTTCGAAATGTCATCGTGGCTCCCTGTCAGCTTTTATGTAGCTTTTATGTCGGAATCCGTGGAAGGGCTCAGCTGGTGCAAGACAAAATGCCGCTTTGCTGGTGCGGCGCGGATACATCCCGCACCCATGGCACGAAGGGCATGGGTGTCGACCGAAAGTCACACGCCAATCTCTTGTGTCTCGTGGCGAGGAAAAAACCGAGTCTCTTTGAAGACGCTGAGATCACGGACATCGTGACATCATCTTCTGGCAGATTGTGAGTCTCTCTCTCATTTTCTGGCAGATTGTCGTGCATTGTGGGATTTTGAACATGAAATTTGGAGAGCTGGAGCTGATAAATTTGGCTGCTAGCCGAAACAGCGATCAGATTTGTGAAGGGCTCAACTTGTGTCAGTTCCGCTCCGGCTTCCAGGTCGAATTCATGACATCAGGGCATACTGGGTCAATCTGCTAAGTATCTGGGTGATTCTGGATGTATCTGGGCCAATCTGGAACTCTGTTAGAAATCGAGTGTGAAATTGTGCTTTGTCTCCCGAGGCGATGTGCCTTGTTCCCAGGTGCCTGCAATGGGCCAATTCAATCCACGCCAGGCAGCCTTTGACTTGCGAGTCCGGCCCAGAACCCATGCCGCAGGCGCACCTGTCACGCGATGTGAAGTCTGTGAAGTCTGTGAAGTCTGTGAAGCTTCTTGATACTGTACCATACTGTACCGGCTGAGCTGGGAATCAACAAATCGCTTTTCGCCTGGCCGCACCAGTCACCTGCAAGACTTGCAAGAGTAAACTAACCGTTTGTATCGCCGAAGGCTCGCTTCAATGACATGGAGCACAAATCAATTGCAAGTCTGGGGAGCATCCAATTGGATCCAATTGGGTCTTGCATATCTTGCATCGTGCTCTTTATGCTCTTTTTATTCCGCGCAGACTGCACGACGAAGGTGCTCATGGCTCAATCTTAATTCTGGCTCATTCCAAGCGCGTGCAACTTGCGCAACTGCATCAAACTGGGCAACATCAGAGTTGCTGCTGAGCTATTCCGGATGTGACACCGTACAGCCGGAGCAACATCTTCCGCCGCAGCAAAAGGAAGAAAGCGGCTTCGTTGTCTGAGTGCGCTTTCGGATGTTACACACCATTAAGTAGATTTATGATCGCATCTCTTATGATCACTAATGATCATTTAGAATCTATGATTCGTGATTGTGTATGCAGTGGCTGAAAAAAGGCTTTCATGCCTTCAATGGTGGTATTTGACATGGCTTGGACATGCTTGGACGTAGCTCTGGCGGCTTCAGCCTGCGCAATTCACATCTTCGGTGTGATGTCCAAATTACGGGCCGTTGTAAGGGGCGCTGTCTTTAGTCGACGATCACGGGACCTCCTGCTTGCTTGTAGCCCTGGATAAAGGCTGCAGTCAGGTCATCCATCCTCAGCCATGGCCATGGCACGGTCATGTCTCTAGGATAAGTTGATACAGCTGAGAGATGCTGAGAGGCCATCCCTTGACTTTTGTGTTAACTTAAACTGTGTTGGTTAAAACTGTTTACACATGTGTACATCCAATACATCCAGTAAGGCTTTGAAGTGCTGTGGGCATCTCTTCCATAGCACGGAACAAACAGCGATGCCCAGCACCCCGGAGCTCCCGGCAGTTGCTCGTTGTAGCCTTTCTTCAACAAACCCATTGCTTCTCGAAAGTGCTCCTCACACAACACTGACACAACACTGACACAACCACGCACTGCAAGACCCTGCTGTGTTCCTGGGATATTGTGCCACTTAGATCCAATTAGTTGTTTTGGGATTTGCTCACTGCATCTTACTGCATCTCACTGCACAGTAGACTATGCAAGGTATGCTAGATGCCAAACTGTCAGCCCTCGCAACGAAGTTTGTTGAACTTTGTTCTACTGCCACTGCGCGCTGCAGGCTCTCCACATCGTTGTCCATAGTGGGGATACCCATTCCACCAACGTCCTGATTGTGCAAAGAGCAATGAGAAACTGAACATGTGAAGGTGGCAATAAAATAGCCGCCAATAATACTCACCTTTGGGTGGATTGATATGGATTGTCATGAGTTGAGATTGTTTGGAGCAGTTGACTGTACTTGCCAAGATTCGATGAAACAAATTGCACCAGTCACCTCATCGTAGAAAATGTTGAATGGCTGGAAGTCCTTAGCGAAGAACGAGCCAACATTCCTCTCCCAGTGATAGAAAGGCCAATAATACGACTGACCTTCCCTGGCAACCAAGTTGTCAGCCAACACATCTTGAGACTTTTGCATACTTTTGCGATCAAAGCAGACTTTATGCTCAATCAACACATATCGAAACTAAGTTGCAACGCTGACATTTATGCACTTTCACCCTGTTTCACCCTTCGGAGCAAATCATGTTCCACAAATTTCTACAATGCCTTGCTGTACAAGTCAAGCGTCCCCGTGCTGCTTGCCGTACCGTTCGTGAAAAGATGCCAGCTGCCGCCCCAAGGACTCCCAAAGCTGTCTGAGCAAAGGATCTTCTGAAGGCTCCTGCAATATGTCACAGTGGACATGTCGACATGATATGCAGAGACTCTTGGTTCAAAATGTGTTTGAACGTGTTTGACTGGATCTTGTGCATCCTACTCTTGATGCACATATATATATATGTATAATATGTATATACATTATATTAATAATATATAATACCTTATATACCTGTTCGATATGTATCCGGATCCTGCTGGGCATAGTACCATCGGCCGAGCACCTCGGCCAGTCGCTCTCCTGGGATTTTGCGCATGACCTGAGCGACGCGGAGCTACGTGGAGCTACGCAGCTGGAGATTTGTCGCACCCGGTTTCTGCCAAGAGGCGATCAGGTCGTATCTCTTGGTTCCATCCGTTGAGTAGCAACCTTGGCAACGACCCATCAGTTTAGTGAACATATGTGAATATGATGAGGCTTCGATACATTGATATACATTTTGATATACATTGATATACATTGTCACATTGTGAACTTCGAAGAAAGTGACTTGATGACGACGATCATGGCTCCAAGTTTCACCAAGGCAGTCCAGGGAATCCACAGAAATCTTCATGCCGCGCACTGAAATAGGCCACCGAGAGGCCACAGAGTTTCACGGGAAATGCAATGGTTTGATCTGCGCCTGCAGGATGGTGCCCCCCAGTGATGTTTGTTGGTTTATAACCCCCATTAACTATAGTTATATCAGTTATATCTGCCATAAACCATAGCTATGGGAGTTATAAACCAACTTAGCTAACTATGGGGCACCACCTTGTGGGGACGGCGTCCACTTTCCACACTTTCTGCACCGTGGTTCCGGCGGATGAATCCTCAGTCCCCGACCGATGCCAGGATGCTGCTGCCGCACTCGTTCCAAATTTTCGGCCTCCGTCGGCACCTCATGGGATTCAAAAAACTTGGCACCGGAAACATCGGAAACATCAACGTCATAAACAGCAAATCGATTAAATCACATAAAATTATCATAAAATCACATATATATATATATATCAAAAAACAACAATCAACAAATGATCTGCGTAACACAGGAGATGGCTGATGGCTTTGGGCCACCGGCATGGCAGGCGATCCGCTGGCATTTCACCAGCTTCAGCACATATGTCTCCTCTTCGCCATACATGAACCACACGCCTTCATTGAGGCCTGAAACGGATGGGACATGATGGGACATGATGGGACAAAGGCGTGTCTGCATGTACCCCCGGAATCTTGGCATTGGATGTATGTTGGGTGGAAGCGAAGCAGGGCCGTATCACATGCGCCATCCGATAGGGCTTCGCCTCCGGCAAAGCCTTTCATGGCTTCGATGCTGGAGAAACCTCCCGCGCTGAAAACACGGATTGACATTGTTTAAATACCTGACATATCCGACATATCCGACATATCCGAGATTGACACCGACAAGTTTTGATAGAATCATATAGAATCTATAGGTTTAATCCCAACTGAGCTGCCAACTTCCCAGCTTCTCGGCCAATTGCGTGCATAGCCTGCCCCAAGGGCTGACAGTGCTAAATGTTCATGCTGTTCATGCTGTTCATGCTTCATCCTTTCCCAACTTAGTAGTGAGGAATTTTATGAAGTTCTGCTTGGACCAGGCTTTTCTCATGTTTCTCTCATCAAGACATCAATCTGGATCAATTTTAACAATTTCTGCAGCTCATGAGTGTGTATAGTATATCATGTGTATATCAAACATCAAACCATCCATTGTTCAAACTTCTGGCACATGGCACCTGGGTTCTGATGGGTCAAAAACATCGTTCTCCAAAATCAGATCTCCAGCAAGGAGACCTGGCCAGGAAGCGATTCACCGTGATTAACCATCCGGTTTTGCCATGTTTTGCCATGGATTGTCATGTTTCACATGTCTTCTACGCTTTTCCGTTTTCAAAACGTGCTAGGATGTGCAAGGCTTCATGGAACCACGTTGCTTCAAATGTTCAATCATTCAATCAGTTATCGGCTATCGGCTTCATTGCAGTCGGATCCTTGTGAACACAACAAGTTCGGGGCCTCCAGATCGGTTGGTAGAGGCACCTGGCCAGCATTTCAGAAAAGCAAGCCCTTCAGAAGATTCTCTTCTCCAGATTCCGGATATTCCGGGTTCTGTCCCATGCCGCCAAGAAAAAGCTAACGGAACCCAAACATTTCCACCAGTAAAGCAAGATTTGCACTGGAGAACATCTACCAGAAATTACTCAGGGATAATTGATCATTCAAAGCCAAGTTGCAGTATCCTTTGGAGGTGTGGCCTGTCACACCACTGTACTTGTGCGCATGGTCAGGAGGCAGTCTCAAAATCTCTGAACAGGTTGAGCTCTCAATGTGAACATTCGGCAAATACTTAGACGCTGAAATCCATCCAAATGCCTGTCATCCAACCCAATCCAACGGTCGTGGTTTTGCGACATACAACTCACGTAAAACAATCCCATTTCAGAGACATTTGATTCAATTGGATGTTTTATGATATTTTTTTTCTTGCATTGGATCTGGGTCGGTAAAGGTTCGCACCGCTTCGCGTCCCGCGCCTTTGCGCTTGGGCACAAACTCCAATCCACTGCCCAAGAAGATCATGTCGGCCGGCAGCTCCCTGAACACTTCAGCTGTCGGATGCTGTCGGCCATATCGGCCATATCGGCCATATCGGCATTGTCCCATCATTGGCCTTGTGGGATCTTGTAACGCGTGCTCATCGTATCTGAATTTTCTATCTGATATGATACTTTATCAAAAAATATTCCAAAATCACTTGGATCGTTCATCGGTTCATTCAGCCACATTGAACATGGTCAGATGGTCTCAGTATGTCTCAGTGAATATATAGAAGATATATTGAAATACATTAAACATGCATAAATCTATAAACATCTAAGAAAATACTTGAAAGGCCGGATCCATCGCCTGTAGGGGACTCCTGAAGCGACCAAGCTGGCGGCCGTTGACCTCGGCACTCGAGAAAGAATGAGAAACTATGAGAAACTCATCACTCAACTGGTCTCGAGACTCGAGATGTTTTTGGAGCATCTGCTCGGATCTCAGGTGCTGCTCGGATCTCGGCACTTCAGAGGCGTTGGAGGTAGCAGCCTTAGCAGCGAAAGGCCATGCTATGCCATGCAGGCGACATCTGGCAACATCGGTGACCGTTGCCAAAATCCTTGCCGAGGTGCGTCGCGTGCGTAAGGCGGAGGATTGCAATCTCCTGGTGAGCCTGCTCAGATCTGCTCAAAGTCCACAAACCATGTCTTCTACGAACTGAACAACTGTAATTGGTTTAATCCAAAATATATGCATCCATGAGCTGCACTCAACAGTCTAACAGATCTTAGGGTAACCCTATCGAATGGTCTATGTCTTGATTTCAACCATTTTCCTCAATTTCAAACCTAGCCTATATGCACACCTTCAAAGGAAGAAACGTCGTTTGACATCGTTGACAATCCATGACCTGTGCAATACTGATCTGGATGCACCACAACGCTTCATCATGCTTCATCGCACCTTGGCATTGGGCTACCGGATTCTCACCTGCACTCAAAAAACAGGCCGGATGTATCATGATGTATCATCCACATCATCCGTTTGTTCTGGTCCTTTCTTGCCTGGTTTGGCTTCGTCGTCCACAGCAGGCTCCGCAGCAGGCTCAACAGCCGCAGCACCAGAGTTGGCTTCCTCCGTGCAGAACAGTGCAGAACTGGTGGCGGTTTTGGTGAATTCTTAATAGTATTTGATAGTATTGGATAGTCATCTTCTGTCATCTTCACCACTGTTTGCGTTGTATCCTAATGGTCGGTGAGCTTCCAATTTGTTCCAGACTTGTGAGTTCCCGGTCGCCCGTTTGACCCACTGTTACCTCTGACAACTGGTGACCTTTTGCCCAAGACAGTGCGACCGTGCCTGGGGTGGCTCCCGTCTGGGTCTCATTTTCGTTGCTACTGCCATCTTCTTCACTTCTAGGTCATAGTAGCCATCCTGCATGGAAGCTCATCATGCCCTGCACACTTCATTCTCATGAATAACAGCTCATAATAACATCGCATAACGATACTCAAAGTCTTGGATGTTGTCTCGCGCCATGAAACCACCCTTCCAAATCCGAATACCGCGGGCATTTGCATTTGCAGTAGAGCTGATTGCAGCTCCCTCGTCATCCCTTCTGAGCATTTCTGACCCGTCCTCGTGCACCTTTTGCACTCTGCAAGGCATCCAACGGCTGTAGGAGTCACCTTGGCAGCAAGTCACGACTCCGTGTTTCTAAATTTTGATACCGTAGACACCTTTTGCTTCAGAAATTTCAAGGTGGTAAAGAATGGTCACATGATTCACATGGGACATCGGACATGGAGCCTGCCTGATTCTGCTATGCGATTGAAAACCAAAGAGTATGCGACCAAATCACTCCAGTAGTCGACCAAATCTCCAAGTTTGTACTGAGCCTGGAAGGCATTTCTGCGCACACAAGATCCACAAGAACACCGACGTTTGGAAGAAGACACTGTGGGCTGTGGTTCAACCTAACCTGACTCTGATAGAGCTGTTGCAGCAGGTTTGTTGTCAGTCCAAACTCTCAGTTTTGAACATCAGACTTGATCTGTTTTGATTTTTGAAATTTAGCAGTGGATACAGTTTTGAAAATGACAGGAACACCACCCCATGCACAGCACCTTGGTCCGGCGAATCTTGCCTCAAAATTCTGCAGCAAGACCCAAACACGTCATTTTTTTTTGTAATCACAGCTATGATCACGAATAATACCATACAATATCATAGAGTATCATACAATATCATACAATGATACTATCATGAACGTATCGGATACAATCATCATGAACATATTCATAGTAGTATTCATATCGATTCACATAGTGTTCATAGTATATTAATGTAGTGTTCACATAGTATTCAGAATTATTCATAGTATGTTTATTTTATCAATGATCCGTTGATGACCCATTCGAATGCTGCTGCCACGTCACTGAGATCCGCCCGCTTCTTGCAGGAGAGGTCAACTCTGGTGATCTCCCCAGCCTAGGGGCAGACATGTCGCAGAAACTTTAGGTCAGTTAGATAGGTGATATATGGTGATTATATATCCCTGCGTGCATTCTGCAGGGTAGTTGTGCCCACTAAACCGTTTACAAACACAGCCTTATACTACAAAATGCTGCTTGAATCTGAACCAACCCCCCTTGCTACAAAATGTTCTATGGTGATTCTATGGTGATCCTATGGTGATTTTATGGTGATTCTATGGTGATTCTATGGTGATTCTATGGTGATTCTATGGTGGTTCTATGGTGATTCTATGGTGGTTCTATGGTGATTCTATGGTGATTCTATGGTGATTCTATGGTGGTTCTATGGTGATTCTATGGTGGTTCTATGGTGATTCTATGGTGGTTCTATGGTGATTCTATGGTGGTTCTATGGTGATTCTATGGTGGTTCTATGGTGATTCTATGGTGATTAAATGGTGATTCTATGGTGATTCTGTGGTGATTCTATGGTGGTTCTATGGTGGTTCTACGGTGATTCTATGGTGATTCTATGGTGATTCTATGGTGTTCTATGGTGGTTCTATGGTGATTCTATGGTGGTTCTATGGTGATTCTATGGTGGTTCTATGGTGATTAAATGGTGATTCTATGGTGATTAAATGGTGGTTCTATGGTGATTCTATGGTGGTTCTATGGTGATTCTATGGTGATTAAATGGTGATTCTATGGTGATTCTATGGTGATTCTATGGTGGTTCTATGGTGATTCTATGGTGGTTCTATGGTGATTCTATGGTGATTAAATGGTGATTCTATGGTGATTCTATGGTGGTTCTATGGTGATTCTATGGTGGTTCTATGGTGATTCTATGGTGGTGATTAAATGGTGATTCTATGGTGATTGTATGGTGATTCTATGGTGGTTCTATGGTGATTCTATGGTGATTCTATGGTGATTCTATGGTGATTAAATGGTGATTCTATGGTGGTTCTATGGTGATTCTATGGTGATTCTATGGTGATTAAATGGTGATTCTATGGTGATTGTATGGTGATTCTATGGTGGTTCTATGGTGATTCTATGGTGATTCTATGGTGATTCTATGGTGATTAAATGGTGATTAAATGGTGATTCTATGGTGATTCTATGGTGATTCTATGGTGGTTTTATGGTGGTTCTATGGTGATTCTATGGTGTTCTATGGTGTTCTATGGTGATCCTATGGTGATCCTATGGTGATTCTATGGTGATTCTATGGTGATTCTATGGTGATTCTATGGTGGTTCTATGGTGATTCTATGTTGATTCTATGGTGATTCTATGGTGATTATATGGAGATTCTATGGAGATTCTATGGAGGTTCTATGGTGATTCTATGGTGGTTCTGGTGATTCTATGGTGATTATATGGTGGTTCTATGGTGATTCTATGGTGATTCTATGGTGATTCTATGGTGATTAAATGGTGATTCTATGGTGATTCTATGGTGGTTCTATGGTGGTTCTATGGTGATTCTATGGCGATTCTATGGCGATTCTATGGCGATTCTATGGTGATTCTATGGTGGTTCTATGGTGATTCTATGGTGATTCTATGGTGATTCTATGGTGATTCTATGGTGATTCTATGGTGCTTCTATGGTGATTCCGTGGTGATTCTACGGTGATTCTATGGTGATTCTATGGTGATTCTATGGTGATTCTATGGTGTTCTATGGTGATTCTATGGTGATCCTATGGTGATTCTATGGTGATTCTATGGTGATTCTATGGTGGTTCTATGGTGATTCTATGGTGGTTCTATGGTGATTCTATGGTGATTCTATGGTGATTCTATGGTGATTCTATGGTGGTTCTATGGTGGTTCTACGGTGGTGATTCTATGGTGGTTTAAATGGTGATTAAATGGTGCTTATATGGTGGTTCTATTCTATGGTGATTCTATGGTGATTCTATGGTGATTCTATGGTGATTCTATGGTGATTCTATGGTGAAATGGTGATTCTATGGTGATTCTATGGTGATTCTATGGTGATTCTATGGTGATTCTATGGTGATTCTATGGTGGTTCTATGGTGATTCTATGGTGATCCTATGGTGATTCTATGGTGATTCTATGGTGATTCTATGGTGATTCTATGGTGGTTCTATGGTGATTCTATGGTGGTTCTATGGTGATTCTATGGTGATTCTATGGTGATTCTATGGTGATTCTATGGTGGTTCTATGGTGGGTTCTATGATGGTGATTCTATGGTGATTCTATGGTGATTCTATGGTGATTCTATGGTGGTTCTATGGTGATTCTATGGTGATTCTATGGTGATCTATGGTGATTCTATGGTGCTTCTATGGTGCTTCTATGGTGATTCTGGTGATTCTATGGTTCTACGGTGATTCTATGGTGATTCTATGGTGGTCCTATGGTGATTCTATGGTGATTCTATGGTGATTCTATGGTGATTCTATGGCGATTCTATGGTGATTCTATGGTGGTTCTATGGTGATTCTGTGGTGATTCTATGGTGATTCTATGGTGCTTCTATGGTGATTCTATGGTGATTCTATGGTGATTCTATGGTGATTCTATGGTGATTCTATGGTGGTTCTATGGTGATTCTATGGTGGTTCTATGGTGATTCTATGGTGGGTGATTCTATGGTGATTCTATGGTGGTTCTATGGTGATTCTATGGTGATTCTATGGTGATTCTATGGTGATTAAATGGTGATTAAATGGTGGTTCTATGGTGATTCTATGGTGGTTCTATGGTGATTCTATGGTGATTAAATGGTGATTAAATGGTGATTCTATGGTGATTCTATGGTGATTCTATGGTGATTAAATGGTGATTAAATGGTGATTCTATGGTGATTCTATGGTGATTCTATGGTGATTCTATGGTGGTTCTATGGTGATTCTATGGTGATTCTATGGTGTTCTATGGTGATTCTATGGTGGTGATTCTATGGTGATTCTATGGTGATTCTATGGTGATGGTGATCTATGGTGATTCTATGGTGATTCTATGGTGATTCTATGGTGATTCTATGGTGGTTCTATGGTGATTCTATGGTGATTCTATGGTGATTCTATGGTGATTCTATGGTGGTTCTATGGTGATTCTATGGTGATTCTATGGTGGTTCTATGGTGGTTCTATGGTGATTCTATGGTGATTCTATGGTGATTCTATGGTGGTTCTATGGTGATTCTATGGTGATTCTATGTTGATTCTATGGTGATTCTATGTTGATTCTATGGTGATTCTATGGTGATTCTATGGTGATATGTCAAAATATGAACCTTGGCAAATTGATACTCCAAAATTTTGTTTGGGAAAGTTGTTCAAACATCTTGCAATGCTAACTCGTGTGAGATTGCATACGACTGAGCGGTTCACTCCCAAATAGAGGAAATGAGGAAAGGCACAGATAGTTAAACAATGTTGAATATGTGCCATGCGATGACGTCAATCAACCCCTGTGAAACGTGCATGGCCGCATTGACACGCCTCGTTGTGCTCGACATCCAACACCTCTCCTTCAACGAAGTGTTGATGGGTCTTGCTGTAGTACTCAACCTTCGCCAAAAAAAGGCGATTCATAGCGATTCTGGTGGCTTTCGGCTTTGCCATGGCTTTGTCTTCCAAATTGCCGCCCCGGTCCGGTGCCTTGTCTCCAGCCTTCAAGATACTCAAGTCATCTTTGGGCCAAGCCTGCAGCGATTAGAAGCAGTAGGAAAACGATGAAGCTGATGGAATGGTAAGACTAAAACATTGCTGATTTCACAAACTGTTTGAACTTTCTCAGGTGTTTGTCAACATGTATTTGCAAGGCTAGGCAGAAATACAATTTTTTGGTGTGCATACACATCTTTGGTCATATAAAAAATAAAAACATACACATAGTACATCATAATACCTTATTAGTAGTACCCGCACGAGGCGGGGCGAAAGTTGCCTTAGGGATATACTATAAGACCTTTCTCATCTATAGAACTTGCATGCGCCGTGCGCCAGCTAGGCCCGTGCGTGCGTGCTTTGTGCGAAGCTGTTGCAGTGTTGTTGTCCAAGAACATGACCTGCGCGCGACCCCGGCGCAACGCAACGCCAAGCAAACACTTTCCTCACACTTCACACTGCGCTCTTCACACCCCGCACTTCACACTTCACACTTCATCTCATCTCAAATCATGTGAGCTCTTCTCACCTCATCTCATCCCCTCTCTTCTCACATGTCATCTAGACAAGTTCTTCTCAACTGTTTTCATCTCATCCGAGCACTGATCAGCCTTTTTCATCTCCTCAAAGTTTTTCTCAACTCATCTCAGTTGTTCTGCACGCCCGAAAGCTCTCAACTGTCAGAGAGAAGTCTCTTGCACAAAAAACATTGGGCGCAGAAAGCTTTTGTGCGCATAAGCTTGAGAAACAGATGCATTTACACAGAAAGACCTTTACAAACTACTTTGAACTACAAAGCTTGCACCAAGCACTTCCCAGTACTACTATGTACTACAAAGCTCGCACAAAGCACGTTTCAGTACTACTTTGTACTACAATGCTTGCGCAGATTACTTCCCAGTATTACTTTGTGCTGCAAAGCTTGCGCAAAGCACCTCTCCCAGTACTACAAAGCTTGCGCAAAGTTCTCCCCAGTACTTCTTTGTACTACAAAGGTTGCACAAAGCTTTTCGGAGTACTACTTTGTACTACAAAGCTTGCACAAAGCGTGTCCCAGTACTACTTTGTACTGCAAAGCCTGTCACAGTACTACTTTGTACTACAAAGCTTGCACAAAGTACTTCCCAGTACTACTTTGTACTACAAAGCTTGCAAGAAGTACTTGCCAGTACTACTTTGTACGACAAAGCTTGAGCAAAGCACGTCCCAGTACTACTTTGTACTACAAAGCTTGCACAAAGTACTTCCCAGTACTACTTTGTACTACAAAGCTTGCACAAAGTACTTCCCAGTACTACTTTGTACTACAAAGCTTGCAAAAAGTACTTGCCAGTACTACTTTGTACTACAAAGCTTGCACAAAGTACTTCACAGTACTACTTTGTACTACAAAGCTTGCACAAAGTACTTCCCAGTACTACTTTGTACTACAAAGCTTGCACAAAGTACTTCCCAGTACTACTTTGTACTACAAAGCTTGCACAAAGCACGTCCCAGTACTACTTTGTACTGCAAAGCTTGCACAAAATACTTAACAGTACTACTTTGTGCATTCATGCAGCCATCACAATGCGTTTTGCAGGATCACGTGGTTAACCCGTATCTCTCTAAGCACATGGCAACAAAACCTGACAACAATCATGCAGCCATTCCAATGCGATCTGCAACCAGAGATTCAACAAGCGCATAGAACTACGCACACTCCTTGCAGAACACAGAGGAGGAACCGATTGACTTCGAAACGATCCAAACCGCAACCGCTGCACACAGGAGGTACCTTTCATCGCCGGCTGCAGCCACTTTACACGGAAAAACGCAAGGTTTCGTGCTCCGTCTTCCTCCCCAACACAAGCTCCATGCAACATTCATGCAGCCATCACAATGCATTTTGCGGCATGACGTGGCTAACCCGCATGTATCTACGCACACAGCAACAGAGCATGGCAACAATCATGCAGCCATTACACGAGTGTATTGTTATGTGATGTCAAGTCTCACACCACAGTCTCACACCACCCTTCATTGAGTGTATTCTTGTGTGATGTAAAGTCTCACACCGCCCTTGATCAGGTAAAAGTCATCCGCAACTCGGAAGGTTGAGATTTTCTGAGGTCCAACCTGAAACCTCACTGAAACTCCTGGGACCATGCCACGCCTCCTGGTGCCCTTTGTTTGCCATGATTCCTGGTGTGCTGAATGAAATTTCTCAGTGAGATTCGATCATTTCTTCCACCATCAAGAGGTGACATCGTCAGACGTGCATGTTCATCATGTTCGCAAGAATTGGCAGTATATGGCAGTATTCATCTCGTTCAACGTGTCCTTCAATGTGGCTGTCAAAAATCCAACAAAAACGATGACTATAAACTATAGAATTATGAGCTCACGTGTGCCCAACACGTCCAACATTCACATCCCAACTGTTCATCGAGTCTGGAGCGCCTTCAAAGGCTTTGTGCCTGGCACGACTGCATAGCACAGCGACAGTGGTGCCATGTGCCGAAACATGGTCCGAAACAGCGACGTCGCCTCAAGTCCACCTGCACCACCATGGCCGTACTGGCCCTGTGATCTTTGCAGCTTGAGTTGAGTCAAGGTGTTGAACATGGGAAGAACTGTTGGAACTTCAACTTTGGCTACTTTTGGGAGTCCAGAGTTGCCATGCCGGTCAGTGACATTGAACTGGACCTTTGCAAGATCCTCTTTGCAACTGAAAGCTTGGAGCCAAGAAACGGCATGCAGACTAAGATAGACTAAGTGACTGCCAGGAAGCTCCGATTTTCGGCAAGTGCGAAGGTGGTGTTTGGTACATTTTGGTACCCTCCATCTCAATCTCACCCACTGGGCTTCCGAACATCGGCTTGACAGCGCCACCGCTCCTAGCTGAAAACAAGAAAATATGTGAAAATGAATGAAATATGAATGAATGACAAGCCTCAAAGACCGTCCTTTAAGTGTGCCCTCAAGGACTCTAGATTCATGAAAGTGGAACGACGCATAATGAGCACCGCGAAAATTGAAATGCTTGGAAACGAAGCCGAAGTTTTGTCAATCTCTGCCATACTTGAGTTCATATCACACAATAGTTCACCACTTCACGGCACAAATTCTCACCCATTGCTCTGACTACGACAAACAATATCTTGATATCTGGACCCCTGACACCTCCAGCACCCTTATGTTCACTTCATGTTTCCAATCAATTCCAATCAGATCCCCACCAGCAGTGGGGAACCTGACGCAACACACAAAGTTGACATCTCGCCAAAGCGTTACGCGCCTTTAGCGCCATCTATGGCAAGCGCCATGGCGAAGCATGCGAAGCAAAATACAAATAGACATAAATAGACTCTATTGACTTACAAATGGACTCAGAAATGCCGCTTATTCCATACATTCCATGTCTTGTTCCAGTTTGTTCCAGCTGCCACACAGTTTGTTCCATGTTTGTTCCAGCTGTTGCCACAGCAGCTTTCTCATCTTTCGAGCTTCGGAATGTGGATCGCCCTGTGGGATCGCAATGCTTCGGGAATTTCATGGATATCGATGGCATGTGGATGACACAATGGATGACACAATATGACACAATGTCATCCAAAAATTGTGTCAACTTGCTGAAGCTGACCGTATTTTCCGAGCACTCTTGGAAAAAATACCATTGGATACCATTGTTGTCTTGCTGGCAATCCAGTCAGTCAAAAGTTCTGTTTGATTCGTGTTCATGTGTCCATTGGTATCACTTTGAAGTGAAGACTGCAGGGCAGCTCTTATAAAAAGCATGGTGCAGCAGGGGTAACGTATCAATCACCATCAACTGCCTTTCCAATGCCTTCCTTCAAGTTTTAGCGACTTGCATCGACATCGCTTCACTGCCTCTTGCTTCCTTTCTTTTGACGTCTGACCAGCCCGGGCATCCTTCCCACAGCTGTTTTTTTTTTCACGCAATCACATCCAGTCACAAAATGGAACCATTGTCAAGTTTGCTCATATGGCTGCGAGTTCAAAGGCCATTCCCAACGCATTCCGTTGTGTCGGGTAGGTCAGGCAGCTCAGGCAGCTCAGGCAGCTCAGCTTGCAGATCTCAGCTTCTCTTTCTCTTCAGCTCTCAGCTCTGGGGGTGCCAATGTTTGAGCACAACCAGCACAGCCGCAAGCACCGGAGCCCAAGCAGTGGCAGTATGAGCCAATGCGAAGAAGATGCACAGAATGCCTTGGAAAAGGCGAACGATGAGACCTCCAACTTCATAGTCCGATGTGGTCGGAGCATATTCTGCGACGATTTTGTCGGCTGCCAAACTTGCTAAATGCACAATCCCCGCGTAGACCGCACCGCAAGCTCCGATGACTGCCACAGCAGCTGGGAGGAGAGGAATACTAGGCATGTTGAGCCCTGGATGTCACCGCGATTCGACGGGATTGGAACAGTCGCGAACAAAGAAGAATGTGCCTTGCCCTATCATTGACATTCAATTTTTGTGTTTACTGATGAACCATATTGTCTCACCTGCCCTCTGCCTTGTTCGCTACGAAACGCTGCGGACGACACGCTTGTGGTGTTGGTGGCGTGTGCAAGTAACCAAAATCATGGCTCGTATCCATGGCACATGTCATGAGTCCTGCAACAAAAAAGCATCGTGAGGTCTTTGATATGCAGTGCGCTGACCAGCTTTTTCCATCTTTTTCCTAACTCGGAACCCCCATCTCCATCTCCCATCTCATTATCAAAGATTTCAAAGATAGTAGTACCAGAACCAATCCTTGGCTGAACAGCTGAACAGCGGCTGACTGCGTAGCCTAGCAGCTTCTCTGAGGCCCAGGCCATTGACAGGTGGACCGTCCTGGCGGTCATGCGACTGGCTATGGAGGTTCTTGAGGGTTGGAACGGGTTGGAACGGGTTGGAACATGTTGGAATGGTCTCCAGGCAACATATCAACATGCTATACGACATTGTCAACATGATAATCATGATATTCTATGACTCCTTTTTCGTGATTTCAACCGGTCTCCTGACAATAGGAAAACGGGGAAACATGTTCTGCAGCAAGTCTGCTAGCGATTCACCCCACTTGGCTTCCCAACCGGTTGAACTCTGCCGCGCGTTCTAGTACAGCACGTGCCTCCACATCGAAATCCCATCAAGTCCAGTGCAGACTCATGCAGCGACCATTGAAGGAGCCAGCGAATCAAGATGAGTCAGAGATGAGTGATTTGCCTGGAACAGCTATTCTTTTTATATTATTTTATATTCAGGTTGAAGGAGACTTGAAGGACACTTGAAGGAGACCACGAGGTGTTCTTCGGTGATCAGTGGGGAACAAAGTGCTTTCCCGCTCCCCATCTGTGTCGCACCACATCTGGATGGTTCCCAAAGTCGTGACCACTCAGGAAACCTCCCTGCTTCACCTGGCTGGTAGAAGGCATGGTTCATAGATTCAGTCATAGTGTCATATGTCTGTCATATACGTATGTTTGTCATATGATTGTCAGATGTGTATATGATATATACATATGATATACGATATATTACAAGAATTAAAAAAAGATATATGATATGTGATATGATGTGTCATCAAAAAACTTGGTCATTGCCACGCCCAAGCACTCGACTGGACCTTCGGCTCCCAGGCATCAATGTCGTTGACCACTTCGCGGTACCTCAGGAGATTTTTGAGACTTTTCACAGAACTACAACTGATGATACTGATGATATCATGATGATATCATGATAATCTTTCCCAAACTTTCCGAGTCTATTCTGCTTGTGACTCTCAACTTGGGAGTGCTGACGAATGATCTCCATCAATGAAAACGCCATCCACGGACTGGTCAGGCCTCAACTGGGCAACACAGAAACCCTCGAATTAGTGACTTAAAGTGACTTATGCAATTCCTCAAGAATTTTCGCAGCATACATTTCTTTTCAAAAAGTGATGTCAAGTGAGACCCCAGCACCATTGCAGCTGCCTCAACCTCAGCTGGAGGGGTTCGTTGAAGTTCGTTGACTTGCTGTGAACTCAGCTCAAAACAGAAGGCATTGCCTCAGTGTGCACCAGCGGTCAGAATTTTTAGGATGCTACGCTGCTACATGGTACTACATGATGATACATGATGCACTTCAATAAAGAACAAAAACAACCTGGTCATCACACATGCTCATCACTCATCACGCTCATCACGCTCATCACATGTATATTCCACAGGGCAAGGGCTTCATCCACTCGGCTCTTTGTTGACAATGCCATATGCTGCAGTCTGACTGCAGTGTGGGATTTCATCCCGCAGTGCTAATTTCCCATGGACATATTGGATATATTGGTAATGATTGTAATGTAACCCATTGTAACGCATAAACAATATGCCTTTACACACCAACCTACCAGACCTACCACTTTCGGAAGCAGAATGTCACTTCTTCCAGGTCATCCCAGGTCCATAGGCACGGTGAAACTCCGCCTGACGCCCTGAGTTTCTCAGGAACGGGTCCAAACCTGGCGGAACCGGGAAACCGATGGAAACCGAGGATCTGAGGGAACAAACCTGGCATCTTCACTGCGCCACGCTATCACCCGACCTCTTGCGGCCGAGCAAAGTGAAGGTCCGATAGCACTTGCTCCTGGGGCATGTCTCTAAAAATCACCAATATTTGCTTCACATTTTTTTCAAATCATAATCTTCCCATATTTTCCCCGTTAATAGATGGGTAAACTAGGCTATCCCGGCAAAAGTCACTGGCTCCTCGTCCTCATCTACAACGCCTTTGGGAGATCTGAATCTTCCCGCCGCGGTTCCCGCCTTCAAAAAGTCTGCGCAACAGCCCTGTGAATCTTGAGGCTTTGCGAGCCACAATGAAAACCAAATAAAACCAACAAGTGGGCATCTGATGGCATCTGGCTGGGCGTGTATTACTGTGGCATGTCATGCAACATGTCGATAGTGTGCTCTTCCCAGCACTCGTGCAATCTCTCGCACCTAAGTTGTTGCCCTGGCCTTGGCATATCCTGAGTCTGTGCCATACCTGGCCAACCAAGTTGGAACATGTTGGAACAATGAACTGCGCAAACACCAGCTGGTGTGCCATGGTGTGCCACCGTTGAAGTTGTAACTCAGGACTTGTTCATATGTTCTTGATATGTTGTTGCAAATTTGTTGAATGTTGTTGATATGAAGTCAAGAAAAATGACAACAGAATCCAACTGTGGACTTTCTGCTCCTTGCGACATGCAAGGCGTGTAATCCCGGAAACTCCGATGCCCTCCGTTGCCCCACCTGAGTCGAGGCCTCTCCTCCTTTGGCCTGGCATGTTATATGCCTTGACATGCCCTCAGCTGTCTAAAAATGTCTAAAGCAACGAAAACAACTCGTCAAGTGTGGAAAAAAACTCACTACTTGTAGCAGTATGCTTCATGTAGCCAATGTAGCTGTTCTTTACGGTTCAAAATCCGCTTTTATTGCCGTCGACACCAAACGCGTAACAATATCTCACTTGGACACTCACAGGATATTGGACATCTCATACATGTGTCACATGAGGGCTCACACAATATTCGTGTCACCAAAGTCACCAAGTAATCTTTGTCGTTGCCCGACATCCCTTGACCCATCTCCAACGAAGCAGTAAACGAGCCACGGACACGGATTCCGTGTGCCGAAATAAAGAATAGCAAGTACCACAGCAGTCGCGACAACCTGTGCAAACAACTTGGTTCAACATTGACGTGCGATTCACCTGCGAAAATTGTGAAATGACTTTGTGGCAACGACTACTTCGCTGCACAGTTCCCGGCCATCATAACTTGCAGGAAGGCCACTAGTTTCCACCGCGCTTGGGCCTCCAGGCACTTGCCAATTCCCCCGCCCATCCAATGTATCAAACCAAGGCGCGCGGTCGTTTGGACACCTGAGAGCCGGGCTTCTGCTGAGGTTCCTGGCAACAGTAGTACCATGTAGTACCATGACACAAACCAGGAGTGAGCCGAATGCAATCCAAATGCAAACACATGGCAAATTGCTGCAAACCCGGACACCAATAGGAAACCATACTGCGAGCCTGCAGAACTAGAGCTTTCAAGTAGGGAAGCGGGAGCCTGCAGCCATCTCAACATCAACATCCTCAAACAAAAGCGTCCTTTCAAATTGTCAATCCTGGGAATGCTATGGTATGCTTTAATTTCCTGCCTTCAGCTGAGGCATTCTCTTTTGAAGTTCCTGGGGCCGAAGTTCCCAAGGGAAAATGCAACGAGTTGTAACACGTTTTTGGCACTTGGCCTTAATTTACACTCCGCAGGCCTGCCGAAGCTCTTTGTTTTCTTCTTCTAGGAGCGCCTGCGTCAGCACAGCCCAACATTTTGGGAAACCTAAAATCCGGGGTGGCCTCATCCATATATTCATATATATTCATATATTCTCATCATATTCCAACCTGACGTTTGAGTTTTATCGGTTTTAATGGTTTTATGTTATGATCAAGTTATGATCAACCGATCAACCCTCCACAACGATCGGCCGCGATCTGCCGCGCCTGTGCCACGGAGGCGGCGCTCGCTTCACCGGCGAAGGCCTCTGCGCCCACGGCATCGTCCACACGGCGAGCCGCGGCGGCTGCGGCCTGACGTCAGTCTGGACAGGACAGCGGTCTGAAGTCATATTTTTCTCTGCAGATTCTTGTAATTTGTATGCAATTTGTATGCAGATTATGCAGAATCATATTATAGAATATATTAGAATCATTGGATTGTTTGCAGCTGCAATTTCCAATTTCCCAAATTCTCATTTCTCGCATGATCTCTAAGCGCCTCAGCTTCCGATTTGGCAGCTCTGCTCTGAGCCTGAAGCTTCATCAAGCTATCAACCTGCAGCGAAATCCGTGGGAACTCCGACATGTTCCGCCCGTTCGATTCTTTGTTTGACTCCTCACACTTCTCTCTTCTTAACTGTCCAATCGACGAAATCCATGGGCCTCTCTCTGCAGCGGATCCTCCAATGTCACCTGCACAAAGGTTTGAATCTAGCCTTGGTTCAAAGTATGGTGACATATGCCCCTTGGTATCGAACTGACCCAAGTGGTCCCTTCAACGGTTCGTGGCATGTGACTGATCCACATCTTTGTCTTGAGAAAGCTCTTCATGCCCGGGTGAATTTGGGACCGGGAAATGAAATAAATATGCCTCAACAATCCTCACCATGTTTTCCAATCATCTCCTCCCACTCCCTGTCGCTCCCTGTCGCTCCGCTTCTCATCTTGATCCGTGTGCTTTCCAAGGCATTTTTCCAGTTTCTCTGCGCTTTGTCAAGGACTGCCAACCCTCCGCCCTCTCCCCTTGAGAGATCTTGGGAGGAGCCTCTGAAATTGCAAGTCGCATGCGCTACTGGAAACGAGTGTCCACCGATTTCAGGCGCTTCACAAGTTGGCGAAGCACAAATTGCTGTGACTCACTGGTCAATCTCCATGTCGGTTTTCGGTCTGCCCAAGTGGCCTTGCATCACTGAGATCGAGATGAACAGACTTTCTGCAACGAAAGAAGCATCTTGGAAAAGGACATGCAATTCAAGCCAATTCATATCAATTCATGCTATTTTCTTGGTCCACGGCAAATCCTCGGTAAACACTTCTTTTGCAGCATCAGTGGTACGCTCCTCGCTCCAAATCTCTGCAAAAATGCAAGCTCAAAAAGGCCATCTGCACTGCGATTTGGAGTAAAAATGCATAATCTGCATAGAATGATGTGAAATGACGTGAAATTCCTTGAATCAAAGCCGTTGAGCCACCCATAGCCACCCAAACATGTCCGGAAGCTCGGAGCTCCTGTGGCATCTCGGGCTCCTTAGCTGCCACAGTCACTTCCGGCGCCTCGGGCGCCTCTTCCGGCGCAGCCGGCGGCACCGGCGGCACGGCCGGGGGCGGCGGCGGCTGCGGTGCTGTGGCCTCCTTCGCCACCGCACGAGCTTCGTGCCTCAGCTGGGCAATGCGGAAACGGCAGTGCCAGATGCCAGAAGATGCCAGAAGATGCCAGAAGTCAAGCTCGATTGAGAAGCTCAAAGCTCGTTGACCAACAAAAGATCAATTAAAATAAGTACAAAGAAGACATGACTTAAGAATACTTAAGATATCATTGAAGAAAATACTAAAGAACATACTAAAGAACATCTAACTGTATCTGACTTACATGCAATACTTGTGCCAGTTCCTTTTGGGTGGCAGTGTTGGGTAGGGAACGTCACAGCGATCCACAACGCAAGGTTTTTAATTTGTTTGAGATCGCCTTGGTCATTTGCATTTGCGCATTGGGTTTCGGTGCATATGCGATGCCGACAATCCTTCAAGACAAGCCTTGCATTTCTTCGCATTTAGCACGTGTGACTTAGTGGTTGCAATCTGCACACTTATAAACCGTTGAAAGATCACCATCGATTGTATTTCGAATTGAAATGGAAAGGGGGTCGTAACTTCAGTGAATCAGTTTAATCACTCTGATTGCGTAACAACACGGTTTCAATTCCTCTTGGGAATTTCGAAAGATTTGAGAAACACATGTTGATTTCTCTGGTCTGGTCTGGTGCATATTGACAATATTGATATGCACATCACCTTAACATTTGCAGTACCAACTGAGATACTGCAACAAGAGGTGACATCATGTCACAGTAAGGTATCGAGACCGTTCTAGGTCTGGCTCCCAATGGAACCCTCCGAAACCCACCCGGAGCATCGTGCCGCGGCCCTGAGCCAAGCTGCACAGCAACATTGATGCGATCAAGCTCCGCTAATGATTTGTTGTAGATCCCTTTTGCCTCGGCCCCGAATGGAAAAGAAATGAAAACAACAAATGCTGTTCCAATAGGTTTTATTGCAGCTTACACTAATCGATTATTTGGATTATTTGCACTAATTATTAAGATTTATTAAGCTACAGTAACTATATATTTAATTATGAAGTATGCAGATGTATGCAGCTTAATTATGTATAGATTTTCCACCACACAACTCACCACTCTGTCCGTTGGATCCTTTGTGGCACTGCGAGGCGCTGAAGCTGCGCGCTCTGTGAAGCCTTGGATGCGCTGCCGCTCAGTCCGTAAGGTGCTCTGATGCTGCTGCAGCTGCCTGGCGGATCTATGATGAGATCAACAAATACAACAAACATATACAACAAACATAATATACAATATACATATACAAATATATGCAACACATAGAGGGAGAAATGTAGATGATGTAGCGGTGATGTCAATTATATTTCAATAGCACATGGGATAAATTATCTTAACCGTAACCGATGGAATTCTGTGGAAATTCTATGTGAAAAACCACCTCATCTCCGACAATATCTTCATAAGCTGTCACAAGGCATTAGTTTTTGAGTTTGAGATTCGTGGTGTCGACACATCGTCCAAACAATGCACAATAAAATGTGTTGTTGCTCGAAGTCTGCAGCAGGTTCGAGGCGAATCATCCGATGCGGAACTTGTTCGCTCGGAGTTAAAATTACTGCGGCCGACTTTTAGACCTTTTAGATCCTTTTATGTGCAATAGACGAACCCCCATGCAATCATCAACAAGCAACAATGAGTCCAGATATGTCCAGATTTACCTCACGTTGACCGTGATTAAACCAGCAAACATCAGCAAACCATGCCGGTTGATTGAAACTTCCCTGCCGTCCCTGACCTGAACACAGGTTCATATCGCTTGATCAGGGCATCACCAAGCTGCGATCGCCACGATTCACATGCTTGCTTTGCCTCCTGCCCGTTGAAGTTGAAGTATGTTGAAGTGCTTGAAATAAACATGAAACAAACATGACATATATTGAAATATATGCCTTACTAAGCTGAATTCTATAGCACTTCAGCATACTTCAGCGGATGGTTCAATTTCTTCAACCATCCCTAAGTGGAGGAACTGGGTTTGCCATTGCCACAATCGAAGTTCTACATAGTTTTACATAGTTCTACATAGTTCTACATAGTTCTACCAGGTTTAGTGTATTCCAGCACCCCACTAATTGATGTCCAACTTGATGATGTCCATTGCAGGCCCGGTGAGGCTCCACAAGAAGGTCAACCTGTCCTCGTATTCTCGGAGGCTCTCTGCATAGTCTTGCTCTCGTCGGTCACGGTCCTAGCTTTTGGGCAAGTATTTCAAATCCACACATCCAATTTGATCGATATATTTTCTCAACTGATTTCTTTGTGGCGTTGAATTGCGCAGCAAAACTCACTGGACATCATTGAATTATATTATATATAAATATTATAAATTTTGTCCCGGTTTGGAAAGTCAGCGATTCTTCACCAGCCACCAGCCCTGCCTGTCGGCATTTTAGCACCCGCACAGTGGCACGAGAAAGGCCATCTTGCTGGTCTCGATCAAGACGCACCTGGGGCGATGTGGATCGGGCATGATGCGGTTATAATAACATGTAGAAATATGTTGAACATGTTCATTAATATTCATTGATCGTGACAATATCATGACTAATCAATCTAATCAGTGGTCCGCTCGAGTATCTATGATGGTCTCTCTACATCTCTCTAACTCTAGCCTATTTTGTTTTGAACCTATGCTTGTAACACAAAGGTCAGCACTGGATGCAGTGGCTATCATATTCTTTGAAATCATAAACTTCTTGCAATTTCTTCATGGTAAGGGATTGTAGAGTGGTAGCTGCTCCAAACGTTTACCAAGGAAAATGACTCCTGAAATTCTCCAAGTCATTGCACAAAAGAGGTTGCCCTTCCCGGAATCTCCGAAAGATCTCCGGTGCCTTGTGCGCCCCGTAGGCCAGTCGCGTCTCGATATTTCTAAGGTCCGCCTTGGCTTGGCTGTACTGGGAAGCCGCAGCGCAGAACTCTTTCATCACCACCTGCCACGGAGCGCGCGGAAACGGCAAGATGCGGCAGATGCCAGGAAACTTCAAACTCTTCACATGGAAACCTCCGGAAATCTCCGATACCTGACAATGCACCTGCCAAATATATGTCCATAGATCATAGATGTGATACATCGCCTTGTATCATTTGGACAGTTCGGACATTCTTGGGCAAGAACTGAAGCATGCCGAGGCACCTGAACGCGCTCGGAGGCAGACCGGAAGGTGGCAGCGGCTTCGAAGTACGGCTTCACTCGGTCGATGGAACTCCCATAATGCGATCGGAGCTCCTGTATCCATTGCTGCACCCCTGTACCCATTGGTCATGGATTTTTCTGAATCCTTCTGACCATTTCTGAGTCAAAGTCGAACCAAAGTCGAACGTCCTGCTGTCTAAAAGACCATACGCAAAGCTATGCAAAGCTATGCAACATACACCTTTGACTTGGTGTGCGCGGATAGACTCTGTTCGCCTCAGCCAATTCCATGACACGCACGTAAGATGCAAACACTTCCTTTACGCCTGATAAGGGGTCGGTGAAGCGACCCGACAAAGTATCAAGGAACTACCGTCGCCATAGCCGGTGCAGAAAATGATCAAATTGAAAGCTGGCCCTTCCCCTTTCCAGTTCAGAAAATATTGTCGAAAAAATCGGGATTGCGGCAAACGTGCAAACCTTGAAATGAAAGTGTCGGAGAGCGGGTTCTCGGCTTAGCCGGCTTGGCCCCATGCCACAGCAGTAAAAACAACTTGCAGGTACGTCACGGTGATCAGCCGTGATATCCGCGTGTACTGTGGCCGCTTCGTTGGACCATCGCACACAGTACATGGATGGTCCCCCTGCAAACCTACAAAGTGATGGAAGTCAAAACCTATAACAGAGAACCGGAAGCCCAACAAGTTAGAAATTTTACATCTCTTCAAATGGTTCACGCACACACACTGCATGAGGACTTGCTCAGAACATCACCACGTCCTCGTAGACACGGCTCCATTGCTCTAAAAGCTTCCGATACCTGCCAAGTGGGAACCGGCTCCAGAAGAGTAACAACAAGGCCTTTAAAAAAGAAAACTGCCTCCAAACAAAGTCCAAACAACAGGTGAAAAATCGCAAAATGGCACAGAATGCATCTGAATGGGTCTGAATCATATATACGGGTCTTATTGTTGCATTTGAGTTGTGGCCTCTCTTGAGCTTCGCTCGCCTTTCGTTCGAAAAGGTTTACCTCTTCCGAGGTCTTGTTCCTTGGTATTGTACAATTTATATATATTATAATGAAACTTATGAAACTTGCACATCCTGTACGACCGTGAAAGACCTCGAAATGGCATCAAAATATCTCAGCCCTTTGCTGCCTCTCTATCGTTTCATATCGTTTCTATACGTCTGTTTTTTCTGCTCCTTAAAAGGAATGGCCCCGAATTCATCACAAAGAATCGGTTATCCCAAACTACCCTGAACAAAGAGCGCTCCGATTGCTGACATCACGGGAAACACACATTGGTTTGAAGTCATGGGAATCATATAAAAACATTGATTTAAATCATAATAGACTAAACAACTATAAACAGCTTACATATATAAACACATATGATACAGTAATTAAACAACCACTATACACACATATATATATATATATGTATATATAGTTCTGAACAAAAATAAACAAATGAACATGAACAAAAACAGAATTTTCAAAGACAAAAACAAAGATCTTGGAGAAACATGGAGAAACCGAGAAACATCGTCTCCAGGAGCTGTGGCACTTCCTTGGTGAGTTCAGCCTCTTTCGCTGCCAGCGACTCCATGGTGTCCTCAAAAACAAGGGCCTCAAAAAGTGATCGCTGCATGGCTGGATCTTGGAGGAACTTTTCATATCTTTTCATACTCAAATTGATGACACTTGATGACATTTCACAAATCTCGACCATGTTTCCATATGTTCCCATCTGTTTACAGTAACCATATGATTCCATATATATGTTTCCATGTTGGTTTTAAACTTCTGACTTTCCGTGACTTTCCGTGATGTTCCTCTTCTGAGGCCATATCCACCAGTCACATGCGCAGCCGAGTTCGGCTTTCGGCAAAATAGTTGAATTCGCATGGGCCGCTTGAGCCAAATGTGGTATCACAGCGTCGATTGGTCCATCCAAACATTATATCCAAACGAATCCAAATCCAGATGTAAAGGGTGAGGTGACCGAGGTGACCACAAGAAATCGAAGACCGACTCGATCGAATCTTTGATTTCGAGCAATCGAATGGTATTCAAATGATTCAAATGTCCTATGACAATGCAAGAACTCCTGACCCATCACACTGCGCCTCTTCAGAGGCAAAGGAGCAACTCGAACAAACCTCGGAGTCCAACTCACACCGAGAAGCGCGTGGCACCATGTGGCACCATGTGGCACCATGTGGCACCATGTGGCAATGCCGGCTATGGCCAACAAATATCAGCCATACATTGTCAGGGCATTTTTCCAGCAGGCTGGTGACGAGTGCACGATTTGTTTCACAACTGTACACAGCTCACAGAAGGAATTTCTTCACTTCAGCAAGCACAATGAAGCCATCCTAATGCGTGATGCTCTTCACCCTCCAAGGAGAGGTCAGTCGATTTTGCTGGCATGGCATGGATGTAAAAAAACAATAAAAAACAACTTCTGCCTTCATGCGAGGATCTAGGCTGTGTTTCTAGGGGCATAAACAGCATAGATGAATAGACTTCGCTGTTGCCAGCACAACCCTGACCCACTCATCGGGGTCTTGAAAAGCATGAAACAACAAGAGGCAGCCACGACGGTCACGATCTAACAGAATCTACAGGAAGCAGCGGCCATGGGCTGGGCCCTGTCACATTCATTGGACATCCTACTGCGACAGAATTGAGTGTCTCACGACATGCGCGCACAGTTGAAAACACAAAAACTTCTTACACTCACTATATCGATCTAGATGGACAAACCATGACATACCTAGTTATACGATACCTAGTTTATGTGTGAAAAAAGCGCATGTGTATCATTAGGCATCCATCAGAACAATTCTCACCGGCAGTGCGGGCATTAAAGCACAGGTGCCAAACCACCAAAACACCTTTTGTCACGGATGCTTCAACCTTCTCTGGGGGTTCCATTGTCTAAGGAGGAAACCAACCACAAACAATCGCACACCCAGTTGCCGGAACGGAATTGCATGCAAATGCCTGTTGGGCACTGTGAAACCATATGCTGAAGTTCCTTGCGGCAAGACCAAAACTGAGGCTGCTTTTAGACATGTGAGGCTTGTGATTTGTCGCATCATTCAGTGAGACTGCGGACTTTTCCAGACTCTCCAAGACAAGCAGTCAAACCTTTTAACCCAATAAGCAAACCAAATCAATCAAAACATGGTCAACGGCTTGGCCGTCACAAACCACCGAAGCAAAGCAGCCACGTTTGAATTGTCATCCAATCAGCCTAGAGTTGCAACTTCACTGGGGCAGTCGCAGACTCAACGTCAGAGTGATACTGTTGGAGTGGCTTCAGTGGAATTTGGTGCTGGCTTCTGCACATGGGGCACTGAATGCTTTCGAAGTTCTCCTCTTTCATTTGCTCTCTGCACCATGCCTGGCTTCCAGAGCACTGTGAAGACTGCGCGGTTCACTTTATTTATGCAGATTAACATTTGAAAGTGTGTGCCAGTGTGCCATGGAAACCGAACTCAATTCTCCGTGTGTGTAGGCTAATGATGCCAATGGCGTAAACAAATTCTACACTATTACAACTTATATCAACTTACTACTTCAACCACTTTCTTCCAAAGAGGTAGAATATGGATGAATTCCTGGATGAATATGGTAGCATCTGGTAGGATCTCATGAAGTGCCTCTGATTAACACAAACCGCATACCGCACGGCGACACCGCCTTGATGCAATCCAAGTGGAACGCATGATTACCTGGCGCAACACACCATCGATCCATCGTTGCACCAGATTTCAGAAGAAGCACCTGTCATCACCTGTCATCACCTCTGCAAAATTATGCAGAATTCGTCTTACTATTCGTTCATTTCTTCAATTTCTGTCACTGTGCCGCGGTGATCTGCAGACATCTGCAGGCAAGATACATTGGAGCTTTCGGAACCCAGGTCCTGCATCCAAACAAATCGCACAGATCTCGGATTGCTCGGATTGCTCAGATCTCCCCAACGGCTTGAGTACCAACTCCAGATTCCCCAGATTCCCGATGATCTTCTTGCAGCGCACCTCGGCAAACGCAAAACCCCTTGCAACACCTGGTGAGGCACCTCTGAGGGGGTGCCCCATGGGGCCCATGGTGCTACGGGGAGAAAACAAAACATAACAAAACGCTCCTTCATGGATCCATATGGATCTTAGGTCCATCTTTGACATGGGTCAACCATCAGATGCTGTCAGCTTGAGTGTGGATGGGATAGAATAGGACAGATTCTAATAGAATCTCATAGAATCTAATAGATACTCCGAGGATGGCTGAGGCACTGGAGGTTCAGAAGCCTTGAGAATTCGCAGCAGTGCATCGATGTTTGTCAAAGACGTGAAAGAATAACCGCCTTCGCCGCCTTGATGTCTGTCTCCATCATCCCTTTCTTTCAGAAGGCAACGACAAAAACAGGCAAAAGCGGTGAAAGCGACGAAAACTATGAGGAGAAGATACGGCCATTGCATTCTGCCGGAAGGGCCCCTTGGAAGATCTTGAAGAAACCCCTCTAAAATATCGAGAGCTCAGTTTTGAGCCAAAAACATCTGAACACATCACGGCATGAGTACGGCATGCCACAGCAAGCCACGGCAATTTTCCTGCAAAATTGATGCGAGCCGGTGTGCCGGGGTCGGATCATCCGCAGAAAATGAATCCCTTCCGGCCCCAACTATATATATCTATGGCTTCTTCAATGATCTTCAACATGCTGGCACCCTGCAAAAAACTGCCAAATCTGGGCACTCACACCATGAAAATTGCCTCAAGCCGTTCGAATATTCTGCGATTTAGTCCAGTGAATTGCAGCCCGTGAACATCCGAAACAGAGGCAGCAAGTCACTTGGTCTCAGGCTGCGAAGAGCACCGCCATGTCCTTAGCCGTTGAGGGCTGCGGAACAGTTTTGCGTCAAGGTGTGAGGTGCAGGGATCGGTCGGAACAGTTTCACATATTTCTCAACTGTCCAAGATGTTTCAATGTTTCACAAGTTGTTTGAAGTCTCAGGCTGCAGCACCGATGCCGCCCTCGCAGCTACGCACTTTTACGCTTTCGGATGGGGACTCTCTTGAACCGAGAGTCTCGGATGTGGGTGCACTGCCGATCAATGCCGTGCTGTCGCAGAGCACGGCAATGGCATCAACAAAATTGGATCATGCAAACTCTTGCCAGGAAAAACCTCTTCACGAACTCTCCCTGCAATTGCGTTAGCTTCATCCTATCCCTTACCGTCCCTCCAAGACTCTGTTTCCAAATGTTTCCAATCCTTGAGATTCTGACGAGCAGTTTGGCCTCATGGCATCTGGACAAACAAGCGATCCATAGTGGCGTAGTCAGTGCAGGAGAAGCAGTGAGCTATATTCTACTAGTTGGGGCAGCCTCAAGTACATGCAATGACGGTGATGGACATGTCATCAATTGTCATCATTTTAAAATGATATGTCAAGTGTTTCTATGTGCTTTGCCGCTTTGCCCAAGTTTCATCTACCTTTAACATGGAAACAAACCATTGCAACATCAACTGACGTTTGAACGGCCCTGACTCTGTCGCCAAAGAGGTTCAGCTTGTACTCGGCGGCTCGTCGAACCTCTGAACTGAGTTCGTAGGCACCGAAGCCACCTCGGCCAAAAAAAAACACCAACCTGGGTGGTGTGCCGATTCTCTTGCGAAGTTGAATCAGGTTGAATCACTGAATCATTTGGAAGGAATTCGAAAAGGAACAAAAACCTCCTGTATATTAGAATAGAATGAAAAAAAGAGCTTGAAGAGCTCACATCTGATATCATCCGATGCATCCCTCGTTCCCGCATCTCAGCTCGACACCATCCTCTTCGGGAGATAGACCCAGGTCCCGCAACTGGCCGCGGCAGTGTTCTGCAGCATGGCTCATGGCCATTACAATATATAAGATACATATCACACACATATATATAATATATATATATATATTATAGTAGTGTTATATGATATAGAGATATCATATACTTCATCATCAATCATATTAGCATATTTATCTGCTATATTGTCATCACGGGCTCTATTATCGTAATTATTTGCTATTGTTAGTTTGTGTGAATTACTGTAACGGCATCATGGTAATCATAAATGTAATTGAATATCATCATTCTGCTACTATGGAGGGCTGTCGGATGGACACGGCAAGAAGTTCCAACGGATGATGAAAGACTGCAAGGCGCTGAGCCTGTCGCAGGCGAGACTCTGGTGAAGTCTCTTCGCCATATGCGAAGGGATCAACACCTTGAATAAACATTTTGATCCGGCACACTGCATATTCGGCACGCTGCGGCATGTTTGAAAATGCTTGAAATCAATTGAAATCGTATGGGATCTTCATATTACGTGACCTGAATGCTCCTGTGGCCTTCCAGGGAATGATGAATCTCATCTCTGGGTTTTTTTGGTTTGTTCAAATTTGATCATGCCATGACCAAGTCACCAAGTCCACGATATTCCCGGAGACTCCCGGAGATTCTCGATATGTTGTCGACACAGCACTGAAATGCACTGAATCCAGGTCCAACGCCAATATATCGAAGGCCATGGTGAGTGCCCAGAATTGCAAAGGCCTGAGACTTTGTACAACCCAACCGTTAAAAATGATAAATGATGGAAATGTGGCCTGGGAATCCCCAACGAGCCGGGCGAGATGAACGCCCACCTGTCACATCTGTCACATCCACATCTGCCACAGCCACCCAGAGAAATGTCACAGCAATGCCACAGGTGGCATGACTTCGCCAAACGCATCAAATATATTCAAATATCATCAAATGCACTCTACATGTGGCTTTGATGCTTACGTCCCGGAATCCAGTATGTAGATCCAAATGGATTTTAAATGGATTTTGAATGGATTTTTCCCGAGAGCGTCTGAGCGCAGGGTTCTTCCAATAGTGGGGGTCTGTAAAACATCTTCTCATCTTCACATCTCATCTTCACATCCTCTCATCTTCACATCTGCTCATCTTCACATCCTCTCATCTTCACATCCTCTCATCTTCACATCTGCTCATCTTCACACCTTCCCATCTTCACATCTGCTCATCTTCACACCTTCCCATCACATCTGCTCATCTTCACATCTGCTCATCTTCACATCTGCTCATCTTCACATCTTCTTATCTTCACATCTTCTCATCTTCACATCTGCTCATCTTCACATCTGCTCATCTTCACATCTGCTCATCTTCACATCTTCTCATCTTCACATCTGTTCATCTTCACATCTGCTCATCTTCACATCTGCTCATCTTCACATCTTCTTATCGTCACACCTGCTCATCTTCACATCTGCTCATCTTCACATCTGCTCATCTTCACACCTTCCCATCTTCTCATCTTCACATCTGCTCATCTTCACATCTGTTCATCTTCACATCTGCTCATGTTCACATCTGCTCATCTTCACATCTTCTTATCTTCACACCTGCTCACCTTCTCTCTCATGCCTTTTATCTTCACACCTGCTCACCTTCTCTCTCATGCCTTCTTTTTATCTTTCTCTCTTAAGGCCGAGGGTGGTGCCGGCGGCGAGTCACGAAACGTCAACCCTTTCGCACGAAATGAGGGTCGATCGGCAAAAACTGCGGTAAAATTGCGATTTGACTTGTCCTGGAGCAACCCTTTCGCACGAAATGAAGGTCGATCGGCAAAAACTGCATGAGGTAAAATTGCGATTTGACTTGCCCCGGAGCAACCCTTTCGCACGAAATGAGGGTCGATCGGCAAAAACTGAGGTAAAAGTGCGATTTTACTTGTCCTGGAGCAACCCTTTCGCACGAAATGAGGGTCGATCGGCAAAAACTGAGGTAAAACTGCGATTTTAGTTGTCCCGGAGCAACCCTTTCGCACGAAATGAGGGTCGATCGGCAAAAACTGATTTAAAAGTGCGATTTTACTTGTGCCGGAGCAACCCTTTCGCACGAAATGAAGGTCGATCGGCAAAAACTGAGGGAAAATTGCGATTTTACTTGTCCTGGAGCAACCCTTTCGCGCGAAATGAGGGTCGATCGGCAAAAACTGAGGTAAAAGTGCGATTTTACTTGTGCCGTTCTTGTCTGTGTGTAAAAGCGCCTGTGTGTAAAAAGCGTCTGTGTGTAAAAGTCTCTGTGTGTAAAAGCATCTGTGTGTAAAAGCGTCTGTGTGTCAAAGTGTCTGTGTGTAAAAGCGTCTGTGTGTAAAAGTGTTTGTGTGTAAAAGTGTTTGTGTTCAAGTGTTTCTGTGTAAAAGCCTCTGTGTGTAAATGTGTATGTGTGTGAAAGCGTTTGCGTGTAAAAAGTGTCTGTGTGTAGAGGTTGTCTGTGTGTAAAAGCGTCTGTGTGTCAAAGCGTTTGCGTGTAAAAGCGTCTGTGTGTAAAAGTGTTTGTATGTAAAAGCTTCTGTGTGTAAAAGTGTTTGTGTAAAAGTGTTTGTGTAAAAGCCTCTGTGTGTACATGTGTTTGTGTGTGACAGCGTCTGTGTGTAAAAAGCGTCTGTGTGTAAAAAGCAACGGGCTGTAAAAGCGTCTGTGTGTCAAAGGGTTTGTGTGTAAAAGCGTCTGTGCGTAAAAGTGTTTGTATGTAAAAGCTTCTGTGTGTAAAAGTGTTTGTGTTACAGTGTTTGTGTAAAAGCCTCTGTGTGTAAAAACTTTTTGTTTAAAAGCGTCTGTGTGTAAAAAGCGTCTGTTTGTAAAAGTGTTTGCGATGCAAACTACTGTCTTGCACTTCTCACTGTCCTGTCTTGATACTCCTCTTCTCGACTGCCTATAACAGAGCTTTCATATATCGTTTCTAATATTGCGTCTCCATACTAACAAGAGAAGACCCTGCTCCCCCCTGAACTGGCCGAGCAAACATGACTGTAAGCATTTCCAGAGCTTCTTTTGGTGGCCGTGGTGCTCGTCTTTGGAGATTTTGGAGGCCTGCTGCATGTTGCCGTGTGGCAGTCATTCGATGTTTTTTCAGCTAGCTTTTGGTAAAACCGCATGATTTTGCGAGTTTCAACTGCAAGCTTGTGTTCCGTTTGTTTGGTGAAAGCATGAAGCTGGTCGGCGCAGCTATTGGTTCGAGATTTGTATCGCGCTTGGCGTCTATAAGTTGTCACTCTGGGTTCGCTGCAACCGGATATGTCCGAGAAGGTCCGAGAGTTGCAACAAGGCTTGACAGAGGGAGGAGTTGATCCCTTCCGGCGCCAGGTGCGCAAACTTGGGATCAATGCATTGACGGCTTTAGCTTCTGAGCTGGGGATGTCACTGTGTGGCATTCATTCGATGTTTTCAGGAGATGGCAAACCACCTTGGTTGGGGGGGCCCCAAAGCACATAGCCCGCATGACATGTTTATACATGCTGGTTTCGAGGCACATGGAAATAGGACTTCGCCACCACCCCGTCGGATTGCTGAGGTCGCCACGACAACGATGACTTCGCTGTGACTACCTGGGCCGGCCTCTGTGTAAAAGCGTCTGTGTGTACAAGTGATTGTGTGTAAAAGCGCTTGTGTGTAAAGCCGTCTGTGTGTAAAAGCGTCTGTGTGTCAAAGTGTTTCTGCGTAAAAGTGTTTGTGTGTAAAAGCTTCTGTGTGTACAAGCGTCTGCGTGTAAAAGCGTCTGTGTGTAAAAGTGTTTGTGTGTAAAAGTGTTTGTGTGTAAAAGTGTTTGTGTGTAAAGTGCCTGTGTGTAAAGGCGTCTATGTGTAAAAGCTTCTGTGTGTCAAAGCGTTTGTGTGTAAAAGCAGCTCCTGTCTGTAAAAAGGTCTGTGTGTAAAAGTGTCTGTGTGTAAACATGTCTGTGTGTAAAAGTGTCCGTGTAAAAGCGTCTGTGTGTAAAAACATCTGTGTGTAAAAGCGTCTGTATGTAAAAGCTTCTGTGGGTAACAGCTTTGTGTGTAATAGCCTCTGTGTAAAAGCTTCTGTGTGTAAAAGCTTCTGTGTGTAAAAACTTTTGTGTGTAAAAGCGTCTGTGTGTAAAAGTGTTTGCGATGCAAACTATTGTCTTGCACTTCTCACTATTTTGTCTTGCTACTTCTCTTCTCGACGCCTATAACACATCTTTCATATATTGTTTGTAAAATTGTGTCTCCATACTAACAAGAGAAGACCCTGCTCCTCTACGCTCTCGGGCCATCCGTCGTCTAGTTTAATCCATATTCATAACCAATTCTAACCATGATTAATCCACATGGATCCAGGATCCAACAGGCCTCGCCTCTACCAGTGTGAGGCCAGCAGCAGGTGGACCACCCAGTAGCTCCTCCAACGCCTTGGCGTCGCAGGTCAGCTGGAAAGTGTCCAAGGTGACATCAAATCCATGAATCATGAATATTCATGTGCAAGAAAAATACATAAGCATATCTATCTATATTATATATATGTGTGTGTGCGAACTATCTGGAAAGATGTAAAACTTCTTACTTAGCAGGGGGCCGCTGGGGAACATTGCAGTCAGCGGCCAACGAAGACGCTGCAATGTTCCTGTGAAAACGTACCTGCAATTTTCCAGTTTTTCGTCAATGGCAACCGGCTAAGCCAAGAACCGGCATGTCGTTTTTCCAACAGTTTTCAAACTACTGTACGGTTTTCGCAATCTGACTGAGCTGCATCAGAACAAGTAAATCCTTCGAGCAAGGACGTAGAAAGATTTCCTCGCACAGTTTCTCACTTCCAATCATCAAACCATTCCTGTCAGGTTCAACTGAAGTGTTTTTGCACGTGCGATGCGTTCCACATCAGTAATTCGATAAGATGTTTCTGAGCAAGTGTGTCACTCATGCCGATATCCGTCAAGGTGGTATGAGCCCTTCGGGGAAAGCCTTTCTAGGCTAACAATTGACGGTAAAACGATGTCTGAATTTACACTTTGAATTAGTAATTCGTTTAAGTAAAGTGAACAGCCGGCCTTTTTTCCTTGTCTCACCCGTCGATGTCGTTGGGTTGAACCGCTGGCCGCTGTGCTTGGCCTCACCCTTTTCCTTTTCTCATTTGTCGATGTCGATGTGTTGAACAGCTGGCCGCTTTTCCTGGCCTCACCATTTTCATTGGACAGCCCATGCATAGTCTTAAGCTGCGACAACAACCTTCCTGTTGTTTCAAGAGACAGCCACTCCGCAGCCATTTACGCATGATCAGGTAACAGGACATGCTTTCAAGGTGGGGTATCTTTCTTTTTTGGTTGCTCGGTGAGGTTGAAATTGTGCACCTAATTCAGGGGTTGAACACGTAAGCCGTCCAGAGGGTTGTGACTTGAAAGCCGAGGGCCTTTGAGCCTTATCACGAATACTGCATGAGTTATGGATGCAACAGGTCATTAACTAGTTCCCCATGGGTCCCTATTTCATGTGTTCTTGCGTTCTCCTCTCTCCAGGTAGGTTTGGCCCGTTGCGTGCTGAGGTTGTTGTAGGTTTGCGCCGTGTCAGGTTGGTTCAGGTGCTTCTGTCTCCCCCCTCCTCCACTGGTCTTGTTCCGTTTTCCGTCGGCCGCCGCTTTTCTTTTCCCTTGCCTTTCCAGGGTTGCCCGTTTTGGGCTAGGTTTCATGTGTTGGTGTTTTCTCTTTCCCTCTTCTTTTGCGTTCCCCTCTTTGCGCCCTGGTTAAGTCACTTTCATCTCATTGTCATCTTCACCTCATTTTCATTTCCCCTCTTCTTCATTTTCATCTCATTGTCGGGACCTTAATTTCCCACCCTCCTGCGGGAGGGTGTGTGTGTGTGTGAACCATCTGAAAAGATGTAAAACTTCTTACTTAGCAGGGGGCCGCTGGGGAACATTGCAGTCAGCGGCCAACGAAGACGCCGCAATGTTCCTGTGAAAACGTACCTGCAATTTTCCAGTTTTTCGTCAATGGCAACCGGCTAAGCCAAGAACCGGCATGTCGTTTTTCCAGCAGTTTTCAAACTACTGTACGGTTTTCGCAATCTGACTGAGCTGCATCAGAACAAGTAAATCCTTCGAGCAAGGACGTAGAAAGATTTCCTCGCACAGTTTCTCACTTCCAATCATCAAACCATTCCTGTCAGGTTTAACTGAAGTGTTTTTGCACGTGCGATGCATTCCACATCAGTAATTCGATAAGATGTTTCTGAGCAAGTGTGTGCGTGTGTCTATATATCTATAATTATATTCTGCATATTGTATTTATAAATATTTAAATAATTTGGTATATGTATTGATATCCCTTGGACAGGAAATATCATCTAAGTTGACAGTTGATCTCCTGGCCTGGCCGGCAGCCCACTGCTGTCCAAGAGACTCCCTGACGAGTTAGGAGGAAGTCGGAGCGTGGCGCAACCAGTTCTGCCAGGTGACCTTTCGTCACGGCTTACTGCGACATCGACTGCTATAATTCGACTGCTTTCTGTGAATCTGGGCCCTCACCAAGACCGAAATCCACCACGGACTGCAACCTGGCAAGTTCTGGAAGCGTTCCACACTATTCCACACAGGTCAAGTTCAGAGCCAAAACATGGCACTGGGCGGGCGTTTCTTGGTCTCGCAACAAACGTAGACATCCCACAATGTCCTACATTTCTATCTATCAGAATCTATCAGAACGGGTGGTTTCGTGGGCCTTCCGGCCTTCCCTGAAAAATCCTGAAGCTTTAGCAGCTAAAGCTAAAGCTTCTTGTTGCTCTCCAAACTCGTCGGGCGTGACATATTGCTTCGCCTGGCACCGTCAAAATCAAACGATCGGTTCCTCCGTTCCTCCGTTCCGGCGGATCAGCTGAGCATGTGACCACCACAGGATGCGACGCCGCTCCCCAGCGAAGCTTGCTGTCCGCAACGCAGTTCCTGGTGCTCAAAATGCAGATGTCTTGAAAATGCGTCCCATGTCCTTTTATTACTTGACAGGCTAGGAGTGCATTGCTTCTGAGATATCTTTATTCGCTTTCCTTTCTGAGGATGGCCACAGGACAAGTCTTAAACGGAATCACTAGTGCAGGCGTATGCATGACCAAAACAGTTCTCACGAAGCACATTTGCAAAGTGCCATTCTCTCAACACGTCTAAGAATTGACTCGAAATGTGTTGAAATGTGGGGGAGCTGCAGCACTCTAATATTCCACACCTGCCAGTGCTAAAGGATTGGCAACCCAGACTTGCAAAGCCTTTCAGCTTGGAACTTCCTAAAGTCTCAAACTGACCATGTTCAGAAGCAGTCTGCCGGTCCAAAAGCAATGTGCTTTGATGTGCTTTGTTATATTTTGTTCCATTCAACTCCACTTCAAACAACACCAGCCTCGGTACTCCAAAGCTTCTGAAAGGCGGCTGTGATGATTTCGGTCTGTGCATAAGGAGCGGAACGGCGCGGTGTGTGACAACGCGGGAAAATATACTCAGAGTACCTGGAAAGCCTGGTGGTGCAACATCATCAAGGACTTCCAGCATCAATCTTTCGTGCGATTTCAGGATCATCCAAAAATCATGAACATTTTAGAAAATCTGGACATCGATGCTGACCATCACAGTAGCAACCTTGTTGCATATTGCAAAGGGGCACCGGGTTGCCACCGCCTCTTCCAACACAAAGCGTCGCACCGTGCTGGCTATTTCCAAAGGCAGCCGCATGCCTCACAACATATCGCAACGTGCATCAGCGTGCATCAACGTGCATCAACGCGCACTCCGCGAAGCCAGTGCGGCGATGTTCGGCTATGTTCGGCTGGTTAGAGAATCTCGCAGTGCATGTGAAACATGTGAAACATGTGAAACATGTGAAACATGTGAAACATGTGAAACCCTCAGGCCGCAACTCGGCGCAAGTTCATGCATCTTCACCTGTGGCAGGGGCTTTCTTCCAATCGCACATGGATCACATGGCATTCGGATCGATGATCAATGCTGCAATGGAGGAACCACACTATTTGCATCTATGTGCTGGCATGATGGTGGATATATGGTGGATGTGCTTGCATAGAAACCAAATCCTATAGATCCTATAGTACAGTACAGGCAGCGTAGCCGCACCTTGAATTCACCGAGCAAGCTCCGCAAGGTGTTCAAGGTCTTCTCCAAGTTGCACTGGCCAAATGGCATGGGATTTTGCAGCGAAACCCATTGGAAGTGTTGATATTGGAGGATATTGGAGACTGTGGTAATGCCACTCTTGGACATGACTTCCCGCATCCCGCCGCGTCCCGCCTCTCCACCTTTGGGAAGGCAACCTTTTCGCAAGCCTTTCAAAGTCGACCAAGATTCCACAACGGCAATATATATCTGAAGACCATTCGTGAGGCAGAAAACTCAACAACGATGTGCAAACTACGCCTGGGTCTCTGTGTTACTTCGGAACAGAGCTCACTTCAACGGCTTGTGCGTTTGAAAAGAACGGAACGTCGGACTGTCAAGTTTGCTTTGTGGCAATGTGTCACCATCTGTCACCTGCTGCTGCAGCAAAGGCTTTGAAGCTAAACGCCTTGGCCCAATAGCAAGCGCGGAAACATCTGCAAGTACAACACAAACGTTTCCAGGATGTGCACAACCACCACACTCTTCATGGAGCAAAAAGGTGTCAGCAAAATGTGTCACACGTTTCCTTCATGCCAAGGCCTCGCACGGCTGGATAAGCACAAGCCGCCTGGTCCACTCCGAATGCAGCTCCAGAAGTTCCAGAAGTTCCAGGTGGGTGAGTTGTTCACTTTCAGCGTTCCATGTTCTGTTTCTGGGTGAGGCACTACGATGTGATTTCCAGCCGCTGCCCACTTGGGTAAATCATTTTTTGCCTCAGGGCCCAGAACGGCCCAAAGTTTTCACCATATTTGACCCGTCCCTTCCAAGTGCAGAGGAACATTGAAGAAGCCTAACTAGATCTAACATGATCTAACATGATCTAACTATATAGGTAACTAGGCCGAGACCTAATTACGTTGGGCCCGTGGCCGTATGAATGCACTCGGCATCTGTCTCCAAGAGCATGAGCACCTGAAGCCATCAGCTCCAACATCGTCGCAAAATGTTGCGATATTCGCAGTTCCAAATGTTCCAAGAACCCAGTTCCTTTTTGAAAGTCACGTTCAAAATGCAAGTTTGAATGGAATCCTGTAGTTACACCCTCCCCGGACGCCCCTTAGATTCTTTGTAACACCAGAGGACACGACACGGCGATCATCTCAGAAGTCCAAGCTATTTAACGACAATTTCTACTGTAGACATCTGTGGACTACAAAGAATCCTTTTGCCACAAAGAAATGCAATGCTGCAACATGCTGCAATTCATTGTAATTCCTGTCTAGGTTCTGAGGAAAATGAGCCCTGGAAGTATCATTGCATCATTATGCATCATTCACCTGCCTCCAATGCCTCCTCATCCAGTTCCTCACGCCGGACAAGAGAACCAGGCCTGACCAGCCGAAATTCATCAAAATTGCATCTCTTCACAGACACTGGCCAACTTCAGTGGTGACATCAGTTGATCAAATCATCTCAAATCTATGTCAAATATGTGAAATTCAGTAGGGTGTCCACATCATGAGTCATGGGATAGTCATGGGATATCTATGGATATCGGAAACCTCCGGACATTTTGGGGAAACGGGTCAGCCATGGTCAGCCTGGTGGCCTCAGGCACCACCAACCTCAGATGCATAAAGAAAACAGAACATGAAACAAGTGAAACAAGGCCATTTATTGTGGCGAATATTCCACCATCAATTCCATGTGGCGTTAATCCTTTATATCCTTTACTCAATTAGTTCATTATATGTTCATTATTATTTCAATATTTTCAATGGTGGGATTCGTGCAGTTTGAGCGGCTCATACTCCAATTCGGCTTTGGCGGCCAGAATCAGCAGCAGCCAGCGCATGGCACCATGGCACAGCACGGGACCGTGGCGCTGCGTGCTGCCCTGGGATGCTGATTGATTACCATGAGGACTTGCTGGGAGAATTGCAATGATATTAATATATTTATTAAAATATACGCGTGTCTTGAGCACTTAAGATTCAAGATTGTTTCATGATGTTTGATGATTGCTAATGATATTAAGTGCGAATCCGCTAAGAAGCTGCCAATTGCCTCCGTTGGGTTAGTTTTCAGCCCTCTTTGTCAAATGGCAAGGGGCGGTTTTGCTTTTCGACGGTGGAAGACCGCCATGGACCTCCAGGTTGTTTGGACTGTCTCTTTGTGTCTGGATCACCCTTCGACATGATGGGCATGTCATGGCCAGTACGGTTTTGTCTGGCAGCATCTGGCGCAGCCAAACGTGGAAGCTCGCAGAAAGAAACTCCCTTGGTTTGAGTTGTGACCGCAGCAGCTTCGATACGAATCCAAACATCAAACCTCAACTGCAATTGTTCAAAGAGATTTAAAGAGATGCTTAAAAAGATTAAAAATCAGAATCTTCAAGCTGCGTTCCACCTGTCACGGGTACTGAGTGGGAAGAGTCTCTGTACTCACTGCTTCTCTCCTCCATAAACCAATTTCAACCAGCTGAGGCAAGCAGCTTTTCACACGCTCTCTTTCCCGTCCACACCCTGAGCACAGCTCAAAGTTGCCATGGCTTTCAGGGTGGTTTTCCGCTGAGCCCTGGCTACGGTGAAACGTCGGGAATCACGTTTCGAATCTGAACATCGTCGCATTTTGCGAAGACATTGTGCAAATTTGTGCAATAAGCGCAGATCGGGTGGGGGCGTCCCCGGGGAATTTTTTTCAGATTTCCCGGGGATTTTTTTTCAGGATACGGGGTCTATATAGCAAAACACATAAGGCCAGAAGCAGCAACCATGCGGAAAGGGTTCGCGCCCCTACCTTTTTATTTATTTTGTTTTTTTTTCTGCGTTTTGTTTTTTTTTTTGATTCTGTTGCGGGGCGTGTTGTTTGCTTGTTCCATGGCGCCAACCGGTGTATTCCTTGGCTTCCATTCATTTTCCAGAGTTTTAAACGTTTTTTGGGTGTTTAGTTTGCTTTTCACCGGTTTTTTTTTGGTTTTGAACGATTTTGTTTTGTTCTTGCCGTTTTTGGGCGTGTTTCCCGCGACTTGCATACGTCTGATCACTAGTGGCATGGACGGTTCTGTGTTGTTTGCCGTTGTATTCATCGTGCATCCACTGTGTTAAACCAACAGACATGATAGATTGATTGATTTATTCATAGATAGATAGATAGATGGTTAGATAGATAGATAGATAGATAGATATATAGATAGATAGATAGATAGATAGATAGATAGATAGATTAGATAGATAGATAGCTAGATAGTTAGATAGATAGGTAGATAGATAGGTAGATAGAATAGATAGATAGATAGATAGATAGATAGATAGATAGATAGATAGATAGATAGATAGATAGATAGATAGATAGATAGATAGATAGATAGATAGATAGATAGATAGATAGATAGATAGATAGATAGAAGGATAGATAGATAGATAGATAGATAGATAGATAGATAGATAGATAGATAGATAGATAGATAGATAGATAGATAGATAGATAGATAGATAGATAGATAGATAGATAGATAGATAGATAGATAGATAGATAGATAGATAGATAGATAGATAATAGATAGATAGATAGATAGATAGATAGATAGATAGATAGATAGATAGATAGATAGATAGATAGATAGATAGATAGATAGATAGATAGATAGATAGATAGATAGATAGATAGATAGATAGATAGATAGATAGATAGATAGATAGATTAGATAGATAGATAGATAGATAGATAGATAGATAGATAGATAAATAGATAGATAGATAGATAGATAGGTAGATAGATAGATAGATAGATAGATAGATAAATAGATAGATAGATAGATAGATAGGTAGATAGATCGATAGATCGATCGATCGATCGATCGATCGATAGATAGATAGATAAGATATGATAAGATAAGATAAGGTAAGATAAGATAAGATAGATAAGATAAGATTAGATAAGATAAGATTAGATTAGATTAGATAGATAGATAGATAGTTAGATGGATAGATAGATAGATAGATTTTGACGACAAGTTTGATCACATACGCTACAGAAGGTGGGCTGTATCATACACTTGCATTTTGTCACAAGCCGCGGGGGGTGCTTTAAAATAAAAAGGCGGGAGGGGGGCGCGGGAGGGGGGCGAGCGCCTCCCCCCGCAAAGCGTCACATAGTCATGATACATTCATTCGCAATGTAGGTGGGCCTTATCATCCACCTTTGTGGCGATGTCACAGCATACAGCGGTAGCGTAATACTAGACGTAGCAGTTGGTGGGCCATATCATCCACCTTTGTGGTTTTGTCACAGCATGGCAGCAAAGCACGCACTTGAATTTTGACGACAAGTTTGATCACACACGCTTGAAACAGAAGGTGGGCCGTATCATACACTTGCATTTTGTGGTTTTGTCACAGCATGGCAGCAAAGCACGCACTTGAATTTTGACGACAAGTTTGATCACACACGCTTGAAACAGAAGGTGGTCCGTATCATACACTTGCATTTTGTCACAAGCCGCGGGAGGGTGGCTCTAAAATAAAAAGGCGGGAGGGGGGCAAAGCGTCACGTAGTCATGATACATTCATTCGCAATGTAGGTGGGCCTTATCATCCACCTTTCTGGCGTTGTCACAAGCCGCGGGGGGGGGCTTTCCTGGAAATGCAGTTTTGCATGGTATTTACAATGTCTTTTGCTTATGCACATGGATACGGGGGGTGGTATTGCAATCGCGCGCCATACTTATACAATGCTTGATTGGATACCTTCCTTGCTTGCTGCCTGGCTGGCTGTCTTGCTGGCTCCCTGCATGGCTTGCTCACCTTCTCGCTTCGCTGACTGCCGTGCTTCCTCCCTTGCTCGCTCGCTTGCTCGCTTGCTCGCTCGCTCGCTTGCTGGCTTGCTGGCTTGCTGGCTTGCTGGCTTGCTGGCTTGCTGGCTTGCTGGCTTGCTGGCTGGCTTGCTGGCTTGCTTGCTTGCTTGCTTGCTTGCGTGCTTGCGTGCTTGCGTGCTTGCGTGCGTGCGTGCTTGCTTGCTTGCTTGCTTGCGTGCTTGCTTGCTTGCTTGCATGCTTGCATGCTTGCATGCTTGCATGCTTGCATGCTTGCTTGCTTGCTTGCTTGCGTGCGTGCGTGCGTGCGTGCTTGCGTGCTTGCGTGCTTGCGTGCTTGCGTGCTTGCTTGCTTGCATGCTTGCTTGCTTGCTTGCTTGCGTGCGTGCGTGCGTGCTTGCGTGCTTGCGTGCTTGCGTGCTTGCGTGCTTGCTTGCTTGCTTGCATGCTTGCTTGCTTGCTTGCTTGCTTGCTTGCTTGCTGCCTTGCTTGCTTGCTTGCTTGCTTTCTGGCTGGCTTGCTTGCTTGCTTGCTTGGCTTGCTTGTTTGCTTGCTTGCTGGCTGGCTTGCTTGCTTGCTTGCTTGCTTGCCTGTTCCCTGCGTGGCCTGCGAATAGATTTCTGAAAAAAATTCCCCGGGAAATCTGAAAAAAATTCCCCGGAAAAATACGTACCCGTTTCTCAAGGTGCCTGTCCTTTTCTTGTAACGAGTCCAATCTGCCAATTATACACAATTATACCATATCCATATCCATTCATATCCAACCTTCCAAAGGGCTTAGATCACTTGCCACGGTAATCCAATTGAGATCAGTTGAGCACCTTCAGAAACACGCGGAGGCATTTTCTCTGGGTTCTAGTTGCGCTCCAGCTTTTCCGGTGGATTCTTGCCAGCTTGAGAGGTTCGGAACTTGTTCTCCATCCTGTCCAAATCGGGTGATGTCTCTCCAGTTAGTAGAGTAAAATGGAAGGCACATGTCCAAACTCCAAACATGTCGGTGTTGTCTCATGTTGTCTGTTTCCCTGTGTTGCATGATGTTTCATGGCATATCTGCCATATCCCATCCATATCCCATCCCTATCATCTCTTGAGATGAGCCGCTTGATGATGCGCTCGTTCAAAAGTTTCTTGTCGCTGTCTGACGGTGGGACCCTTGCAGCGAAACAAGCTGAAACATCTGAAACCAGACAAGAAAATACAAGAAATGCATCTCTTGAAGCCGCCGTAGCCTGACCCAACTGGTGACAAATTACTACGTGCATCTGCATCTTGCTTGCGACCAAGCATCTTCCCCTCGGCTTCCCACTGCTTCTGCCACGACCTGCATAGCCCCCGTTTGCAAACGTCTATCACAGTTGAGGCGGACCCAACAAACATGCAGTACAGAGTGCTGAAAATCTATGAAAATCTCACGTTCAGGCTGTAAAATCAGGTCACAGCTTATTCATGCTTATTCAACAACTCAACAACTCATCAACCGTGCCATGAAAATCATGAAACAACGATCTGTCGCTTCTGAGCCTGGCGTTCATGAGCATCTGCACGGCAAGGTGCTCAGTCGCAGGCAGGATTTTCCTCGGTGATGGTGCAATCGTGCTGCGGTAATGACACTATTCAGTCACTATTCACAAGAATTCACAAGAATTCACAAGAATTCCATGGGGTGATCTTGGATCTAGTAATTGTATCACCTTCAAGCATGTAGCCAGTGCAGATGAAGAAACATAAGTTGTTGCAAGTCGGACACCCCATTCGACCCTGAATCCCAGCGTCTCCTCCATATTCATGTATCTAATCATCTAATCATTATCCAATCATCCGCTATCACATCTATCACGCACCCACTCAGCCAGGCGTCATCGCCGCAAAAATCAGTGGGGAGACCAAGAACTCGATGAAACCGACCTGCCAACTGCCAACACTGTCCATCAACACGGTCCATATCGGTCCATCAATGTCCCCTGCCTGGGAGAAAGGCCGATTCACCGTGTTGCGATCGTTTAGGGCTTGCACGGGCCTAGGCTGAGACGGCCGAGACGGCCGAGATCAAAATACAGAGGTTGAGGTTGCCGCAGGATCCTGGTCCTGCAGGATCCCTGGTGACTTGGGGGCCCAACCCAGCTTGCAACAAACACATCTTTGAACATATAGAAAATCTACATCGAAAATCTACATCCTTCATCTTTCATCATCCTTCGTCCTTCATCATGGTTGATGTGACTAGTGACTTAGGATGGTTGGTTCTGGTTCCCTTTCAACCTTTGTGCGCAGCTGGTGTGCTAGTGACTTAGTGTGCTGTCGAGTTGCACTCCCAGTCGTGCTTCCGCATCTCCTTGGACAAAGAATTCTTCCAGAACTTGCCACGCCCAGATACGGCTGATACCTGGCTGCCAGGTGGTACGGTAGAGCTGCTACGGGTGGCTGCCAGGTGGCAGAAAATGTACAAAAATGCAGCATTCTGTAGGCCATTAAGATGTCGGTTCTGCATCCAAGCTGCGGAACGGCTTCATGGAATTCGAAATGTCTGAGGTGTGAAGGGTCAGGTTCAACACCCTCAGATGTCGCGGCTTCCGCGTCACTGCTTTAACACGAAAATGAACCGGCCAGTCATCCTGTCGCAAGTTTCAGCTAAAAGATGCCAAAAGTAGTATATAATAATGTGTTGTTGCATGTGTATTAATATATAATATATATATAGATATCTATAGATATCTGAATCTATCTATACTTCTGAATATGTGATCTATGCTCAACTTTACCCCTGATCCTTGTGATTCCTTCTGTCTATACCCAGTCCCCTGTGGAGAGAGCACACCATAGCACACCTGTTTGCTCCACGAATCCATGGACTCCAGCAACAAATCCGCTGTTCTTTGGCAGATGTGATGAGGAGTGACGAGGTCATAGTGGTTCCGATTTCCGGACAGCTAGTAGATGCAGCTGGAATTTCAAGGAGACAGCTGAGTTCCTGTGCAATGCCCAGCCATGTCATTGTCACCACACGTCTCACAGGTCTCAGTTGAAAGCTTGGTCGCTGGAGTAGCTGATGTTTAGTCGGTTGCCACTGCCAAAACACTTGAACAAGTCTGCAAGGCATTCGTCGGGCGAAGGCTCAAAAGCATCCTGGCAGTATACGTACAGCGTCTCCACTTTTAAAGCTTCCTCACAGGGGAATGTGAAAAACGCGAGTATGCAGAAGCAACTTGCATGGCACAAAGAATAGCATGCCAACTATGTTTTGACAAACACTTTCAAGAAGGGTTGAGAGCTTCAGTCATTTTCCACTTCTGTCTCAAGGTTTGAGCTTTCGAACCAAAAAGAAGTATAGGCAGTATAGGTATGGTAGCATGTATTATCACCTAAAAGGACGAAACCTAGAAGCCAACAGTTTAAAATGTTTCAAGGTCTGGCCCGTCCCCGGTCCCCTAAGGAAAGATTTGGGAAGTGCCTAAAGTGCCTATCGCCTATCCATCCCGAGTCCTTCAAATATGATGTGAGTTTGGAGAACTTCTTGGTGCCATCAATGGTGAAGCGCGGTTGTCGAAGCGCCGGGGCAGAGCCCATGGCTTTCACATTGACCTCGACCTTGCCCTGTCTCTGCCGATCCAGGTGCGCTCGCACCGTGGTCGCCATGCTGAGGACTTGAACCAAGCGCCAAGTGGCAGAGCAAATGAAAGAATAAGAACATGTAAGAAAATGTAAGAAGTACCCCCATCCCATCTCCATCCCATCTTCACCGTTTCCAGAGATTTCCAGCAAACATGTGATGAACTACCAGGCAACATCGAACACTAACATCTCGACATCGAACATCGAACCCTGTGCTGTGCCGTCAAGGTGCAACTTCCGATTGTCAGGGAGACGCAAGCACTCAATCGCCTCTTGTGCCAAACATGGCTCATCCTGGAAACAGCTGAAGTGTCAAGCCCTTATTTCCTCGTCAAGCCCTCAGGTCTTGCATGGTCTTGCATGGTCTTGCCGCTTTTGGAGAGTTTTTGTCACCAGTCACTTTTTCAGTTGTCATGTCATACATTGTCATACAATGTCCATAGTGGATCATAGTGGCAGTTCAGCTGGCAGTCCAATGCATTGAACCACAGAGTTTCATCATATTTCTGTCCTCTTGAAGGAATAGGTTTCTGGACGCATCCCAAAGGTCCGAATTCACCTGGGTTTCAGTGACATATGCCAACATCTAAATCATCCAACGGATCATAAAACAATATAAAAAATATCTAAACATGGGGCATTTCGAGCCTATACCGCCCATAATGCCATAGCTCTGTGGACATAAGATACATAAGATACATAAGACAGTTCGTCTGTGTCTGTGAGTGCATGTGAGTGCATGTGAGTGCATGTGAGTGCATGTGAGTGCATGTGAGTGCATGTGAGTGCATGTGAGTGCATGTGAGTGCATGCGAGTGCGCACGCATCGCATACATGCAGCACAGCACCTTCACATGGATATTCAGCCGTCCAAGGGCAACTGAGTACACTTCGTAATTGTGGATTTACCACCAGAGCGCCTCGTACAGCATTTGCACATCCTTGATCATGGAAAAATGCTGGGCGTTGTCCGTGTGAAGGATCGCTTCAACACAGACCTTCCGCACTTCGTGGTATTGTGTCTTTGACAATGTCGAGAAAATGTTACCTCAACAAACAGGGCAAGTGTCCCAGGCTCAAATTTCAGATTGACCTGAGTTTTCAGTGTTTGAATCTCACAAGCCCAGATACATCTCGCTTGGCCTACCAGCTCAAACATTTTGGAGCAATGCATATTTTCCAATGGTGATTTGTCCTTGGCGACAAATCGCAGGTGATGTGACTGGACTCTTTCCCCGGGTGACAAATTGATTTGGCGACAGGGCTTCATGCACATTCACATTCTGAACCAAAAGCTTTGGGGGAGTCAGCCCAATATGCCCAATTGGGAGGAAACGTGCCAAGGATTTCCGTCTGCAAATGTCAGTACAGTGCCTCCTAGCCACGTTGTACCGAAGTGCCAGTTCATGTGATGTCTCAACGAGAAATCCATTGTTCAGACCTTCATCATGGGCTGCAAGTTGCTGCATGAAATGCCTTCACCCAAACGCCTCACAGTTCTAGGGACATCCTGGCATCCTGAAGAGTCTCTAAGCTGGAAGAGGAAAGCTTGCATCCCCATCTGCTACATCCATCTACATCCCCCGCAAACGTGTTCACAGTTCCTACACGCCTGGATGGCCTATGTCATGACACACAGCACTGACCAGCACGGCATACCTGTCATGCAAATTCAATGTCAAAAAGGCATGTTTTTTAAAAAAAAGTAGCATCGGAAACACCAGAAAAGCTGCTCCAGTCCATTCACTGTGAACATACGAACTGTGAACATCTGTGAACTATACTGGCATAGGATCATCATAGGATCATCATAGGATCCCTTGAATTTCTTGACCTGAAATGACCCGCCTCTCTTCCCGGGTGAGGTATGCATCTGCCGCACAGAGCTGCAGCATCCGGTAGACCCCATGTGTTGTGTCCACGGCCTTGGTGCACAGTATTGCACAGTGCAACTAGTGCAACACGATCCAACCATCCAATATCATCCAATATAATCCAATATGTCATATAAAACTTCGAAAGGACCATTTATAGTGGATTTTCCCATTAAAAATGGTGATTTTCCATAGTTTTTTGTTAACGTTTACCAGAGCTAGAGGGATCCTTTTCAAAATCAAAATCCGACCCAACTGCATCTGCCAAGGTGCATGGAACCAGTTGTGGTACGGGGCCGATTTCACATAACCTCAAGGCACGGGCCAGGCAGCCAGGTTCAGCTCCGTCGCTCTCACTTCGATCACATCGATCACTTGAGGCCCGCGCCACTCTCTGCATCGCTCAGAAAGTTGCCCATGACCACCTGAAAAACACATAGAAACAGAAAAAAAAAACATAGAAACATCCCTTGGTCGAAGATCTATAAATTATAAATGTGTATAGACAGTATATAGACACGAGTATGGGAAAGGTAAGACGGTAAGACCTTTACGGGGCTCGGAAATCATCAACTCAGTAGACTTCGAACTCAGACAAGGCGCCGAATCAAACTCGACACCATGGTTGTGGGAACTGCAGAAATACATGGCCTTAGTGCAACTGCAGCAACTGGAACAAGCTCAAGTTATCTCAAGTTCTTGTCTACCTTGTCTGTTCCTGGCGTCTCCGTGCAAAAAATGCCACCGAAGATGCTGAGGTGAGGGTGAATCTGAGGAAAAAAAAAAACAACCATCAAGAGACACCCCGATTCTAATCACAGCCATGCTGCCGCCACGTGGTTCCTGAGATGCTGAGATACACATTGTTTCTGAAAGTCACCACATCAAGTCATTGACTGATCTCGGCCGCTTCGTGTCACATGTGTGACATCGCAACCATTGTTTTGTTGCCAAGCCACCTGGCTTTGTCCAACCTGACGGAACGATCATTTCGGATGTGTTTGCGTTGTTTACATTGTTGACATCTCATGACTCTCCGTGTAGCCATCTTCCCATCACCATCAGCCATGCTATGCCATGCTGTAGCGCAGACCAGTGGCTCCAAAGGGTTCAAGTTCCAGGAGTCGATTAATTCCATGGAAAGCCCGGCGTTTTCCACCATGGCGCGCTGAGCCAATTCGATCGCCTCCATGTCCAAGCCATTTTCCTCAGATGGGGCGATATCAATATGTCAATATGGGCCATTTCAACTGCACAAACAACTGCACAGATCCCCTGATTTGCTGATCTATAAGTCATTATAAGTCCCTAAGTCTTTGTCGCTGATTACAGTCGTTCGCTTCACTTTTCAGCAGTTGCCCATGTGTTCCTTGATTTAACGTCCAAATCTTTGGAAAAAGCCCTCAAGGGCTGCCGCATGCAGTCAAAATTCCACATCTCCTCTATCCGCAAATTCGGTGTCCTGGAGCACTGGACACACAGCAACCTTTGGCAACTTTTGAAGATCCAGGGGATCGGCGATAGGCATAAAATATCATGAAATACAGAAGAATTTACAGAAGATCCATGAAGTTCCACAAGTAACATTGAGAGGGTCCGCAATGTTCCGCAAGTCTGTTCAACATGTTCAACAGCCCCTTTGGAGGAGCTGCAAGTTCTGTTCTGCTGACACTGCATCATTGGCCAGGAACAGCACGCAGCAGATTGCACCCACCTGTATGGTGCCCTGGAAGCCAGAGATCACAGCACGATCACCTTCGGCTAAGTTCTGGAGCGTCTGTGCATCCAGGACAGGCTTGTTCATAGTGATCTCACCTCACCGAAAAGTTGAGAAACAATTGAGAAATGTCGAGAAGTTGAGAATACGCGATCCGCATTTGACAACACCATCCGACACACTTCGACAGGAACCTCTTGTGGCCGAGATCTGTAGCCAAGGCTCTGATCACCGCAAGTTTCTGCACGACTTTGGCGAGCAGCTGCGTTTCATTGCCAAACTTCTTAGCGTCTTCGACACTCTCCTGACACATCACCTTTCTCAAATTGATTGCAATCAAATTTAACACATATCATATATTGCAATAATTTGCAATATAATGCCACGTGTTACATACGTGTCACATACGTGTCACATACGTGTTACAGTGCGGGACGGCGGCCCCGGCTCCTCCGAACGATCGTCCTTCGCCTCTTCCTTCATCACCACCTCCATGTCTGTCACAGACCTTACGATTAGAATCGGTTCGATACGCCGACGGCCTCACGGCCTTACGATCTCAGCTTCAACACAAGCTGCCACAACTTGGAAAATCTTGGATATATCTACCCCAAACATGCACCATACACCACCTCAGCGAATGCTTATAGGCTGTCATACTGTCATACTATGTCATATTATGTCATATTGCACGCAATGCGCGGGTGATATTGGTTCACCGATCCATTCACTGAGTGCTGTTTTCACATGTATATGTATATATATATATGCATAAGTGATATAAACGTTTGCCGGGAAGCTGGAAAATGGTCGAGGCCATCTGCCGAACCTGTTGGCTTTTTTTACACACATCAAATCACTGTAAACAAAATAAAATCGGTGCAAAATCACTGAAGAAATATACGAAATCGCATAAACAAATCATAAAATCATCAAAGAAAGTGATTCATTTTGGAAATTCACCAATTTCACCATGAAATTCACCCATGATTCTTTGCAAATCACTGTGCCATATGTGCCATGCTCCGCCTGGGTCAAAAGTTGCTCCAAGGGCTTCAGGACGATGCTCGACACCGACTGCGACAGGATCAAAGAAAATGCAATCATCCTGCAAAATCGTGGGGAAATCGGCAAATGATGGGAAAATGATGGGAAAATGATAGGAAAATGATGGGAAAATGCAATTTCATCAGACAAGCTGTTCATCAGACTGGTTCATCTGGTTAACTTAGCAATGGCGACATTTCTATACATTTCTGACTTTAAAGTTCACCTGGAAGAGCATGGGGAAAGAATAGAAAAGACGAGAAATCTGAAGGGGTTACACTACAGGCCGATCTCCTGCTACATCCACGGTGAATTTGGGCTACTTTTCACCCGAATCATTACATCAGAGCCAGATCCCTGGTGTGGAGTCTTCAGCCAAGTCTCAAAATCATGACAATGAGCAGCAAAATAATCTCAGACACAGTGCAACTGGATGCAACTGGGGCTCTTGCAGCTATGCGATGCTATGCTATGCGATGCTATGCGACGTTATGCGACGCTATGTGGCTATTCAATGGATTGGAGTATTTTGAGTCAAGCCATGGAGTCACAACTGGCTTGTCAAAGCGCTTTCACAAATGCCAAGGCCAAGCGACATTCATCCATGCATCCAGTTGGTTGGGTGACATGAAGTTGAACTCCACGATCAAATGGTCGCTTGTAAAGACCACGTTGTTGCTCATCCGCGTGGGTGGACCATTCGGAGAATTCCAGGGCAACGCATTGGTCACCTCCACTGGATGTTGCATGTTACGTGCCCGCACTCTCCATGGATGATAAGACCTAAGCGCGGCGCAACATGGCGCAACATGGTGCAATGCAGATCCCCATGAAACATATGAAACATATGACGCTACATGAAACATATGAAACAACGAAGATCATCATTCTTACGCACAGAATGTGAGGTGGCAAAAAGACTCCGAAACATCTTGAAACTCAGAGGAAGGTTCGGTGCAAAAAAAAAATGCAGTGCAAGCATGGCCAAGCTGCTTTTGATCGTAGAAGGCAGTGATTTCTGTGAGTTGCTGCTGAAATCGCGCTGGGTATCGCATATAGCAAGCCTCCAGGATGTTGATGAAGGAGTTCGGAGACCAGTCCTGGAGGTCCAAATGTGGCTGGTCTGGGCCCAAGGCTTGAGAGGATCTCGAACTTCAAACCTTGAAGTTCATCTTTGGCCTGTTTCTGACCAGAACTCAGACCTTATAAATCCTTATAAATCCGTTTTTTCTAAGTCCGACAAAGCCGCAGAGTATCGCAGGTTGTGCTACCTTCAGATCTACCAAGGCGCTTCTTCTGGATAGGCCCATAAGTTGAACAATGGCATGATCATCACCAGCAAAATGATTAAACACGAGGTCCGCGTTGACCTGGGACTGGGAATTTCGGGGGATCCCGGCTTTGAGGGATTTTTTGTGTGACACATATTATTATGATACAATATTAGACATGAACAGATATAATATATATTTATATAATTAATATATATATATATACATAATATATATATACATATGTACACGGGTATATTATTCACATCATGTGCTCCTTGCGGCCTCAGAATGCCGCTGAGCCACAGGGCTGTGATCAATTTGGATGAGATCAGCTTGGCCGTGCCAGCTCCATCATCCACGTTGCCCATGCCTGGCAGGAACCTGGCACAGCTCGAACGCAGCACTGTAACTGCAGTACTACTGATATCATCTGAATCTACTGCTGATATACATCTGATATACATCTGATTACATCTGATTACTGCCTGCTATATCCTGCTATCAGATTTTGATTTAAGTTGATTTCAAGATGAAATGCAGAAATGCAGGCTCATGATGCTCATGCTAAGATATGCTAATTTCAGAAATCCGAACAGCTTGTGAACTTTCTGGGGACAGGGGATACCATGGGATACCTGATACCTGGCACATGGCTACGCCGCTACGATCCGCTACGATCCGCTACGATCCGCTACGATCCGCTACGATCCGCTACGCCATGTGGCTACCGCCTCAACAACTTTGCGAGCTTCGTGAAGCGTCCTGCACGAGCACCCAGCTTGGCAATTCGCGCCTGCAGGACTAGCACAGGACTAGCACAGGACTAGCACCCCATTCTGGACCCCATTTGGCTTGGAACAGAGTTGGCCGAACTGGCTTTTGCCTTCAACATGCTCTCACCCGTCCTCACCCGACCTGCCACATTCCCTGGTGTTCATTTGTCTGTGGATCTGCCAGGTGTTGACAGCTTTCGGACAGGAACTCACTAGAGTTGACGCCTAATTTGGATTACCCTCTGGTAATTTAACATAGCTATTGGAAATGACCATTAATAGTGGATTTTCCCATTAAAAATGGTGATTTTCAATAGCTATGTTAGTTTACCAGAGGGTAATTTGGTTCTTTCCTGTGCTTGAGTCCCATCTCTTGGTCATTGATGGCCGTAGTTGCCATGTTTTTTGAAGATGGAGCTCTTCGGATGCCGTCTACCATCATCTATACTGTACCACTGTACCGTACTGTACCCCTTCCAGATCTTCCAGCGAGTCACTGCGCGCATGATGATGACGTTGTTGGACACATCGTCACCACCAACCTGGGCATCGCGAAACACGTCGAGGCAATCCCTGACATCCCTGAGGCCATCCACGGCCATCCATGGCCTCCTGATCCAATTGAGTGATGTAGGACAAGTCCAGCAACAGCGAGGCCTCAGGTCATCTCAGGAGATCTCAGGTCCGGCCCTCAGGGCCACACCGTGGGTCACACCGTGTCAGTTGCGGTTCGCGGTTCTACCCCGCCCTTCTCCATCGCACATCTCTGCTCGCCAAGGAACTGCTCCCAGCACATCCTTGGAACAGCAGATTGGCGGCACAGGTTTGTGTCCAAAACAATGAGAAGAGGTCTTCTGCATTCTTCTGCATTCTTCTGCGTTCTTCATCATTGTGCCCTTAACCACACCCAAACATACCCAAACATCGGTGCTTCATGATGTTTCTCTTATGACATTGAATCATTGTATAGAATGTTTCGTCAACAGGTCTCATCTGAATTCCACTTCCATTTCTTTTTATCAATGTTCACCGTCTTGGACGTGCGATTCCATATCGAACAGTGCGGCCGAAAGTCCATCCAGAAAAAGAAGGAGTACAAATAGGTCTTGTGCATTCCAATCGACTGCACAGAGACTTCAAATACGAACAGCACCCCAACCTCACGGACAAAGGCCAAGTGAAGGGAAGTCAACCTTTAAGCACCGTGACCATGCACAAAAAGTGCCCAAGCCCATGTCAAGCTAAAATAAGATAAATGGACGTGATCAAGTTGTCTGCAGCATGATCATTTCAGTGAGACTCTGATCTCGGTTAAAGTTTACATTCTGCGTTTGATTCACGTGATGATAGTGGTCCCCAACTGTTTGCCTACACTGTTTGTTTTCGACATCGTTTTCGAAAAGACCGGCACTGTTTCCCTAATGTTTCCCTAATGTTTCCCACGTTTGGGCCCACCAGAGTGAGGAGGACATCCAGGACGCTATTGTCGGCTTGGTTCAAAATCACCCACAGATCAGGCAGAAAAAGCGCCATCAGCAACGCCAGAAACATGGCCAACTGAAAATACCTGGCAACGATTGGCAACGGCAGCAACTCTTTCAGTCCATGAAGATCCATTTTTAGCAACAAAAATATATAGCAAAATATAGCAACATGCAATATATTAAGAGATAGCAAAAGGATGATAGCAAAAGGATGTGCTTTGATGAATTTTGACCTGTTTCAATGTGTCTCAATATTACATGTCTCAATATTCAGGAGTCCTATTGATTCGTATTGCCATATTGCATAATTACATTGCTAGAGCCAATTCCAAGAGCTTGTGAGGTGCCTGTTGTTCACGATCTGGCGGCAGTATGGGGCCAAAGCCTTTCTCAATTGATGCAGTGAACCTCATGGTCACCATATGTCACCATGCAGCAACGCGCAACACTTGTCCGTGTTGTGGGAACATGGAACAACAAGCAGTAACAAGCAAGAAATAGCCTAACACTAATAAGCCTAAAAAGATCTAAAAAGCAAGGAGAAAGTATCTTAGTCAAGATTCGTGCCACGAAGCTCATCTGTGCTGTCAGAATTCTAAGGCCCTATCGGATCATTCCCTCAAATCTTGACACAAAGCAGGGCTCATAAAATATGGGGCTGCAACCTTGTTCATTTTCCAAGTGATACGCTCATCATCTCTCATCTATTCTCAACCAAGGCAATCCAAGGCACCATCCATGTCTTGTGGTTTTTGGGATTCTTCAGATTCAACTGAAAGTGATAAGGGAGGTGGATCCTCTGCAGGTGGTGGCGGTGGTAGCGAACTCTTCGGCCAACCTTGAGGGACAACAGCCGAATCTGATCGAGTCTGATCGAATCTGACTCCAAAATGCTGAGTTTTGTGGATCGAAGATGCTACTTTCATGTCATTGACAAATGTTGTCTATATGTTGTATATCATGTCTTGTTAAATCTTGTTAATGTCATGTTCCACCATTTTCCCCAAGTTTTCTCGAAAATTGCCACTGGCACCACAACGGCTATGGCGGCTATGGCCTCCGTGTGACAACGCCTTCAGCGTCATCGAGGCCGCCCGGAGATGGGCATCCTGCGCGATCTTCCATACGTCTTGGCATCCAAACAACAGCAGTTTTTTTAAACTCAGAAGGTATCTCTCTTTATCGGCATTGCTGGTCCTTTACCTCGATCAAGGAGTCACATCATAGAATCTACTATGAACGTGCGACTCCTGTGAGCCCAAATGCAGAATTTGCATGAATTGCATGTAAAACTGTAAAATCATGTACGTGAATCGTGTACAATGTGTATAGACTGTATAGTTTCAGCACCTTGTATGTTGAACCCCCATGGCCTTTCAAGATCTTTCAACCTGAACATTTCACCCGAATGCCATGCCAAGAGGGGAAGGCTTGCAAAAAGGCACAACCGAAACAAGTTCCAGTGGAGGATACTTTCAATTTCGTTCGTCTGAGGAAGAAAACACATACCACAATTTGTGCTTCAATCATAGCCAAAATCGACCATCAAATGGGGTGGTAGCTGTATGTGTGTGTGTGTGCGAGTGCTTTCAATTTGTGAGCTGAGTTTGCGGCCCACATCTATGTTGTATATGTTATTATGTGTATATATGTATATATAGATAGATATAGATAGATGATATAGCGTAAAAAGTGGGTCCGTAAACAACTGGCTTCGGCAATGATACGTGAGTGCCCATCTGGCTGCTGATGAACTTCCGGTGACTAGTTCTGGGCCATCACAGAAGGTAACATCGTTGAGCACCTTGAGCACTTCGTTGCGACACCTTCATTCATTTTACCTGCTCTCATCATGCTCTCATCTTTCATCCTAAAATCACAGATCTGTCCCAAAATTGCGAATTCTTGGAGAAGTACCAAGTCTATAGCTCTGGCACATTCTCACATTCTGGCACCAAACCAACACCTGACTCTCTGCTGCGATGTCACCAGCACAGCGGTCACAATTTAGGTCATCTTAGGTCTACACGAGCCAGACTCATGACATCTAATGACATCTAATGACCTAGAGCTTGGCCAGAAAAACACGTGCGAAACGGAGGCCTTTGCTCCCTTTCAACAGAGCTGTTCAAACATGTTCAAACCTGGCGAATTCAGAGGTCACAGATCTGCAGAATCTCCAACGCATCTGATGGGGCCTCGGCTATCAGTTCTTGCGGCAGAGCTGATAGCCATGTTTTGTGACTAGAGCTGTGCACCGACGCGCCCTTTTTCCATCCGGCAACATCCGGCAACATCCGGCAACTAAGTAACTAAGACTAACTAAGAGTAACTAAGCACAATCTTGTGCACCCATTGACTCGACTCTAATGATCTAATGATTCTAAATATATTCTAATCTAATGCGCCTACATGCGCATGCAGAAGTTCCTATTTCAGAAACCCTAAGGGATCATGAAGCTATTGAGAAATCATGTGGCCAATTGTGGCCTGCCAGCTTTTCTGCCAGGACTATGAGAACTCGTCCTACTAAACTTAAAGCCAGAAGTGTTTGAGAACACTAGGCCCTACTCAGCGGAAAAAACTGAATTAACCAAAATTATATAAAATTATATAAAATTATGTGCAATCTAAACGGTGGCTATCAGATCACGGACTGCAAAACAGTCACCACCTCCATCTGGAGAGCCCCATGCCACGACTGATCCGTTTGCCAGGATGGCAGCAAACGCTTGCTCAGTGGCCTGAACCTGCTGCACACCCCTGAGCTGATCCTGGACTGCAGAGCTGTCCCCACCAAAGTGTGGATTGCCCCATGTCACGACAGATCCATCAGCCAACACTGCAGCGAATGCACTTTCTGTGGCCCGCAGCTGCAGCACATTTCTGAGCTGATCTTGTACTTCTGAGCTGTCACCGCCGTAAGCTGAAGAGCCCCATGTAGCAACGGATCCATCTGCCAACAGGGCAGCGAATGCGCAGGATGTGGCCTCAATGTGGTGCACACTTCTGAGCCGATGTTGGACTCCAGAGCTGTTGCCCCCATAGCGCGGATTGCCCCAAGTCACGACTGATCCACTATCCAACACAGCAGCAAACGCGAAACCAGAGGCCTGCACCTGCTTCACACTCCTCAGCTGCTCCTGAACTCCTGAGCTGTCACCACCACCATTTCCATGGCCCCATGCAACGACGGAACCATCTTCCAGGATGGCAGCAAACGCGCGAAACGTGCCCTGGACCTGTTGGACACCCCTGAGCTCTTGGATTTCAAAGGTCGCGCCCAAATCAGGGCCCCATGTTACACAAGATCCGTCGGCCAGGATTGCAGCAAATGCATAGTGCGTGGCCTGTACTTGTTGCACGTTCTTGAGCCGATCTTGGACTGCAGAGCTATCACCTCCGAAATGCGCATCTCCCCAGGTCACAACAGAACCATCCGCCAAGAGGGCAGCGAATGCATGAACTGTGGCGCGAACTTGTTGCACACCTTGAAGCCGATCTTTGACTGTGGAGCTGTCACCGCCGAAGCGTGGATCACCCCATGTAACCACGGATCCATCTGCCAGAACTGCAGCAAATGCGCGAGATGTGGCTTGAACTTCTTGCACACTCTTTAGCTGATGTTCAATGGCGGAACTATCACCACCCCACTCTGGGTCACCCCATGTGACGATGCGGTCAGCTCCATCACACCACAGCACAAAGGCCTTTCGAGTCGCTGCGATCTTCACTTGTCGCACGACCGCTATGAGGCGGTGGAGCAGAGTCGAAGATGTCAAAGATGTCAAAGTTTGAAGAGGATCAGAGAGGATCTGCCCATCTGCAGTGACAAGCCGTATGAAGCCTTTCTTGAACGCTCTTCGAGCAAGAAAATTCAAATCCCCTACTTTGGAGGATTCCGGAACTTCCAGGTTTTCTGCTCTTCCGCTCGGCAAGGCTACTAATACTCGAAGCATCCTTGTGGAACCTCGTGGGATGTCAAACATGTCAAACGGAAAACCATCCACAGGCAGCTTCGAGCCAAACTCCGTTCAGTCAAACTTAATTTTAAAATTTAAAATGTGATGATGTGATTGTGATGAATTTTACATTGTATCTTGCTGTATCTTTCTGATCCTGCGAATGATCGGCGTTGAACTTGGGACTGGTGTCATTCGGAACGTGCCGATCAAAGTCCGTCGTGGCGAATGTTTCAATGAAATCTTGTTCCTTGATTTCCTTGTGATCGAATGTGTTTCCTTGTTTCGTCCACCTGCCCCCTTCACCACTGCACCAACCATAGTCAGTACATACTCAGTACTTAAAGATACTGCCTTTCACGTCAAGGGACGGCAAGCGCAGTGCCTCTCGCACGCTCGTCATGTGGGCTCACTGAGTGAAAACTGCGGATGCAGATTTAAGATATCTAAGATGATTTAAGATGATTTAAGCACGTTAGAGATCTCAGTATTGGCTCGTATTGGCTCTGTGCATCTTCAACCACAAACTCCTGGGTCTAGTGTGACATATTGCAAGCGCAACGCTGCAGCGTCCATTTTACTCTTGATGTTGCCTCTGTGTTCTGTGACTTCTGTGACTTTCACTGCATTCCATGCCTCTGCAACTAGGCAACTAGTGTCGCAACTAGTAACTAGGTCCTCAGAGTCCTCTGCACTCGCAATTTGGGTCCTTCGACGCCAAAGCCCAGTCGTCATCAGATTTAGATTCAGAGCTTCACGAGGTACCTCACAAAAACACATTTTCAATCATAACACGGCCAGTGCATTCGATGGCTGTCTCAATAGAATAATCAATTCAAGTGCCCCTGATACGGCCCACATGCCGCCGGGAACATCAGGAACAACAAGATATTCAAGGTGCCTTCACCGGACAGAGACCTCCACAAGAAACAGCTTAGCAATGCCGTGCAACTTGATTGCAAGTCCAGAACTTGGAGATGTGTTCATCTGTTAAATCTATATCTATTAACTATGTATATCATATCTATATCTATGTCATTCTATTTCGATGATGTGCGCGATATGTTTCCATATGTTTCCCATAATTTCACTCCATGTTCCAAACCTGAGGGCCAGGGTTCCTCAGTGGATATGTAGACACCTGATATCACCTGATCACTAAGTATCATTAACTCCTGAAGACTTTGGAAATCTTTGGAACCCATGGTCGGCGTCAATATGTGCAGCTAATTTGAACTCGTCAAGGTGGCCAGCATGGCTCCACCGTGGCTTCACCGTAGCTTCACCGTCTACAGACGTTTGGCAAAGCCCGGCAGGGCCCGGTAGGTTCCACCGTGGCTTCACCTTGATCTGGCCCTGCGAATGGCTTGGAACCCTTGGAACCGTTGAATCGCAGGTGCCGCTAAGCAAATCAAAGAGTTCGGCACAGATTCGGAACGGCATGGCACAGCGGTGCTCAATACAGGGTCACTCTCAGGTCCAGTGGCGCTCCATGAAACAGTGACATAGTGAATCATAGTGAACAGAATAGCGAAACAGCAATTACAATGTCAAATAGTGTAGAAGTGCATCATGCACGTCAAAAACAATAGTAGTCAGTGAAGTTTCAGGGCTCTAATTTAGTATAATTTGATTAAATCTAAGTCTTAGTCGTAAATATAGATGAGACACTTTAAGATCTCTATGGATCTTTCTTCTAAGATCTAGTGTTTCCCCAAACTTTTGTTTGCTGTTTTGTCATGTCAAGATATGTCAAGAACATAACAGTCAGACACGACGGGTGGAGACCATTGGAGACCCTCACGACCAAAATGGCAAGGGCCTGTCCTGGGGATCCTGGAGCAGCCCGAACCTGGCGCGGAAGTCGAGGCCTCGCGGCGGAGCCGCTTCAGTTTTGTATTGTCATCGATGTATTAAAAAATGATGTTTTGTGGCTGCTCTGCTGGAGAACACATATCATATGATACACTATGATATCAAATGAAATTTGGATGGTGATGTCAGATGTTAGTTACTTTTGGTCCTTTCCCAAAGGCAACAAGGAGTCATGGCCCTCGAACTTCTCAAGCATGCTGATGGCGCCCAACTTTAAATTTGCTGGGCGCTGCAGCGAAATGTAATCGCAAACACTTCAGGTGTCGCTCACGCAACTTCACACGTCGACGTGTTTCAGAAAATTCCATCTTCCTAGTCTTCCTAGTCTTCCTATCCACTATCTTTACATATCTTTATAGCTCCTTACGCACGAGGCAACCGATCGAGCCGATCAGCAGCCACAGCTGCCACTCATGACATCCAGAGTTGTATCCTTGGTGCAGAAGCTTCGGGTGACGAGTAGAGGTAAAGTATGGCTTCAACGGGTTCACTACGGGTCAAGTAGGGGTCTTGAAAACAGAACCTGAGGTTTTCCTCTCCGGGTTTTGGTGCCGTAGGTGTAGATGTAAATGTAAACACACACACACATACATGCATATTATATTATATATATTGTATACATCATATTACATATGCGTGCATGTGTGTTTTCATTTATTTCTATGCGTTGTGTTCTGCTGTTATTTATTGGAAAGATTCAATGCTTTACAGCTGGCAGCTTCAACTGGCCTTCAACATTAAGAAGCCGGCCTGACTCCGAAACAAAGCTGAGATGTCACCATCCGCAAGAAAGCGACCTCGTTGTCGCATGAATTGAAGCGACATATATTTTAAACTGCTCCAGCTCCTTCCGACTGGAAGGTCATCGGATGGAGGTTATAACCGTTATCACCTCGGTTAGAAATGGGATAGTTTATCCAGTTTATCCATCTTATCCCACTCATTAAATGATTGAAGAGTTTGTTCGTTTGTTGCTGTCCTCTACCTCAGCATCCTGCGAAGTGCATGTTCATCGGGCAAAGCTGCCTGGTTGACAGCAGAGTGGGACCAGTCGCATGACATCCAATCACAATCTTCAATCCATACCCATCCATACCCCATACACATCCATTTACATCTATTTCCCATATTTTGCCATCTTGGGAGGATGAAAATCCCTACCAGCCACCAAAGGGTTTCTCTGATTTGGTTTACCCATGTTAGCCACAGTAGCAACTGGATGCCAGCGGGTGATTCTTTGCCCCTTCAACCCAATTATGCTCACGTAGACTCTAGCCAAGTCACTTCATGGTTTTTTCCTGCAGTTGCTCCTGAGGGAAAGCGGAGCAACTGCTTCAATCCTAGGGTCCTATGGATGTCAGATGTGTTTCATTCATTTATCTTCACCTCAATGACACGGTGAAACGGCTGATGTTTCTCATGAGGCGCCTTGAACTGCCCCATTAGACTGCTGCATCCTGGCGATGCGGTATCTTGCCATGGCACGGGAAGCTCAAAAAAGCTCAAAACACGTTCCAAAAACATCAAGAACTATGAGGATCTACATGGATCTACTGTATATGATGATCTGAAATCTGGAAGCGGGCGACCCTGGCAACCCTGGCGACCCTGGCGACCCTTGGATTAGACTTCCATTGATTTCCATTGGACCGTTGGGGACCGTTGCAGTTCGCCAGAAACGCGACGCTCCTGGCAGTCTCACGGGAGACCTGGGTGGCCTGAGCGATTCTGACGCGTTGTATCCCGTGGCAGCAAAGGGAAACGAAACGGAAACAGAAACGGGAACGTATGGGAAAGTTGTAGCAGAACTTTCGGAACATATGGCAAAGCGTATGAAAGCGTCAAAGATCTCTTGTCAAACCATGTAAAGTTGTAAAGTTTCATTCATTCCTATGTTTTTTCTCCGAAAATCATCATGTTTCATCTGAACATTCCAAATCTTCATCAGTTTCTGCCGTTTCTGCGCTTTGCGCCTCCGAGCCGGGCGTCATGCTGATGCTGCTGTGCGTCACGAGTTGTCCTGCCAAACGATCATTTGGGGTCACTAGTAATCACATGTAATCACTATCATTCAATCATAAAGCATGGCTTGAAGAGTTCCACTGATCATGATCATCCTGAAATCACGCGTTATACTGTATCATGTTATATCGGGTTATGCTCGTGATAGGATTCGCTATGCGCATTGAGTTGGCTGGATGCTGAACCCGCTCCAGCTGCTGTGCGGCAGCGGCCGCGGAAAGCGGCCCTGGTCACGGCAGACGCAGCGCGATATAAAATTATAAAACATGATAAGACAGGATAGCAAGGAGAATACGGGAGAAACATAAGAATCATAAGTCATAAGGATGAAATCCTCAGGATGAAATCATTCTTCCATCATCTCCGTCATCGGAATAGCTGTTTTGCATTGTTTTGGGCGAGCGGCACACCTTGGAGAAAACATCCCCAGCCCACCTTGCCGTGCTCAGCATCTTTCCAAAGACGGCACTGCAGCTGGCAGCACAATCCCAGCTACGCCAAAATGGCCACAGAAGACACACTTGTTGCACAATGTTGCACTTGACATGTCATGTTTTCTGCATTTTATAATAATAATATGTATATATATATATTCTATGACTCTGACATGACCTGCCGATGTCAAATTTGCTATGTGCTTGGCATTCAGGCCTTGTTCATAAAGTTCACCCCCAACTTCCATGATTTTTCGATATTTTTCGTTGGATTTCCCATCATGGTTCCAACAAAATCAATGAATTCCTACAATTCGGCAGCAACTTGGAACTTCTTGGAACTTCTTGGACACTGGCGTTGGACGCTTTTTGGCCGCGGGCGACACCTTCTCCAAGCCATAAAGCCATCTCAGCCAGTTGAGCGTCCACGTGTGCCACGGAGGCCAGGATCTGACACAAACGTGGAGGAAACGGGGAGAAAAGACATGATGACATCATGATGACATGACTTGAGAAATGAAGAAATGCTTTGTCCATATTTGTCCATATGTGTCATTGCAAATCAATCAAATCATCTCAAATCATCGCCATCAGGTCAAATTTCATGTCATGCTTATCTTTCATCACAATCATCACATACAGAGTAGGCTGCATAGTAAATTTTGGAAATATAGTAGACAGTACAAAAATAATAAGATCTGATCAGATCTGATCAAAATTGATCTTAAATATAGTATGCGTATGCGTGTGCCTTAGAGGTGACATGAGGTGACATACGGCCACATGCCACAGCCAGGTGCCTTTGCCATCTCCGCAAGCAAATCTGCATCACCTGGCGCCATGATGCGCCGTGAAACGGGAGCGTCCCCGCCATCCCTGCCGTCGTAAGCCGTCGCCTTCATTGACTTCTGTGGCTTCGCAGACCTGGACGGAGTCGAACAAGTGGCGTCACAATTCTCAAATTTCTCAATTTCTACGCTTGAAACACTTCTGCATGGAGAGTGACATACAAATACCAACATGTATCAACTAATATATCAACATATATCAACATCATAAATTGTTATTATCAATCATTGTCGTTCATTGGTCAGCTTATATCGGCTTGCTGAGCTTTGCCGAGGTTGCCTGCACTAAGCAGCTCAACAGACTGCGCAAAGAGCAAATGGCCAAGTCACAGCCTCGGTGCACAAAAAAAACTGTCACACCATTGTCGGATGACTGTCGGATGATCGCCAACAGGCAATATTTGGTTGTGAGTCAAAACCCTGGCACCCGGATGGTACCTAAAATAGCTGGTAAATGGATGTTCATCCCACTAAAAATGGTATTAATAGGTATTGATCCATACCCATTTGGCAATGATAACTTTGAAGTTCGGGAAAACATCCCGCCCAGCCAAGTATCGGTGGCAGCGACGACGGTCCGTGCCCAGGCTGATGAGTAACTTGAGCCGTGCCAGCTCCTTCGGAGAAACTTCAGATCTACAATTCAGAAATCACGTCGCAGCTAAAGACATGCAATGAGTGGCAACACGAGATAACACGAGGAATGAATATGAATGGTCACTTTGAATTGAAAAGGGATAGTAACGGATAGTACTTAAATGGGATGTGCTCTTTGTTGATTCTGCCTCGGTGCCCTTTGTGAGTAGGTCTTGTCTACGGACTGTATCCTCAGGCCACCAATGGATGTTGCAAGAAGGCTGTCATTTAAAAAAATCGTAGCGGCAGAATGTTGCAAATGTATTTAATGTATGCATATGTGATCAAACTTCTGGGAAACTTCCACGATGTGATCTCACCTTGAACAAAATCAGCACCACATCACCCAGAAAAATCCAGCAGCGCCCCATATCCCAAGCCCTGAAGGGCCCTTAGTCTAGCGGCAGACTTGAGCTGTGAGATGCCTTCCTTGGTTTCGCTTCGAGGTTTTGGCTAGACCGCTGGGTTTAAGATTGATAGCACGTGTGATATTATACGCATACATATATGTATTATATTATATTATATATATACGTGTGTGTGTATGTATTTATGTCAATGTAAATATAAGATACTCATATATCACGTCATCCCCAAAACCCACCCCAAAAAGCAGCAAGAAATAAACACGTGCCAAGTGTGTGAACTTGAAGATCGAGATGATCTGTGCAACCAATGCACATTGTCATAGTGACTTAGTGACTTCATAGCGCAGGTCATTGCACAATTGCTCTCGCTAAAAACTGCCCAGTGTCCAACAATCCCTCCTCTTCGAAACACAGAAGCTCACGCCTGCACAACTGCATGTTGAAAAAGAACGAAAAAGATATCAAAAGAAAAACGAGAATGCAGCGCAAGGCCACCCATGCAGTGTGAACTTCTTGAGCAGAGTGAAAAATAAACAAGAGGAATACAAGAGGCACATGTGTTTCAGCACTGAAAAATCATGCAAAAAATGACGAAGCGAGTGCTGGCAGCACATGGTACTGCCTTGGCCTTCTTGGAGCCGTATCCTTGAACATAGTAACAGCCCGTAGTAGCCCGTAGTCAGTTACAGTCAGAAACTGTAGAAGAATTCATGCCATAGCCGAAGCAATTATTGCAACAATTTGCAACATCATATCAGCTGCCAAGATTCCACAGAATCATCTGGGGCCACTAGTTCTTTCGCTTTGGCCCCTGCATTTGCAAACTGCAGTGACAACTACAAGCAATCCAAGATGTTCCAAGCTCTTCACAATCGGCAACCTAGAAATCAACAGCTGGAATTCCGCACCTGTGCTCCCTAAGCCCAGACAGCCAGTGGCTCCACCTTGCAACAACTCTCCATTGGCATAGGAAGGGGGGCCTTCACTCAAGTTTGTTCAAAAGTTGAAAGATTTCAGGTGACTCGAGTCGAATGCATCTGAAAACTGGACGTGGCCTGCAAGGTCCTGACCAGCAAAGCTCGGCAGCCTACTCTCCGCCTCCCGTGGGCACATTTTAGTGGCGGGTCACACACGGAGGGTGTTGCAATGGGCACAGTCCATGGTGATGTCCTTGGATGTCCGTGGTCCTAGTGAACAGTCGGAACTTCACAGATTTTCACAGATCTTCAGAGCCTCTGGAGCCTCTGGGCTTCGTTGGCCCCTTTGGCCTCACAGGAGCTGGCAGTTGGGAGGGAGCTACATGGAGCTACTAGTAAATGTGCATCGACAGAAACTTCACTGGCAGCCAGTGGCTCCACCTTGCAACAACTCTCCATTGGCATAGGAAGGGGGGCCTTCACTCAAGTTTGTTCAAAAGTTGAAAGATTTCAGGTGACTCGAGTCGAATGCATCTAAAAACTGGACGTGGCCTGCAAGGTCCTGACCAGCAAAGCTCGGCAGCCTACTCTCCGCCTCCCGTGTGCACATTTTAGTGGCGGGTCACACACGGAGGGTGTTGCAATGGGCACAGTCCATGGTGATGTCCTTGGATGTCCGTGGTCCTAGTGAACAGTCGGAACTTCACAGATTTTCACAGATCTTCAGAGCCTCTGGAGCCTCTGGGCTTTGTTGGCCCCTTTGGCCTCACAGGAGCTGGCAGTTGGGAGGGAGCTACATGGAGCTACTAGTAAATGTGCATCGACAGAAACTTCACTGGCAGCCAGTGGCTCCACCTTGCAACAACTCTCCATTGGCATAGGAAGGGGGGCCTTCACTCAAGTTTGGTCAAAAATTGAAAGATTTCAGGTGACTCGAGTCGAATGCATCTAAAAACTGGACGTGGCCTGCAAGGTCCTGACCAGCAAAGCTCGGCAGCCTACTCTCCGCCTCCCGTGGGCACATTTTAGTGGCGGGTCACACACGGAGGGTGTTGCAATGGGCACAGTCCATGGTGATGTCCTTGGATGTCCGTGGTCCTAGTGAACAGTCGGAACTTCACAGATTTTCACAGATCTTCAGAGCCTCTGGAGCCTCTGGGCTTCGTTGGCCCCTTTGGCCTCACAGGAGCTGGCAGTTGGGAGGGAGCTACATGGAGCTACTAGTAAATGTGCATCGACAGAAACTTCACTGGCAGCCAGTGGCTCCACCTTGCAACAACTCTCCATTGGCATAGGAAGGGGGGCCTTCACTCAAGTTTGGTCAAAAGTTGAAAGATTTCAGGTGACTCGAGTCGAATGCATCTGAAAACTGGACGTGGCCTGCAAGGTCCTGACCAGCAAAGCTCGGCAGCCTACTCTCCGCCTCCCGTGTGCACATTTTAGTGGCGGGTCACACACGGAGGGTGTTGCAATGGGCACAGTCCATGGTGATGTCCTTGGATGTCCGTGGTCCTAGTGAACAGTCGGAACTTCACAGATTTTCACAGATCTTCAGAGCCTCTGGAGCCTCTGGGCTTCGTTGGCCCCTTTGGCCTCACAGGAGCTGGCAGTTGGGAGGGAGCTACATGGAGCTACTAGTAAATGTGCATCGACAGAAACTTCACTGGCAGCCAGTGGCTCCACCTTGCAACAACTCTCCATTGGCATAGGAAGGGGGGCCTTCACTCAAGTTTGGTCAAAAGTTGAAAGATTTCAGGTGACTCGAGTCGAATGCATCTGAAAACTGGACGTGGCCTGCAAGGTCCTGACCAGCAAAGCTCGGCAGCCTACTCTCCGCCTCCCGTGTGCACATTTTAGTGGCGGGTCACACACGGAGGGTGTTGCAATGAGCACAGTCCATGGTGATGTCCTTGGATGTCCGTGGTCCTAGTGAACAGTCGGAACTTCACAGATTTTCACAGATCTTCAGAGCCTCTGGAGCCTCTGGGCTTCGTTGGCCCCTTTGGCCTCACAGGAGCTGGCAGTTGGGAGGGAGCTACATGGAGCTACTAGTAAATGTGCATCGACAGAAACTTCACTGGCAGCCAGTGGCTCCACCTTGCAACAACTCTCCATTGGCATAGGAAGGGGGGCCTTCACTCAAGTTTGGTCAAAAATTGAAAGATTTCAGGTGACTCGAGTCGAATGCATCTGAAAACTGGACGTGGCCTGCAAGGTCCTGACCAGCAAAGCTCGGCAGCCTACTCTCCGCCTCCCGTGTGCACATTTTAGTGGCGGGTCACACACGGAGGGTGTTGCAATGGGCACAGTCCATGGTGATGTCCTTGGATGTCCGTGGTCCTAGTGAACAGTCGGAACTTCACAGATTTTCACAGATCTTCAGAGCCTCTGGAGCCTCTGGGCTTCGTTGGCCCCTTTGGCCTCACAGGAGCTGGCAGTTGGGAAGGAGCTACATGGAGCTACTAGTAAATGTGCATCGACAGAAACTTCACTGGCAGCCAGTGGCTCCACCTTGCAACAACTCTCCATTGGCATAGGAAGGGGGGCCTTCACTCAAGTTTGGTCAAAAGAAAGATTTCAGGTGACTCGAGTCGAATGCATCTGAAAACTGGACGTGGCCTGCAAGGTCCTGACCAGCAAAGCTCGGAGCCTCCCGGTGTTGCAATGGGCACAGTCCATGGTGATGTCCTTGGATGTCCGTGGTCCTAGTGAACAGTCGGAACTTCACAGATTTTCACAGATCTTCAGAGCCTCTGGAGCCTCTGGGCTTCGTTGGCCCCTTTGGCCTCACAGGAGCTGGCAGTTGGGAGGGAGCTACATGGAGCTACTAGTAAATGTGCATCGACAGAAACTTCACTGGCAGCCAGTGGCTCCACCTTGCAACAACTCTCCATTGGCATAGGAAGGGGGACCTTCACTCAAGTTTGGTCAAAAGTTGAAAGATCTCAGGTGACTCGAGTCGAATGCATCTGAAAACTGGACGTGGCCTGCAAGGTCCTGACCAGCAAAGCTCGGCAGCCTACTCTCCGCCTCCCGTGTGCACATTTTAGTGGCGGGTCACACACGGAGGGTGTTGCAATGGGCACAGTCCATGGTGATGTCCTTGGATGTCCGTGGTCCTAGTGAACAGTCGGAACTTCACAGATTTTCACAGATCTTCAGAGCCTCTGGAGCCTCTGGGCTTCGTTGGCCCCTTTGGCCTCACAGGAGCTGGCAGTTGGGAGGGAGCTACATGGAGCTACTAGTAAATGTGCATCGACAGAAACTTCATTGGCAGCCAGTGGCTCCACCTTGCAACAACTCTCCATTGGCATAGGAAGGGGGGCCTTCACTCAAGTTTGGTCAAAAGTTGAAAGATTTCAGGTGACTCGAGTCGAATGCATCTGAAAACTGGACGTGGCCTGCAAGGTCCTGACCAGCAAAGCTCGGCAGCCTACTCTCCGCCTCCCGTGTGCACATTTTAGTGGCGGGTCACACACGGAGGGTGTTGCAATGGGCACAGTCCATGGTGATGTCCTTGGATGTCCGTGGTCCTAGTGAACAGTCGGAGCTTCACAGATTTTCACAGATCTTCAGAGCCTCTGGAGCCTCTGGGCTTCGTTGGCCCCTTTGGCCTCACAGGAGCTGGCAGTCGGGAGGGAGCTAGGGAGATGTGCTCTGCATCGACAAAAACTTCCACAGCGCGTGCGGGGTGAGAATCAAAAGATTTACGTGTCCAGAAATTTGTGAAAATAGATGAAAATAGTTTTCCCCAGTGGTGTAATTTCTAGTGCGACCCCATTTGTGTTGTTTCCTTTCTTTTAAACCCCCTTTAACTTCGAGGCCTTTCACATCTTTCGTCTGCAATCGTAGAAAATCGATGAATATAGAATTAAAGAAAACTGAAATTCTTGCCTCTTCCATTTTCTTCACTGTCCCTATCAAAAATACATCGAAACCCGCCATTGAGCCCCTTCTTTTTAAGTCTTAGCGCCTGGGCTGTTGGATGAAGTTGGGAGCCGCGACCTCGGCGGTCTATGGATGATGAAAATGAGTCAAAGAATGCCAAAGATATTCAAAGATTGCTGGGAAATGGATCAAACGTGGATCAAACGTGGATCAAACGTGGATCAATGATGTTCATTGCAAAATCAGATGAATCATATGAACATATAAGACACCCATGGATGCAGTGAAAAGAATATATCCACGAATCGTCTGCATTGATTTTTGGTGTGAGCAGCACGCCGTCATACCCGGTTGTAAGGCTGTTGCACAACGTTTGCTTCACCAGCGGCTTGTGCTGTTGGCAGGCGCTGGATCTGCTTTTCATCGGTCGTGCGATTCGATTGCCTACAGCACAGGGCAAAGACTGGGATTCAAATCTGTCTCACAACATTTACATACTTATATCATGTTATATCTTTATCATAGTTAGCAAGCAGGATCTGGTCAGATTTCCTACTCAATAGCCTTCGGTTGGAGCAGCGTATCAATTCTTCGCAGGACAGACATGGGGAACTTACTTGGTATATCTTGGTACCATGTGAGCCGTTGCCAAAACCTTCATAACTTTGAATCTGTTCGCTCTTCGCTTTCGACATCCCTTTTGCGAAACTTTTACAGTGTGATGTTTTTTCCCGGATGCGTAGCGAAGGGATGCGAAGGGTTCTTGTTTTCTTTTGCAGCATCCACGTGTCTGAAATTTACTTTTGCGAGCTTTCGCGGAAAACTCCCGAAACCCTTGGTTCCGCGTTGAAACACAAAATGTCTGTTCCCAAGCATTCTTCCAATGTAATTTCTATTGTGGCACTTAATGTCTCATAACTGCGGTGACATGTGGATTGACATTTTCATCACCTGGGAGACGAAGATGATGAAGATAACTAGGGAGAAGGATTTATGTAATTGCCATTTCGTGGGTTCCAGGCCAAGCTTTGCGCAAAACTCTTGTAAAAAAAATACAGTACATTAAAATAAACATCTGCGTGCCAACCCTTCTCCGACCAATTTCATGTGGCAGGGGGGGCATCCAAGCTATAGTGGGTGGTTTTAGCGGATTTTTCGCGGAGCTTGGGTGGATTTTCGGCTCGGACGTTTGTCGATAATCTGACCCTATGGATCCAAATAGAAATCATACCCCGATTCCTTCGCAAGAAGGTTTTATTCGATCTATGATTTTCATTGATTTTGAGCCTTGATTTTTTTGCGCCAGGGGTTCTCAGAGGATTTGTCCATTAGTTATGTCCTTGATTTGTCGAGCCCATCATGTTGGAAAATGTTGGAAATTTATGGAAATTTGCTATGAATCATGTTTCCTGAAAAGCGTTTTTGCATTTTTTTGCGAGCTAATAGCAGCAAATTTTTGCAAAAACGTTTGCGAATCTTTTCGGGACTGGTTTTGGTTCTCGCCTCAGCCATGCTACTCCAACCCCCTTCAAATTAGTTTATTTCTTCAGGGATCTTAGGGGATCTTGGGAGGGTTAGGCGGCCACCTGATCACGTTATATCATGTACATATGTAATACATCTGTTATATCGTTGCTCGGCAAGTCGCTGTCGCCGCAGCTCGCGGTGACGCTGAAAGTCAGAAGCCGCCTTGTTTGCAGTTGGCCATCCAAATGACCACGGTGCCCAAACCTCTATCCTCCATCTTTTCCGGTAGACTCAGTAGACTCAGTAGACTTTACCATGACTTTACCACCTTCAGTGAATTTCCACAGGCCCTTGGCATGCCCTTGGCCAAGAAACACTCTCTGGTGAACGAGGCGTCCTGAAAATGCGAAGTTCGAAAGGACCATGAAGACAGAGCATGAGATGGCGGTAAGATCAATCGCTACAAAGCCGCTAAAAAATCAGGAATCCTTACAGAAAATCCCCTCAGTCGCTTAAAATCCTTTCAATATAGATAAGATAATCTAAAATACCAATGGTGCCGCACAAGGCGGTGGCGGAAGTTTCAAAAATAAGAAACCTATAGGAGAGGTTGGTTGCTGTGAATCACGGATGGCAGAACGAATCCACTGATGGACCGAAAGGCGGCTGGAGTTGCGTTTTTTGGAATGGTTGCAATGGTTGCGGTGGTCACCTCACCCACAACTGCTGGATGCAGTGTGGTGTAGCGCAGTTGTAGTTGCAGTCGTAGTGTAGTGGAGTTTTAGTTGTAGTGTAGTGCCATTGTTGTAGCGTAGTGTTGTGTAATGTAGTGTCGTAGTGTAGTGTTGTGTAATGTAGCGGAGTAGTAGTAGCAGTAGTAGTAGTAGCAGCAGTAGCAGTAGTAGTAGCAGCAGTAGTAGAAGTAGTAGCAGTAGCAGTAGCAGTAGCACTAGGAGGAGGAGTAGCAGGAGTAGCAGGAGTAGCAGGAGTAGGAGTAGTAGTAGTAGTAGTAGGAGTAGCAGTAGCAGTAGTAGTAGCAGTAGTAGCAGTAGTAGCAGTAGTAGCAGTAGTAGCAATAGTTGTAGTAATAGTAGTAGTAGTAGTAGCTGTAGTAGTAGTAGTAGTAGTAGCAGTAGCACTAGGAGGAGGAGGAGTAGCAGGAGTAGCAGGAGTAGCAGGAGTAGCAGGAGTAGGAGTAGTAGCAGGAGTAGTGGTGGTAGTAGTAGTAGTAGCAGTAGTAGTAGTAGTCCTAGCAGCAGTAGTAGCAGAAGTAGCAGTAGCAGTAGCACAAGCACCAGGAGGTAGCAGGAGTAGTAGTAGGAGTAGTACTAGTACTAGTACTAGTAGTACTAGTAGTACTAGTAGTACTAGTAGTACTAGTAGCACTAGTAGTACTAGTAGTACTAGTAGTACTAGTAGTACTAGTAGTACTAGTAGTACTAGTAGTACTAGTAGTACTAGTAGTACTAGTTGCACTAGTAGTACTAGTAGTACTAGTAGTACTAGTAGTACTAGTAGTACTAGTAATACTAGTAGTACTAGTAGTACTAGTAGTACCAGTAGTACCAGTAGTACTAGTAGTACTAGTAGTACTAGTAGTACTAGTAGTAGTAGTAGTAGTAGTAGAAGTAGAAGTAGTAGAAGTAGTAGAAGTAGTAGTAGTAGTAGCAGGAGTAGTAGTAGTAGTAGTTGTTGTTGTTGTTGTCGTTGTTGCTGTTGCTGTTGCTGTGGCTGTAGTGTACTGCAATTAGCGTAGTGTAGTGTAACGGAGTTGTAGTTGCAGTTGTAATTGCAGCTGTAGTTGTAGTGTAGTGGTAGTGGTAGTGGTAAGTGGTAGTTGCAGTTGTTTACCTATCTATCTGTCTATCTGCAAGCTTGAAAACGAAGCTATTCTGCGAGACTTTCTCAATTTTTGAACTTGACAACATCAAAAACGCAGCAATTCTGCGAGACTTCCTCAATTTTTGAAGTTGACGACGTCAAAATCGAAACAAATCTGCGAGACTTCCTCAATTTTCGAAGTTGACAACATCAAAAACAAAGCAATTCCGCGAGACTTCCTTCAAAAATGGAACGTTGAGTGCAGAGCTGACGGCCTCGTGCCAATCCGTTTTGCGATTTTTCGACTCCACTTGTCTAAAGTCTAAAGTACTGCGCCTGCCACGAAAAAGTGATGCCAGGTCATACGAAGTACTGCACCTGTCACGCAAAATCATCTTCCCAAAACTGAAGATCTGATGCTCCAAAATGCAACCCCTCTCAGGAAATCAGCGCCCGGACCTCCTAACATCTTTGATGAACATGTCTCTTGTGCCGCGCCTGCCACGGAAAATGCATCTTTGCAGATCCTCTTCACATGTCCCACGCCTGCCAACGCCTTGAAACTTGGAACTGCTTCAAAACCCTTAGGTTTTGCATACTTTTGACAGGGTGCACAATCCCCTGCGCCCGCCACGCGAAACGACATCTGAACGTCCAAAAGTGCTCCGTACCCATCAGTTGTCACTTTTTTTCCACTTTTGACTTGGAAATGTGCTTCACACCACAACCGCGTGCACTTTTTCGACATCTCAACTTCCAAAAGTGGTCCGACCGAAAATGATGTGCTTTGTACATTTTGAATTGGAAATGTGCTTCGCGCCGCAACGCCGTGCACTTTTTCGACATGTCAACTTCCAAAAGCGGTCCGAGACTGAAGTGCCTTGTACATTTTGACTTGGAAATGTATCTCGCGCCACAATGGCGTGCACTTTTTCGACGTCTCAACTTCCAAAAGTGCTCCGAACCTGGTATGTCTTGTACATTTTGACTTTGAAATGTGCTTCGCGCCACAACAGCGTGCAACTTTTAATCTCTCATCTGGCCAGATGGCTCCGCGCCCGCCGCTCTAGCGAGCCTACTTTTCGACTCTCCGGAACCACAAATCATTGGAAAAACACAGTGAATCGCGACTTTTCATGACTTTTCTACCTTTTCGCGCACCTGCATCTTCTTTCCTCTGACTCTTTCCACCTCTGCTTTTCCATCTGTACATATTGTCAGAAGTTTGACTTCTAAACTTCCTTCGAAAAGATAAATATAGATAATGAATATCAATAAATGATATATAATTCGAATAATAACATATAGGAGCTCAAATCGCCCTGCCTCCGCTTGCGGTGGCGCTGAAAATCGGAGAGGTCATTCACGGCCTTGAGGAGCACGGCATTATTAATACATGTTACATATATATATATACATATATACCTATTATGTGCTATATTGCTATATATTGCTATATTATATAATGATATGTATATGATGTATGTGGCATATTTATATATTTATGTATATATCTATTCATTTATGTATGCAATTGTGTATTTTATCTATTTTCTTTTCTTGTTTAGTAGCTTATGTATTTCAATATTTCTATATTTCTATATCTCTATATTCATATTTATCTCTCTCTCTCTCTATCACCATCAAGTCATCTAGATAACTATTTTCGATTTATGCATATGCGTATATGTTGGAGGATGTCTTCAGTTGTAGTGTGCGTTTGCGATTCCCTTGTCCCTAAATGTCTCCAACCCAGGCCCTTCCATGCTGCACACTTTTGCACTGATTGCCGCTGAAAGGCATTGAGATCTCCAGGCAGCGCACTGCCCACCATCCTGCAGCAAGGGCATTGTGACATCCCAACTCAGAACCACGGCTATGAATCATGAAAGGCAAAATGACGTTGCATGGCGTTGCAACGAAATGTGGTCGGGTTTCCCAGGGTTTCCCATCATGATGCACCAGGGGATTATTTTATGTTGTGCGCTTGTGCATCTTGTCTGGCTTCATGCTTTGTCAAACCCTCTGCTGCCTAAGCATAGCATTGTCAGCATGTTGAAATATGTTGACATATGTTGACATATGTTGACATATGCTGACATGAACACAACTCAGTCGTTGATAGGGAGCTTAGATGAGCTTAGCAGCTTGGAACATGATGCTACTATGGAGTGCCGGGAGAAGGTCGCACATCGTCGCACCACGTGATTGGCATCGCGCCTTATCTCTCTGTCATCAGCCTGGCTCTGTCGGCATCTTATGAGCAGCGCATCGTTTGGGATCTCAAGTTATCATCCAGTATATATATATATATAGACTATTTTGAATGTGGAAACATGTGGAAACTAACGGCTTGGCTTTACCATGCTCTAAGGTACCCCAATCGCAAGAAACCATAGGACTGCCATAGGACTGCCATAGGACTACCAAAGGAAGCCACTTCGGCTGGGCACTGTCCGGCCTGAGGACGCGATTGCAGGTGTTGCAAGCGCCAGCGTTGCTGCTCCTGCCGAATCCACGTCGTGTTGGACACGTTGATGGGTGTTCAGATATGTTCAGCTGTTGCCCAAGTTGCCAATCATTGATAATCAACATTAATCAACTTCTCAGTTCTACATCAATAAAATCAAAAAGTTTTTGGAAGCACTGGCAGGCTGATCCTGACTTCTTCCACTTTGCATCTGCAAATTCTGCCATGTGCTTCTCGTGTCTCAGAGTTTCTCGTGTCGAGCCCCTCCTCTGCTTCTTTCTGCCTCACATCTCGCATGCCTCAGGTGAACAGTAACCCTCTCGGGAGGCATCCTATAGCTGCAGTTAGGTTGTAATTGGGTATAATGAGGTAAAACCATATAGCTATTGGTTAAGACTTAGAATTTAATTATATTTAATTATAACTTATAGCATCTTATAGCCCATAAGTTTTGGGATGTAACCTCATGTAATATTAATATGCCATGATATCCATAAGAATGAAAAATGCTTAAGGTTCGTAGGCGAGGCGGACCATTCCCGGACCTCATGTTTGATCGTGCAACTGGTTTTCCAACGCTGCACCACCTTGTTTGGCACCTAATCCTGGGCTAAAATGGCAAGTATTTCCGAAAACGGATCTACAATGATCTACAAGTGCGCTGTATTTTTAGTCGTTGCTGATAGTTTTCATGATATTTCCTATTATCTATATATTATTTACCTATGATTTACCTATGAAGATCTATCAGAAGATCGATCGAATCAGTGAATCCCTGCCTTCGCCAGTCCTCTTCTGGGCCAAGGCGGCGCGGAGTTGCTTCTCAAAGTGATCCAGCTGCTCCTGACAACATGGCATCGCGATTCAACTGGCGAACTCCTGGTGAAGTTTAAATATCATTGATACATATAGATATTATATATATATATATGATATATGTGATATCATAAATATTCATGAACCATGAGGATATTATTGGTATATGTATATATATATTGATATCATGCAAATATGATGAGTTTTGAAACAACTTCAACTGGCGAAGCCGGCAAGGCTGAAGCATATTGAAACCTCCTGGTATCTCAGTGCAGTGCTTGGTGGTCCTGGATGGCGGTCGCATCAAAGTTCTTGCCGATGCTGACATCCCGCAACAACTCCCCCTCCAACAGCGAAACCTGAGCAGCTTGGGGCTGTCCTTGAGACCACCCAAGGAATGGCATTTGTGCGCCATGGTAGGATTTCTTCATTCTAAACAATGTCAAACTGTTTCTTAATCACATTGATATGAAAATTGATTTAAGTGACGGGCCACTCGGATATTATTTCTGGATGAGCAAACTGCAAAAGAGGAAGGAAGGCACATGCCTCTCGACCCATTTATACACCGGCCTGCTGCTGAATCAAGGCTTCCGCCAACCTCGTGAGTGGTGAGATTGTTGACCCCAGCAACTCTCCAAGGCAGTGAGACATGTGAGACCCGTGAGAGCGTGCGCAAGTTCTCTTCATGCTCGCACGGTGTCTTGTTTTTTTCGTCTTCCAACACCACCCAATGCCGCCCACTGAAAGGTTTTCGTTGAACCGTTGATGGATCACTGAAGCCAAGCAACGCATTGTTGCTGGACACAACAGCTGACGCATAAGGAACCGCTCCCCGCTTGTCAAATTCTCCTCTGGCCAGCAGAATTGCTTGCTTCTGTATCCCACAATCCTTGCCCATATTCCTTACATTTCAGAACTGAAAAATGCAGCTGTTCAATGCTGTACAATCGTTTTAGCCCATGATGAACCGTAATGACGCTGTAATGCGTCTGGCCTCGTGGACACAGCACTGCAACATGGTTCTCCCACCCAGCTTCCCATGTCTCTCCCCCAGCCTTCATATAATGCATCAGAGTCAAGGGGCAAGGGAGCCCGACCACCCAAACCGGCACGCCGCTCTGGAGAAGCCTGTTCCATCTGTTCCAACAAATCCAGCTGATATCCCAAGGAGCAACTTTACGCAAAAATGGAACAAGATGAACATGATGAACTTGACAACAGACCAGCAAAGTGAACTGTCCAAAAGCCCGACAGATAAGATCCTAAGAAGAGAACCAAGATCTATAAACATTGGACAGGCTCAGTGCATGTTGCCCCTTTCAACAAACCTCCATACATCTTTTCATGTTGTCATGTTGTCATGCAAGCTGCTGAAGTGGCGCTGCGAGGAAGGTGCACCACAGGTTTGGAACGGCGTCTCTGCGGCTCCTGGCCAGCTGAATCCAGCTGTATCCAGCTGAAAGCAAAACCCTCGCCCCGTCGCCCAGCATGAGCCAAGGGCTGCACCCCTGGGAACACATCACTAAAGGCACGAAGCATCAAGAAGCATCAAAAAGCATCATAAAAGCTTGGTTGGGGTACTGTAATGATAATTGATCTAATTAAATCAAATCAGATTGAATCATATTGAATCATATCAAAATTATCAAATCATATTGAACCTTGTTTGAATCAGAGATCCTCCAAACGTCACAGTCCGCTTCGTTTCCGTATCATGCCTCGAGGTGGATCTCTCCGCGTCCGCCGGGTTTCCGCTCCACCAGCGCGGTATCCTCTGGCCTCGGCACTTGAGGTGACAAAATGAGATGTGACACATGGCATACACGTACACATGTGGCAGTGATACCATGAACATTAAACAGATATATGAATTATATTGAATTATCATGAATTCAACATCTGCCTTTTTTAAAATGTTTAAATGTAACATGAGGGCAGCCATGCGATCTCCGACCAAGTCACGGGGGCAGCTTCATAGCACGCAGCTAACGCAGCCTGAAGGAACTTTGCCTTCAAACCATCTCGGCCGGGCATTCGCAAACAGCGAACACCTGAAGAGGTCGCTTCCACTGGTTCTTTAAATTGTAGCCGCTGTAGCTTTGTCGCTGTAGTTTGGCTTCTTGTGGCATGCGTGTCTAGCAGAAATATGCAGAAATTCTGTTGGGAACGCAGTTGGACAACTTCGGGCGAGTACTATTTGAGATGGCATAGGAGTAGTACAGAAAGCATACAAGTATATCTACCGCAATCCAATTTTCTAGGCTGACACTGCAGGACCCCTCTACCAACATCCTACGCAAACTACTGAGGAAAAGCTTTCAACAATGAAGTTCCGGATGCCAGGGGTGTTGTAATTCTAGCCGTCTCTACTTGGAGGCTTGCTGTTCAGCCAGGGAGCTGCAGGAAACCAGGGAGCTGCAGGAAACTAGTAACTAGTAATGATCAGCTGGATCTATTGGGCAACACTGGGCTACATCAGTTACAGTGTGCAGTAGTGGCTGCATTTCAGCCCAGTCCATGTGATATCTCTGCCACTTGCACTGCAGGACTGGCCAGCTGCTTTGTGCTACTTGCCACGCTCGCGCTTGTCCGGATGATGCCACTTGCAATTCCGCTTGAAGTCACAAGTGCCCATCGACCTCTGCTGTCATCTGATGTCTGATGGCATCAACCACCAAAAAGAAAACCGATGAAACTTCGGAAACTTCCAGCTAAGGCCTGGACATGTAGTAAGGGCAAACCGTTGCCCATGGTCTCATTGGAAACCCTTCGGAGTTGAAAGTGACCTACCCACATCACAACATGTCACAACATGTCACAACATGTCACACAATATCCATGATATTCCATGATATTCCATGATATTCCATGATATTCCATGATATTCCATAATACACGGCTGTACCCACATGCTTTAAAAATATGTTGGCCGACACTTAGATGAAACTGCCCATGTCATCATGTCTTCAGGCTGGGCTCGGCTGCCTTCATCCCCTCGGGGTGGTCAAAGCGGCAGGCGGTGCCCACACGACAAGTGCCGTTCTTGGCGAAGCTTTCGCAAATCCGAGCGCCCGGTCGCATGGGAAGACCTAAAGGCACACAACAACACAACAAACACGGACGGCCACGGCACCAAGAGAACGTGAAATATATTATTGAAACATACGGTAACATACGGATGTATATAAATGTGGTTTGAAATAGACTAGTTATTTGATGTGATGAATTTTATGTACGTATCTATATGTATATATGTATATATGTACATGTTAAGTGTTTAAGCCTATCATATGTGCATGTCCAGATCCGTCGCACCTGCGGTGTTCAAACCTTCTCTTGTGGATGCCGGTGGTCCCTGATCCGCGCGCAACTGCGATAGGAAGGCCACATCCTCCATGGGTCGTGGCCCTTCTGCAAATAGTATGTTAAGGTCTGAATACAACATATTTATACGAAATATGCACACGAAAACATGATCATAATTCCGTGTCCCGATTCTGCTGGGGCCGCGAAAGGGTCGCGAAAGGGCGGCGCAAGGGCAGTTTTGGGGAACCATAGTTTTGAACAACCCCCATATGAATATGTGTATAATATATATTATATAATGGGATATTAATGGATGGTATATGGGATAATTCATGGTCATACATCCATACTAATGGGAATCCTCAGCCCGGGTATCCCTGTTAAGCAATGGATTGATTACCATCCCCGCACCATGGGCAATTTGCCACAAGTTGACCATGGCACATATCAGCATCATCCAGTGATTTCCAGTGATGTTGAATGAGTCTCAGGGATATTTCATGATATTTCAGTAGCACCAGATGCATACCACCCCCTACAGGCCCCACATTGAAGGCCATATCGCATCCTATATCTCATATAGATTCATATAGCATCACATAGCATAACTCATTTCCCTCTGCACACCTGTTCCACCTGTTCCACCAAGTCCACCAAGTCCACCATCCATCTCTCTCCATATCTCTCCTCTTCGCGGCCAGCATTGCTATAGGTCTCCCGCAGGAATTTTCTCTGCGAAGTGTCCAGGCCGCCGCCGCTTCTCAGCTCCGCCTCAATGGCCTTGATGGCAGCGGTGAAGACCGTGGACAAGGCCTCCGGCTCCATGGGTGAACGATGTGAACGGAAAACGGGAGAAAACTATCCTAACTATGCCTAACTATGCCTAACTCAAAACATGTCAAAACATATCAACACGACATGCAAAACTGCTGTTTTTGCGGCTCTAGCAATTTTAGCATCCATATCACAAGACATCACGAGACACTCCTCTCTGTGCCTTTGCTGCATTGAGCTGGGAGAGCGCTTTCAGCACGTCCAAGGCCTTAGCCGTTGAGCCATGAAGCCGCAAGTTCCATTGGTTGCCGAGTTCCATTGGGTCCATGCCCCCTGCATTGATTGCATTGGCACAAGATCATCCATCATAAGTCATACGATTCACAACTCCCAACTTCAGATACTTCAGAACTGTAAATCATCGATCTTCTTTCCCTGTTCTGAGAACATCCGAAACCCAAACCTCCAGAAGGCTGAAGCGCTTGGCACTAGCCTGACACAGAAGCCCTTTTGCTGCCATGATCTGTGCTTCGTATCCCAATCAACGTGATTCCATATGATTCCATATGATTTGATTGCGCGACCCTCCTAGTAGATGGTTGCAACATGACGCCCAGCTTTTGAAAGAAAATGGGATGATAAAGTTTCGAATAGTTTCGAAAGGGTGAGAGCCCTCCAGAGCCCTCAATGAAGCTATGACAGTTATGACAGCTATGACAGCTACGGGCATCACATGGCATCACATCATTTTTGACTTTCCCCCCACTGCCTGGCCAGGGCCGTCCAACCCCATCTGAAAGCATTTCTTCAGCGCTGGACCCAAGGTCTCAAACAGCCCTGGGTCGTAAAATTTCACACCTTGGCAGAATTTGGCAGAGCTTCAACTTTGTCGAGCTTTGTTAGCTTCCAAATTCTCACCAGGAATTTATCACTTCTTGAATCTTCTTGAGGTCAAGAATCATAAATTAAATAATTAAACATATTAAACTGACACATACTGACACCTTGGGATCCATATTCATAGTCTAGAATCTTCAAGTCAACTTACACCATTGGTGGCACCATTCATCCTCTGAGTTTCCGCACGCGCTGCAGCGGCGCAAACTGCACACAGCTCCTGGGGTTGTTCGCACAACTCCTGGCAAGTTGCACTTCAATCACATTGTCAATGGCGCCACCAAAGAAAACTATGAACGAAGCTACCCTACTGTAACTACTGTGAAAAACTATCAAATCATATGCTACCGTATGCTACCGTCATCCAGAAACGTTCACAATCGTCACATAAATCATCCTTCATAGTCCTCAATGGTGAACATGGAACAATCACGGCATCGACATCGACATCTCGCCTGCACGGGACGTCGGCTGAAAACCTCTGCCAGGCGCAACATCTGCGGCAGCGTCTCCACATCTGCAGGTTGCACTGCCGCCTGCAACTTGGGTCGTTTCGTGTTTCATATTTCTTGTTTGGGAAGTGTCCATTTTCGGTTGGTTGCTTCAACTGCCTCAACTGTTTCAACTATTTCATGTTATTCATATAGGGATATAGTTTTGGCTCCGGCGGTTCCATCCTTCCAAGCTTCCAACCAGATTCAACAAATCTGTGGCATGAGGGTGACCACTGTGATCACTGTGACCACCTCCAATGCACATCGCCTACAGCCGTGCCTGTGGAGAGGATGAGCGAGAGCGCGCTTCACCTGTTCGGAGCAGCATGGCACAGCCGGCACAGCCGATGGCACAGCCGATGGCGCTCTCGCGCTAGTTGCATCTATAGTTACTATGCTACAAGATGCACACAACATGCATACAATATGCCACAGCATTGCCACAGCATTGCCACAGCATTGCCACAGCATTGCCACAGCATTGCCACAGCCTGCCATGGCCTTCCATCTTCGACTATCCATGGCTATGGCTACGCCATGCTACGCTGGCCTTCGCTTCCATCGTCTCCTTCATCTCCACTGTCCATCCAAGCATAGGCCTGCCAAAGAATCTTCCATACTTTTGGATGTCAAGCTGCGCAATCTTCTCTGGGTGTCTGTGGTGTCTGTAGCTTGCATTCTGGCATGATATGACAAACTCAATTCAGAGCTTGCCTTTTGCCGAGCCTTTGTCTTCTCCTCAGCCCAAAGGCCAAAATCATCGCAGCTGTGCGCATTTGGCTCACAATCGCGTACCACAGTCGAAGCGTCGGTCAAAACATCTCAAAGCCAAGCTGCTTCATCTGCCGCACGGTGATGCTCCTGCGTCCAGGTTTGAACCCTCGAGGCACTTCCTGTCACTTCCTGTCACTTCATGTGCATGCTGATCATGCTGTTGCTGTTTGCTGCTTCACCTGTCCTTGGGGCTTCGGCTTCGGCTGCGGCTGGCAGTTTTGCCCTGATTCCAAAAGCGGTTTTGTTGGAATGAACGTAATGAACGTGCCATGCGGTTTTCATAGAACCTCTTCAAAGTGTGTGACTCTGTGTTTTTCAATGCACACACCACAATTGGGAACAAGTGCCAGTCACATCTCATTTACAAATGCTCTTCTCCCAGCCGCACTTAAACCTCGTTTTTTTCTCATCTCACTGCTACACAGTTTCCTCATCTTGGTTTTCTCCATCAAGTCTGCACGAAGTCTTCCAACACTGGCAGTCACCCATTTCACAGAGGTGATCTAACATGTAGCGATCCACAATTTGCATCAATTTGCACTACGCTGTGACCCCGGAAGCTAATCCTAGCGGCCCTAGCGGCCCTTAGCGGCCCTAGTGGCCCTAGCACATCTGCAACGCACGAATCTCGTCGATGGCTTCCAGCTGGCTCAAATTGCGCGACGCACCCGCGACGACGCCCACCATGTCAGAACTTCTCGTTGTACTTCGGACTTCGACTTCGCCCGCAAACTGTGCGTCAAACGTACCACCACCACACTCCATGAGGACCCAGGTATAGTGAGCGGCCATCCTGCGTTGGAGTCAGCTGGAAAGGGAAGATAGGGAAGAATCAAGATTTGAAACTCATTTTTCCCCTTCTTATCAAATCTCAGAAATCTATAGAAATCTCAGAAATCTATTATCTATGGCCTTGAACATCTTGAACTGAGATGTTGAAGTTTAAGCAGTTAAAACATGTTAAAACTTTAAATGTTCGTTTCCCCCAGGTCCGGCAACAAATGTTGCACTGCTCGCACCACGCCATGGGAGCTGGCACTATAGTCATGACCTTCGGCCAAGGGCCGAATCGACATCTCGATACCGATTCATCATGAAACGTGGACCCCAGTAGGACCCCAGTAGGAACCGCTGGTTCAGCACTACAAAATATAACAACTACAGGATGAACTTGGTGAACCATGCTGAACCACGCTGAATGGTCCGCAATGGTCCGCACCTGCCATGACACCACCAGGCTGCAATCGCGGCGTCCAAAGCTGCACATCTGAGACACAAGACCTTTGCATCGCAGGGGCAGTGGCAATTTGGGAGAATCGCTGCCGCGAGAGAATTTATAAGGTGATTGAGCGAGTATCTATGCACTTGCAGATATACCACGTTGATAATCGTTGATCACGCTGGATTTTCATGTTGAACATGATCGGCCTGGTGTTCTCCCTGCCTACCAAGAAGAAATTCAATTGCAATGAAGATTGTGGAAAAATGACGAAAACATATGCAGAAAATATTTTGGTCAGGTTGCTCGAAGTCATGCTCGCCATCAACGAAGACAAGGTTGGGCGCCTGGGACTTCAACCCATTTCACTAAGATCTTTGAAGCTTGAGATCGTTTCTCAAGTTTCACAGAGGCATAGTTTCAGATAGTTTCACTTGAAGTCACTTGGATGTTGATTTTATGTTGATTGTATCATTGTAAATTGTGTATTATGATTATATGCTGATAGTTTCCAACTTTTCGAATCTTTTAGAATCTGCATTTGATCCGTTCATCCGTTCACTGATCCACCCGTTTCTCCCGTTTCACTGGGCCCTACTGGCCCTGGGCCCTGGCTCGGCTGGGTCGCCAGGCTGGGCCCATCCATCCACGGGCCGCCACATCACTGCGCTGCCGCCACAGCCGTCCTCGACCATTGAACTGGGCGAAGCGAGCCACGGCCATGCCTTGGGTGATCTTGGTGACATGGGTCCATGGAGTCCATGGATGTCCATGGTGCATGGTGAGTGCACCACATGGCAATTAAACTGAGATGTCATGGTTCCATGATCCAATATGATCCACCACTATCACATTGATGTCACATTGATGTCACATTGATGTCACATTGATGTCACATTGATGTCACAATGACTTGGCTTTGGTGATGTTTGGGGTGGTGAAAGATCATTTTAGCATGTTTTCACATTGCCGCATTCCCTTGGTCTGGGGCCGTTTGGAGGGTATATTACATCATTAAACTATACTAGAATGGCAATGACAATACCTTTCTACACCGGGCAAGACCTCCTCGAAACGACTTCACATGGCAAAGAAAGTGCAAAGAAATTTGAGCCATGAAGACATATGAAAACATAATAAAACATATGGAGACATATGAAGACACATGAAGACCTAGAAAGCAAGGCAGCCAAGGCAGCCAAGGCAGCTCTGCTGTCAAGCCTCGCATGTTTTCCACAGCGCCCATCTGATCTAATCTGTCAGCACTGACTTGACCATTGTAGCGTCCCGGATATGGGTCCACTCCAAGGAGTGTCAAATTGGGCAACGCATTCAGCAGCAGCTCAGAAGTCTGACCTCGATCTACACCAATTTCCACCATGAAAGGCTCTTGCCCTTGGAGCTGCAAAATGTGTACCAGCACCTACAGAAGGCAGAGAAATCTGCGGCAACTTGTCAGACTGTCACTCCAAAGCGGTGAGTCAAGTTACACTGCGATGTTCTGGCAGTGATACCTTGTTCCCGTTGTTCCATGTTGTTCCATGTTGTTCCGCTTTCTCCTTGTTGATATGCTGTGATTTGTTCTTACGTGCAGGTAATGTCATGAGTCATGATTGTCATGTGACCACCCCAAGGTGCAAAGTAAACGCCCTGTCTGAACTTCCTCCGCTAAAGATGTGACAGGCCGGAGGTCGTCGGAGGTCGTCGGCACCTCTGCCGCACTTCGTGCGAACAACACGGCATCGGGCACCACGGCTCTCAGATGCCCCGCCGTTGCCAAGGCCACTGCGTCCACCAACCACGGCCAGGTCTTGCAACGTGAAGGGCCAGTGGCGGTCAGTGATCAATGCGATGATCAATGTGATGATTAATGCGATGATTAATGCGATGATCATGTGCAATGTGATCTTGATGAGTCTTGATGTCCAAATCAAATGCGCATGCTTTGCAATCATCCAATGATGTCAAATGAAGTTGGATTGGCAAAAAGAACAAACACGCTCCATGGCTTAAACTCTTTTCAGGAACATCGCGACATTCGTTCCCCAATTAAAAAAACTCATCTGGGGTAGCAGCCGCTAGCAGCTTCATGTTGCGATTTCGAATATGTCTAATCCTCCAGCCTGCAACCTCGCAATTCCCAAGAAGCCACCTGCACCAAATCAAAGTTGAGATGGCTATAGATGGCTGTATTTTCCGTGGCTTTCCCAGATCTTTAGATATCTTTAGTATGAACACAGTATGTAGTGCGAAATGAATGCTTTAAGCCTCTGCACGTGGATGGACTCGATGCACTCAGCCTCCAAGGTTTGATAGTGGGTTTTCTTGGCATAGAAGCTCCTTGCGCCAATCAAAGTTGAGCAGTTCATCACTCACCTGACGCTTCTCCAGTTGTCTCGGTGCCATATGGGTGTGATATCAGATACTGACTGAGCTGCTGAGCTGCGTATTTCCTTTTTTTGCATGTCATCTGATGTACTGCGCTTCGCTTCCACCAAAGTGTTTTGGGTACCAAATGATAATCACAGGAACTAAGAATATACAGGATGGTTAACCATGTTAACCAGTTGGAGCACTGAAACTCCCAAGACTTGGTAATTTCCGGCCTGGTTCATCCACACGAGTGCCACGCCAGAAGCTCCCATGTGTTCATGGCCGCCAAATGTCACAGTACCATTCCTCGTGCCGTCTGGCAATGATTCAATGGAACTTCCCACTGCCCCATACACAATCGAGAGTAAACACAATCCCATCCCAGATTGATTGAGAAAGCAGAAATGAAAGCAGTCTGTCCATGTCCAACTTTCCACATGTTCCATTAGTTTCCATTGATTTTCCACTCAATCTGGGCGTCCTTTCCTTTTTGCAAAGCTCGGCCCAGCTGCTTTCGTGGCAATGCCACGGCCCAGGTGGCGAAGGCACGAAATGCGGCCATGACATTCCGGGCCGTCGCAGCACGATGTGCACAGCTGGGCTCAGGCCTCACATCTCGAGCTCAGGTCACGCAGGTTGTTTCCATTCGCCTCTATTGATTTGTCAAAATGTGTCAAAGGTTCATCTTGGGATCTTTTCAATCTTTTCTGTTTGTCAAATGTATTCGAATGAATTTTGAATGTATTCATTTCAGACCTCCAATCGCTACAGGGACATACAGTATACATGTTAAAACATCAAATACATTCAAATACTCATTGTCGTTGCATCTCCAACTGGGCACGACGCGTGAAGGCTGGGAGGATTTGTCGAAGTACACGAGTTGTGTGTTCCGCAGCCGTCAACGCAATTTTCCGCTGCGGAAAACGGGGAGGAATCAAGGCCTGTGCCAAAGGGTTCCTGCTGCTGTCGAAGTTTTGAAGCAAAGCTCATCTGTTGAAGTCAGTGCCCAAAATTCCATCTGAAAAAGAATCATGCGGCGCGGAAATTGAAAATCAACAAACCAACAAGCAACAAACGATAACGATCATCACCCCCAAAAAAAACAAAGATCCCTTGCACACAGTTCCGCTACCGCTGCCTTGAATCAATCGCCCACCTGGGCATCACAAATGCCACATGTCAAAAAGTGACTGTTTTTGGTGCTGCCTGAAGCCATGCCTCGATGTGGATCCTCCCATGCTCCTTGTTCATGTCCTAAGCAGTGCTGGCATTCCCATACGTCTTATCATATGCTGGGATCATGTTCCCAGCCTGGGCACCTGGCACAGCGGCACAGCGGCATCACAGCGGCACAATCTCACCAAGAACATCCGGACATCCAAAATCAAAACACCCCGTCACTTCATGTTCCGATTCGGATTCCGAGAGGCCAAAATTCCCTGCATCCGAAACCAGTGAGCTCACGATGCAAATGGCAACACAAACGCGGGCGGCCATGGCATCGACAACAACTGATGTTTCATGTCGAGTGCACAATTTATGTCCAAGATTGTCCAAGTATGTCCAAGTGTCATGGTCTTTGTCCTGGCACTGATGGAGAAGAAAAGGCCACAGTGTCACATGGGCATGGGGAATCAATTCGCATCAAGTCAAATCAATTCACCAATCTGGACCGGCAACATGCCGACCTGATAAGCCATATAATCATCTGCAATCAACCTATATACCAGTAGTACCGCACAAGGCGGTGGCGGAAGTTTCAAAAATAGGAAACCTATAGGAGAGGTTGGCTGCTGTGAATCACGAATGGCAGAGCGAATCCACTGATGGACCGAAAGGTGGTTGGAGTTGTGTTTTTTGGAGTGGTTGCAATGGTTGCAACGGTCACCTCCGACACAACTGCTGGATGTAGTGTGGTGTACGGCAGCTGTAGTTGTAGTTGTAGCGAAGTGGAGCTGTAGTTGTAGTGTAGTGTAAGTAGTGCAGTGTAGTTTCACTTGTAGTTGTGGTGTGGTGGAATGAGTGTAGTAGTGTGCTGTAGTGTTGTGTGCTTTAGTGTAGTCTAGTGTAGTGTAGTCTAGTGTCGTGTAGTCTAGTGTCGTGTAGTCTAGTGTAGTGTAGTGTAAAGTGGTGTAGTTGTAGTTGTAGCTGTAGTTGTTGCTGTATTTAGTGTAGCGTAGTGTAGTTTACTGTAGTGTAATGTAGTGCAGTGTAGTGTAACTAGTGTAGTGTAGTGTAGTGTAATGTAGTTGTAGCTGTAGTTGTAGCTGTAGTTGTAGCTGTAGCTGCAGTAGTTAGTAGTTGTAGTTGTAGTTATGGTAGCGTAGTGTAGTGTAATTAGTGTAGTGTAGTGCAATTACTGTGCTGTAGCGTAGTATATTTGTATTTGCAGCTGTAGTGGTACTGTAGTCTAGTTGTAGTTGTAGTTGCAGTTGTAGTTATCTATCTACCTATCTAACTATCTAATACTATCTATCTATCTATCTATCCATCTATCTGCAAGTTTGAAAACAAAGCTATTCTGCAAGGCTTCCTCCATTTTCGAAGGTGACAACATGAAAAACGCAGCAATTCTGCAAGACTTCAATGTAGTTGTAGTGTACTGCAATTAGCGTAGTGTAGTCTAGTGTAGTTGTAGTTGCGGTTGTAGTTGCAGCTGTAGTTGTAGTGTAGTGGTAGTGGTAGTTGTAGTTGTAGTTGTTTATCTATCTATCTGTCTATCTGCAAGCTTGAAAACGAATGTATGCATGCATGCATGCATGCATGGATGGATGTATGTATGTATGTATGCGTGGCTCATAATAAATCCATCCTTGAAATGCTGCCAACAGCAGCCCCAGATGGCCCGCCTCAGCGTCCCGGGCATCCCGGGCGTCCCGGGCGTCCCGCGCGTCACCGTTGCCGTCAGCGTCGCCGGCCAACTCGCCTTCCAGTTCCAGCTGCCATCGCTTCTTCGGCCGGGAAACCACACGGGAAACCATGTGGATCAGGTGGATCCCGAAATATCGGAAGCGGTCTGAAACTATGTGAGAAACTTTATGAAATTATGTCTGATTGGATCATGTTCAATTGTGATCTATTTGTTTGTTGCCATCTTCTCATCTTGTCCGTGAATCTTGTTTGGCCTCAATGGGTTCAAAATGGTCCAAAACCCTGATCGATCTATCAAACCCCAGATCACGTTTCAAAGACCCTAATTTCCTTTCGCAAGAGTGATCTCTGCACCAGCTTTACATGAATTGCTGAAAGTTATCAATGTAAATCTCATGCCTGTCAAGGTTTGTTGTGGGTTCATGCGTTTGTGCCTTTTGAGGTCTACACATGCAGCTTTCGATGCACAAATTTTGCATGCCCAGCACCATTGAAGTCACACAATGACGCACAAACACAAAGAAATTACATAGTTGGGCACAGAAAAAAAGAAGGTGGGCCTGAGAGTGCCTGATGTGACTTTCTCGACAAATGGATAGGCCCCAATAAATCCCAATACATTCAGGATGATTTATCGATTTTTTGATCTTCCAACTTCAGCAGCAAAGTTTAGCCTTTTCTGCTGCTCGCGATGCATCGGGGTTGCCTAGCGCAAATCTTAGGCACCTGTCAGGAGGTGCACAAACAACATGTCCATTGCTGTGTCCTTCACCGGAAACCCGGTTAGTAGAACAGTTCCCAATGCAATACAGGACAGTAGAACCCATGAGTTTGGCACGACAATTCTAATTGATATCTACAATGATTTTTGATGATTTTTGTTTATGCATTTATTTTGGTTTATGATATCAATTGGCATTATGTACCTGTGGATAATCTAATTGGCATTTGATCTGTGCAAAACCTGGGGAAGCTCCGCAGCAACCAGCCGTACCTGGCCGTACCCTTTTGCGGAGATCCGCGAAACCGCTGCCGGGCGCCAGCGTGCTGACGAAGCTGTCGACGTCCAAATGGACCACCTGTGATGGAGATGGCGATGCCACGCGATGCCATTGTTCTGTGGTCAACATTGGTCAACGATGCATTTTGAAACTTCCCACTTGAATTTTGACCGTGGAATTTGCAACTGGAGAGTTGCCAAACTCGTGCGAGTTTTTGAGCTCGTATTTAGAAACTGTGAAGATGGTATGTTGAAACTCATAGTTCGAAACCAATTTCCCGAAACTGCTAAGCATCCATAGTGTGTGAAAGTTGGGCAAGATGAGTGGGAAAATCCTAGTTGCAACAGCTGCACAAGATTTGCTTCCAAATCTGCTGCAAAAGAATAGTTCCGCAAGAAATAATTGTGAATGCACCAGAGGAGTTGCGGAATCCTAGTTGCGAAATCCAGAAGAGTTTCGAAATAGGACTTTATTCATGCTTTATCCCCATCATTGATATAAACAGCGTGCATATACGATTGTATAAGCAACCCACATATTGTGCAGCACATCAACATAGAAATTCCCCACCAGCAGTTCCTGTACCTGGAAAGGGGGATCCAATTTCTGCAACTGTTCCTGTTCAGCGACGAGATTGCAGCATTTTTTGGCAGAATTTCCAATGAAGATTTGCAGAAAGAATCAGAAAGACATAAACACCAAACTTAGGAGAATCCTGGAGAATCCTGGAGATGTGTTTGGTGAAACACCATGTTCAAACTATCCTGGTGAATCCTGTCAGAAAGGAGCCCGCCTCAAGTTCTGCTCTCTTCTTGCTTGGGCAAACCATAGATACCTTGCACCCAAGCAGCTGGATAATCCAAACCTTCGCTTCGACTCATTCTAAAAACAGATGCAGTGACTGCAAGTGCTCTGGAAAGGATGCTGGCTTGAGAAAAAATGATGAGAAATGTATCAAACCATTAGAGTAACTTCAGTAACTACTTCCACCACATGCCAGTGCTGAGTTGCAGTTCGCCCAGCACCGCTGAAGAGAGGCGCAATGTGTTTCTGCATTGCTGCTCGGACCGAATCCTGCTCAGCTTGAAATCTGCTTGGGCACCACGAAATGCTGCTTGGAAGCCTAGGAATGCCTGGGGTCCATGAATCTGAAAACCGCCCAAGACACCACTGGCATTGATGGTTTCTTTGTGCGCCTCTGTAACTGCCTGAACTGCTCGCAGGAGCCACTGCAATTGATCTGGGGGCGACCGCTGCAACCTGAGACATTTCAAGCAAAATGAAGAAAAATTAGACAAAATGAGGCAGTTCAATAAGATTCCAACAAAATGAAGCAAATCTCGATAAAGCTCACCAATAATTCACCGGCTGTCCACGTGTCAATCGTTTCCCATGTGAATCCAAGTGGCACCATTGCGAATGCTTCCTCCATCGCACCTGCCAAGCAGCAACTTAGCAACACACAGAAAGCACATCGCTGCCGCTGCCCAAGCCTGGCACTGTGTCCACTGGTTCGATCAATCCGAAAAGCACACCACCTCGGAGCAAAGCTGAGACGAGCGCAGAAAACATCCCTGAAACACCAAGCAATGAAGCCATGAAGCAATGTAATGTCTGGATCTGACTGGCATGTTTTCTTCCCGAAATCATTGAACGTCATGCACCAACCCGATTCAGGTCACATGCACATCCTCTTGATCTATGTGTAGATCAGTTACGTGTGATCTATACAATCATTCTACACATGCATATTTTATTTAACTGCATGCCAGTGTACATATATCCCATAATATTTACATATATAAATCATATATATATATAATCTCTGTGTGTGTGAGATTATGTTTTGAACATACCTAAATCATCCTAAATCGATCTAAATCAATCCTCCACCAATCGGACTCTTCTGGGAACCGGACTCTGGGCTGCTTCCAACGAGCACGGGTCAAGGCCCTCCTCGCCGTCCTCGCCATCCTCGCCATCCTCACCTTCTTCGTCCTCCATGGGCCCTGCGCGTAGGGAGGAGCGCCGCATGGATGGAAATGGATGGAAGATTCCAGCATTTGGGAAAGAGATGGAGAAAAAAAATGAATCTAAGGCTTCGTTTCTAAGGCAGCAAATCATTGCATTTCATCACGTGCAGTTCTCATTGCATCTTTGTTTTCGCTCTCGCATCGCAATCTGTAGAAGCCGTGGATGCTCGATGCCTTCGCCTTCTGAGCCTTCTGAGCCTTCTGTGCACAGTTTCTGCACAATGGCACCCGCCGCTTCGTAGGCGGCAACAGGATTTGTGGCCTTGAAACTCAGCCAGGAAAAAGGACACATACCGACACGACCGACACGACCGACACACGACCGACATCGGGGCCATTGTCAGTGCCTGGTGGAGAGAGAAGGTGAGCTTTCCGGCCTCCAAGTCATGGCTGATGCCGTAGCTGTACCTCTGCTCCGATCCGAGAACTCTCCAGACTCTCCATAGCTCTCCATGTGCCATGTGCCATGTGCCATGTGCCGTCTCCAGCCTAAGGCCCCGACGCATGGCCCTTTCCACGGATCTTCCGCCAAAAAGGCCCTTCCAAAGCTGTGATGTACTCAATGGCCACCTCAAAGGGCAACTGGAGGGCAACTGAAGGGCCACTGGAGGGAAACCAAGGAAACTTGCTGAAACTCCACCAAGCCCAAACGGTTCCATCAGTTCCAATTCTTTTTTTTAGTTTGTTGCTATCACCATGCATGCCCCAGCCAGTTGAGCACACACGAGAATGCCGTATGTGCCAGGACACCAACAGTGGAGCAAGCTCAGGTGATCTAGGATCAGTGAATGAGTTGCACTGCACCAACCAATAGTTCGACTCCTGACCCACGGTTGAACTGATCAGCGGGGAAAGGATGGAAGCTGGGCAAGGGGAGGTTGCAAAGCAAACCATGGAAATTAGATTTTTCACAAGCGTCGTTTGCCCTGCTTCCACTGTAATCCTCCTCTGGTCGTAAGCAGTACACTTGTCTATCCGTTGCCGTTACAAATCCAAACAGAACTAGAACGCAGGCTATGGACTCGATGGTGCAGGATCAAAATCAAAATTGCAACTTCCCCGGAACACTGAAGGGGTCACTGATATGTCACCGCCGTCCTCAGCAGTACAAGAGAGGAGGCAGCCGCAGGTGCACCTGGTGTCTAACTCCATGTCAGCCATGGCAGTCATGACCAAAATCAACTACCCAAGTATACCATGCATATATCAAAGATGCATCTATCATTCATCATATCAAAAGATATCAAGATAATATTCTGTATAATATATATATGTGTGTGTGTGCGTGTGTGTGTGTGTATGTATAAATTATGTTTAGTAGTGTTTACTCCTCTAGATCCTAAGTCTCTTCCATTTCCTCCAGGCCAGTTTTCGCTGCCCCGGCACCCCTCTGGAGGGCGCAGCGCATCGGCCGCGTAGAGCTCACGCCGCAGGGCGGGCAAAGGCGTCGCAGGTGCTGATGCATAGCCTCCATTGCCTGGGACACACGCATACACGGCTCGGATGAGGATATCGATCCAGCGATCAGCAGTTGAAAAGCATTGGTATTATTGGTATCACACCATTTTGAGAGATCATGGGCTTTGGGCTGGGTTTCTCGGCATTCTCTGAAGGGCATAATGTATTGTCTGACAAAACTTCTTCTGAAATGACCAAACTGACCAAACCCTACCAGCTTCGTCCGACTGCGCCTCCAGTCATAAATGGCCCATGGCACCAAGGCGTAAAAATGGCTGTCTCCAACGCAGCAATGTCGCCGGAGATGTATGCCTCGGGGACACGGCCCTGAAGCACAAGCACAACCACAACCACAACAGCCAAACAAACAAACAAACAAACAAACAACAACCACCACAACAACAACAACAACAAGAAGAACAAGAACAAGAACAAGAACAACAACAACAACATCATCATCATCATCATCTTTCGACCACGTTCCAACCACGTTTCAACATGTTTCAACCAGCATATTTATTGTTTTCGTGGGTCTTGGGCTGTGTACCTGGGCTCTCCTTCCCCTGAGCCACTTGGAAATGCATCTGAAGGAAGAGAACTTGAGATAGTCTACCTACACCCGCTAGTCAGATGATTCAGATTCCAGTGATTGAAGATGATTGAAGTAGGTGCAGTAGATGTTTATAATGGGAACTATGCCACATCATGCCACCATTTCAGCTGCAGAATCTCGTGCCAGAGCCCTATTCCGACCCTGGTTCCCCTCTCGTCGAGTTGCCAGCGCCCCCGGAGCCAGCAGCACTTTTCGCAGCTCAGACAACTCGAATGCTGCTGCGCCCAATGCCACACCCTCAGGATCCTCCAAGCCCTGCACGGTTCAAGAAGTTCGATTGGCTAATTTCTGTAAAGTTTTAAAGGAAAAGGACTGCATAAGGACAGCAGCTGGACAGCAGATGTTGAGAGTGTTCAGCCGTTCAGATCTGTTCAGCTGATGTTGCCCAAATTTCGCCCAATTCGATCAAATTCGGCTGTTCCATTGAGCTGGGAAGTTCATGGAAGTTCCACAAGTTCCCAGTGCCTTCAGCAACTTCTCCACCCGGAACACATTGAATGCGCCGTGGGCACTGCTGTCGCTGTAGTCGAATGCTGACATAGCCAAGCGCATCAGGCCCTTGCGTGCGTCATCCAAGACATTCAAAGACCATTGTGGTATCATCTGGTATAGACTAAGTGACCATCCTGATTTTATGGTTTGTTGCGTGTTGCTCATGCAGTTCACAAGGCAATCTAATCATTTTATGTCATTTTATCATGCTCAATCCATGGGAGAATTGCTTCAAATATCTTCAAAATTGTCAAAATTGTTCACGCGGAGACTGCCTTCCCATTTCGTTTTCTGTTCGGCACATCATTCAACATGCGCTTCACCGCCACGCGAAGTCTTTCCACTGAGAACCTCAGGGTCTCAGCAAGGCCTTCCACGTTGACGCATACAGTGCCCATGCAAGGTGTCAAGGATTGTCACAGAATTCCGTTCCTTTTTGATGGTCTGAGTCTAGGACCAGGTAAAATGCCCAAAGATTTTGTCTTTCCCTAGTGGTTTTCTACAGAAGTTTTTCAGCGCCTCCATTCCTTATAGACACTGCTTCATCATGCTTCATGAATCCTCCACATCCTACACTTGTCCTACATGGTTCTTAGCATTTCTCAGCCTTGCAGTCAGGAAACTCTACATCTGCGAGCAGGCGGGCAATCAATCGTGGCGCTGTCTCGTACTGCGAGCGTTCCACCTCACGTCCAAATCATCTTGTGTAAGGAAAACATGATGATAATGGTTCGAAGGATACATAATGATACATCATCAAGTCTGCCATCTGCTATAATGAGCTCTATCTATCTATCTATCTATCTATCTATCTATATGTGTGTGTACTACATATATATATATACATAGTTATCACCATATATTCACATTAGTAGAATCAACAGCTTCCCAGCTGGCCTTCATGGACATATGCAGCATGTTAGCAGCTTGTCCCGCGCGGAAGCGTCCACCACCCAGGCCAACACTGAAGCTCCGATGCACCACGGTATCCTTGGCTCGCTCCAGAAATGCGGCACATGATATACGGTATACGGATGTATACGGTACACCCCAAAGAATGATCTTCAAAAAATGAATGTGAAAGTTCTGACCTAAATTCACCCAAAAAAAATGATGAAGTACAATAAACCATCAATAAACCCTCTTAATAAGCCCTTTTATTAAACATTATTAAACCATCCATTGTACTTAATTTTTAGTTGTGGGATTTTGATACCGAGGGGCAGTGAGGAGTTGGACGACAGCCTCATGGCTGAGAGCCTGCCAAGCTTTGCACCACGCTGACACGAACGGCGCTACGGAATGTTGCGGAATGAGTTCAATGTTCTACAGTTTTCCATCATGGATCTTATGAGGATGAGTACAAATAAAGTAAATAAACATATATAGACCATCATCAATTCTCGTTGTTTCATGTTGTTTTTTTCCAATCGTCGTCTCCAGTTTCTACACCAAAACTGATCACCGCCGAACAGTTCGGGCAGCTGCGCGCCGCTTGCGCCTCTCCCAAAGGACTGGCCACCATGGGCAGCTCGAAGGCCGTGTCGCACCACAACGGCAGCAACTCCTGGCGGCGATCTGCTAACTACATGGTAAACTACATGTGACCCGAGGATGGCCACCCGGAGATGTCAAAACGTGTGGGGAAATTATGCTGGGATCCACAACTGCCAATCGGAATGCCGAGATTGCCGGGATACTAATCGGAGTGGATTGGTTGCACTCAGTCGCTCCACAGGAGAAGTTTGAATGCACAAATGTATGAAGACAACATACGCTACTGATCACACTGATCACTGCTCTCTGGCCATCAGTGAAATTGCCATCACTGACTCAGTGTAAACTTGTAAACATCACACAGATCACAACGCTGCGAGAGCTGCATGGTTTGCCGCTGGCCCCTGGAGTCCAGCTGCCGGGTGGTCAGGGACGTCAACGGCACCATGATGTTGCAGGTGATGAACTGGGCACCTATCTTAAGCAGAAGGCAACACCGCATATCTTAGGCCAGCCGGCTGTTTGATCTGTTTGATCTGTTTGATTCATGTGACGATTCCCAGCCTACAACATGATCCAAATGGAAGTTCATTGGAGGCAATCCTTTCGCTGCTGCTTTTGCGACTGTCTCCTGCAGTCATGGGATGTCATGGGAAGGGCCAACCAGGTAACCACGTTCATCCAATATGCAAAAACATGCATATTCAATAACCAAACATACCAAAATTACAAAATTACCAAAGCTTTCAGACGCTCAAATGAGGTGGGCTATTGTAAAACAAGCAGGTTGCTCCATGAGTTGGTTTCTTGGGCTGGCCCTGAAGCAGTTTCAACATCTTGATTCTCGCCTTCAGACGCGCAGCATCCTTTCCGAAAACAGCTTCTGCCACCCCATTCTTCACCGTAACTGTGGACACATCCTGAGCGCACCATGTACCGTGAATCATCCGTGACCCCCTTCTGAATCCCAAGAAGTAACAATTCTGCACTCTTCAAATCGCAAAATGGAATCTCACTGGCCAATGTCGGCCAAGTTGCAATCAGCTGAACTTGGCCAACGTCTGGGATTTTGAATTCTGCCGAAACTTCCTCAGGCGTTTCGACATCATTCTCCTCCTCAGCAACAGAAAGTTCTTTCCCTTTTTTCTTCAGGCCATCTGTTCCCAAGCTTTTCTTCTGCAGTTCGATCCTCGCAGCGTCTTCTGCTTGGACCTTTTCTCCCGCAGCTTTGGAAGGGCGTCCCACTACGGTGACGCCTGGGTTCTCGGACAGAAAGGTTCGGCACAGCTGCGCCCAGCGCTCTGCGGGCCACGCCAGCAGCGACTCCAGGGTCCCAGGCGCATCCAGTCGCGCGCGCACCGAGCGCCCGTCGCTGCCGGTCGCGGCGAAGTCCTCGGCGTACAAAAAGGCACCGATGATTTCGCCGCTGAAGAGGTCCTTAGTGATGTAAGGTGAATGTAAGGTGCATCAGGTGCATCAGGTGCATCAGGTGCATCAGGTGATATCAGGTGCATCTAGTAAGAGGATGTGAGAGGTCCGAAGTAACTAAAATTCACAACTTAGGTTCTTAGGTCTTGGTGCCGCTCGGTGGCTCTGCCATGACAGCCAATAAAAACAGCTGTCACAAATGCCACGACATATGGAAAGCTTCTATTTTGTCTTTTTCAACGAGAGCATACAGCAAGGAAATCATCCAACCCGACCGCTTACGGGAAGGTGCTAAAAAGAAAGAAGCTAACACTTGTGAGGAAACCGCACGTCCCAGTCATCCTAATCAGCTTTGGTCGCAGCGAGAAGCTCTGCAGCAAGTTCTGCTTGCGTCTCGCCAGCATGGCAAACATCATAAATGCAATCTTCAAAGAAATGCGTGTTCTCTGTGGCATGCGCCTCTCCCAAGTGCTTGGAACAAATTTCTTTGGCCAAACCTTTTTCAGTATCATTGCAGCCTTGCCATTGGAACGAGGCGATGCTCGATTTGTGTCAACATGTGTCAACTAGCTGAAAGTACAAGGCTGCTTATTCACTGCCGCCGAGCTCTTGCCACTTGCTATCCATTCTGAGTTCGGAGTCGGTCGACATCTGCAGTGTAGACAGCGACTTGCGTGCGACCTTCAACTCACCGTCCACAAACTGCTGGTCGCTCTTGCGATTCATTGAGATTTGGAGATTCATGTGGCTTGGTCTGCAACTGAGACTCATGACTGCTATGTCTGACTTTCCATGCTTACCATGCTTGGTGTTTATGTTGAAGCGCACACGGTTGGGAAAGCCATGGCCGCCACGGCCGCTATGGGCCGCTATGGCCACCATGGCCACCGCCACGAGGACCGGTCACGGTGCGGTCGAAATCTGTCACGACGTCCTTATCGAAGATGAGCTCTGCATTGATCTGCATCGTCTATCGAGTCTATCACTTCCAAGTCATTCGTCTATCACTTTCCAATACTTTCTGCATCGTCTTTCCAGTTTTCGTTTCTCCGTGCTTTCCACATCTTTCCACTCCTGGGAAGTGATCTCAACGTCGCATCCTGGTCGATGAGAAGCAGGCCCTTGGTGAAGGACTGGTGGCCAATCCACTGGGAATTTCTTGGTTCCGGCAACCTCTTCTGAATGCAAGTCCGTCAGGCCTGAGAAGTGCCGGGAAAAGGTCCCCTGGCTGAGAAGAGTGTGCTCGCCATCCAAAGTAGTGATGTGCGGGTCACCAACAACTGTGCTGGAGGGCCCATATAAGTACCATCCACTACTGGGATCACTCTCTTCAAAGAGGTCTGGGCACCTGCAAGCTCGATTCCCTGGATTGAATGGAGCAAACAGAAATCCCTTCCAGTTGTTCAAATTGGTTCCACAGGTGGCTGCACATTGAGAAGCAGTGAAACCCAACGCAAATGGACCAGGATTGTCGCATCTGCAATGGGGTCACAGGACTTGATAGCCAGAAACAGTTGATAACGCGGCTCCTTGACATCCAAAAGCCGTCGCTCATTGGTTTTCTGCCAGCAGCCATCCTCAAGAGGCTGGAGTTCAGCTGCGGGGCATAACGGGGCTCACAGTCAAGAGCGAGAGTGCCATGGATGCCATGGGCGACATGGCGAGATATGTGAAATCACGAGTGTTGTCTTGAACAAAATGGCTACGGATGCATGGAAAGTTTCATAAAATCGGGTGTGAAGTGGTATACATGTCTGTATGACTCGCCGAGCAAGTTGAAAACATCATATCTGAAAATAATTGTATGATTGTGTCTGATTCAATGATTGTGGTATACGAAAGGAACATAAAGTAACTATAGAAATGCAAAATCAGGCGAAACTATGCGAAACTTCAGTCCCAGCGTCATGTGGATTTGACTCCACCGCGGACAAATGCTGCCGTTGCTTCTGGCGGATCACACTGCGCAAGCGCAGCAAGTCGATGCCCTCAGCCTTCGCCGTGGCTTTCAAGACCTGAGTCGACCACAAGTTGCGAGGGATTATTTAAATTATTGGATGTGGCGTTATTTCATGAATTTCATGTTAGAGGGTCAATGAGGTGACAGAGAGGTTAAAATCAAAGCCTCAAAAAAGAAAGGTCTACAATGTCAACAAGACACCAAAAGACTATCAGAGTTTCAGAATGTTTCAGGATGTAGCATGGTGTAGCTCCAGAATACGCCGGATCCATCCGGATCCATCCGGATCCACTTTCATTGCCGAGATGGAGCCTTAGGATTTAGACGAGGAACCGCTTGCACCTCCGAAGTGACATCCCGTTTGGAGAGTTGCTCAACATCACAGCTCTTCAAAGTGATATTGATCAGCCTAGGTGCGGGACATGTCTCCAAATCAATCTGGATGCAGCTGTAAACACTGTAAACTACACTTGAAACCATTGTAGACTGTGTAAAATGTGTAAAGTGTATGCAGTTTCAACATGACAAAACCAAGTCATGAAATAAAAAGAACAGTGACGGTCTCAGTGACAACTCAATTTTCATCCAGCAGCTGCGTTTTGTATTCATGCAAGCCCTCGGAGATTTTGCCACACAAGGGTGGTGTAGATTCCACCAAGGCCTTGCGCAAGGGTGAAATGGAGTCCTCACCTTGGATCACAATCAGAACATGGAAAAACTGCAGAAACCATCAGAAACCTGATATCTACTGCAGTCAGACAAACAATTTTCAGAACTTGATATCTACTGAAACTGGAATTTTTGAGGGGCTGCAGTATGCTGCAGTCGAAGAACAGAGGTAAGCCAGCAGAACCTTCAAAGCCACCACATTCTCGAGGTCGGACCATTCTGCAGGGCTTTGGATCGACTGTTAACATTGGAAACTGACAGAAATGACTCCGTTGACGTCCATCGTCCTGCCATGTCCTGCCTGGACCATGCCAACAAAGCTCACAGATTGCTCCGGTGCTTTCATCCTCTGCGGGAAATTCTAGCCTGCACCGAATAGCTATGAAGATCTATGAAGCCAGGGCAAGAGAAGTACGCTATGCAAATCTATGCAAACCTGCACAAATTGCACAATCCTTTCTGAAATAAATGATCCAAATTGATCCAACATCACAACAGAAGGCCTCACTTCCTGTTGCTTGTCAGGCCGGGGCACTTCCGTGGAAAACGGCCTACAGACTGACAGTCAGAAATCCATGTGAAAAATGGTGCGCGCTTGCGAGTGCGTATGATTGTGTAATAATTTGTGTAATTATTATTAGTTATTGAATTGTATTGATGTTCTTTTCCAACAGCCCCACTTTCGGCCTAACCATCGGAGGCAGGGACTTGAAGCGGCTGGTGCGGATCGTCTCCACTGTTGGTGCACAGGCCGTCAACAAGTCCCGCAGAGGCACCTAAGCTTCCAAGGTCCACTGCCGCCCAGCCTGCGACAGTTTCACTATTAGCTATTAGTGACTGTTAGCGACTAACATGCCTGCTCCAAGGCACCTGTCCAGTCACGATGACACAAAAGTTGTCTGGCCTATGCAAGATATGCGGAGAGAAATCATGAGAAATCTGTCTTGACCAATTCTGTATGATTCTACTCTCGATGAAGAATTATCAGATTGCTCCATGTGTGAGGTGAATCAACACCTATATCTTTGCAAGTCTGCCCCGAAACTATATAAAACATGTCTGTGAATTGATACATGTTACATATGTACATATATATATTATATATCTATATACCCAGGGAGTCCAAGAGGAGGCAAAGTATCGTCTTTCATGAGAGGCTGAACTTTGGCGTGACCGGTCGAACTTTGGCACCCTCAGGGGTCTCAGGGGGCTCAAACAGTAGCACCATATACAGCTACATTACAACATTAGCTCTCATACATATGATTCTGACAATTAGAGTGTGAAAATGGGATGACATTGATAAGACATGATAAGAAATATCATGATGACTCACCTTGGAAACCAGTTGGGTGTCAACTTTTTGTCTCTCGCCCGTGGCTGTCCAATGATGACCGGTGATGAGTACTGCAACCTTGGCTCCGAACGTCCGGGCCTAAACTTTCTGGGATTGGTGGTGCAAAACTGGGATAGACATGCGTATTGCATTACTTTGATCACATGAAGCTGATGAAATCTACATAACATGGTGTGTAACCTGCACACTGTGATTCAAAATTGTAATAATGAAGTATTTGGATGTGCCTCCAAATTTCTTAGGTCAGCTTCCAAAGGAATGGGAAAGCGCAGAAAATACCTCCAAGGACTGCATGTTGCAGGTCTACAAACTGAAGAATAGCAGTTGTAAGTAAAACTTGGTTACTTTGATTGAATGTTTCGGGTCCATCATGGTGATGATAATGATCTCTATGGACATGATGATGATGATGATGATGATGATGATGATGATGATGATGATCTCTATGGACAGCCTGTGCATGCAGGACATGATGATGATCTCTATGGTCTGAACTCGGACCAGGAGGATGAACCGAGATTTGAGGGTGCGCTCCGCTCTGTGCACTACTAGTGTGGTAACTGTGTCTGTGGCTCATATCATGGTGTATGATATCATGATTGCAGCATGTGTTGCAAATTCTTGCATACAGTCCATACTGGCTGCGACATTTTGAGGAATCATACGGGGATCAAAAGGACAAACATAGGACAATCTTTCCAAAGAATTTCATGGATTGGGCTCCCTGGGTAATATATAATTACTGGACTCCCTGGGATATATCGATCAATACTATACCGATTATATATGTAAATAAGCATATTAAGGTATATAACACTTATAAATGAAACATAAGTTTGATCCATGCAACAGCTCTGCCACACCAGCTAGCAGTTCTATGCCGGGCAAGCGCCGTCGTCCAAGTAGAATGGATGGAGGGCGGCTGGCACTCCTGACGGACCAATGGGTGGGTGATATCTGAAGTCATTGATGCTGTTTGGACAACCCAAAAAATTATTGTTCTTTGGAAGGACTTCTTCACAGAACTATGTGACGAAGATGGGTACATCAAAAAGCGACGGGCTGACATCAAAGCCAAAAAAGGTAGCAAGGCAGGTTGAATTTCAGGGATGTTGTTTGTTGTGAAGCACAATGCATACACTGGTACATTCAACAACTGATGCATGTGATCTACCACAGAATCATCGTGGAAACAAACAATAATGAACATTGTTGATATTTGATGCAACACATCATCAACCACAATATGACCTTGTTAGACCTGACCGTTGGGACAGGCCTTTTCATTTGTGGACCTTGTGGGTGTCGATGTGTTGGGAGAGGCCGAGGTGAGATCTGCATGAGATTATGATATATACATCCATGCAGCATACATGATTCAGATCGATTATCAATCCAACATGCTTTGTAAATTGGATTGCATTTTTAAGTGTCAATTGCAACTGCCTACGTCATCGGAAGGTGGAAAAGGACGTCAACTACACTTTTCTCGGCAAGTACTTGGCCACGTTTGCAGGTGACCTCCCAAGAAAGATCGAGGTGGAGGACTGATGTGCCACTCATATGTGATAAATAATTTATTTTAAGTATATTTTATATCGATCTGCATTGAACTTCTGATCGGGGTACCTTCAATTCAATACTGAATTTGTTCAATCAAGATACATAATACATCTGCAGTGTAACAACTGCAATACATGCACGTCTCTTAGATCGTGTGAGGAGGCCCTGTGCAAAATGAGCCATAAGTTTGGGCTGAACCCGCACTTCCAGAGAGGAGGCCAACATGAGGCCCCTGACTGAATCAAAACCATATTCACTATGAGATGTTCCTATAATATGGTTTGCCCTTACCTTCTAACTAGTAGTGTGGATTAGCACACTTTCCCATACCGAACCCCAATCTGTCCTCAACAAATTTGCCAGGCATGGGCACGCACTGAAGGTGGCCTGGTCAGAGCAATGGCATCACATGTGGCGAACAAGACCCAAAAGACCGACAAGTGCAGGCCCATCAAAAAAGATTACAAACATAAAATTGGAATATTCTATAATTTATATTATATAGGACTGTTTTCATGCATGATGATATTCATAACTCATCCAGTTACTTCGACATATTCGGAATCTTTGAGTTGAATTTGGGCTACATACTCGAACCTTTTTGCTGTCATGTTGTTTCATCACCGGGCCAGGAAAGGCCATGAGAGGATGAGTGTGCTGAAGCGCATTATTCTCATGAAATGCCAGGCAGGATTGACGATAGTGATGATGCATGATATATCAAATGCAATCCATATAAAATTGTTATTATGAAATTGGCAGTATATAATTCACCCATTCATGGTTTCATGGTTCCAACTGAGCAGTTGTTTCATATGTTTTATTGTTTCAGGAGAGAGGCATTCTGACCCCCAAGAACAAAAAGCTTCCAACACGTGGAAGGTCAACGTACGAGATCAAGGCCATTTCTGAATTGCATGAGTCAGAGACTGTTTGTCAAAGTTGGAAAATACATAACAGTGCACGCACAACATATCTGTTTCAATAATTGTGCATAATTTATCATATATGATGCATCCTATCCTATATATAAAAAATATAATAGATTATAATAGTATAGATTCGATTATTAATTGTTCAATTTGGCCGATAGGCTAAGAAGCTAAAACGAAGCGATGCTACAGAAGCCTTCGGACCAGTTGGCTCCACTTCTGATCTTGCAGAAACCCTTCCACTGTCACCGGGAATCATGAACATACAGCCACCACAAGATTCACAGCCTATGGATGAATCACAGACCCTATCTGTAGATGATTCCCAACCTGTGGAGGATTTGTTTGCTCAAGGTCTTGCGCCAGAGGTTGATACTGAAGACCAGGGTGGGGAAGAGGCAATGGTGGGGGAGGGAGAAAACGGAGAAGAGGAATCCAGTACCGATGACGAAGTGGTTGAGCCAGTCGTCTGCCACGAATTAGCTGAAGTGTTGGAAGCGCAGAAACAACAGGAGAACGAGAAGCAGGAGCAAGGTCCAACACAGGAGATACAAAAGGAAGACAAGTCATCGGCACCAGCTGACGTAATGGAGCAATCACAAGGTAAGAAAACAAAGAATGTACCAGCAGCAGCAACAAAGCAACATGCCAAAGTTGCAGCAGAGCAACCACAAGAGCCACAAAAACAGCAACATGGAGCAAGCACAGAGCAGCAAGAAAAAGCAGCTCCGGAAACCCAACTTGAGTCCAAGGATCCTGAGGTTCCATGTGTTCCGCCTTTGTCCCCAACTGGGGGGATGTGTGACCTGGATTCAGACGAAGAGGAAAGTACTCCAAAGAAAGGGAAAGCAAAGAGTAAGCCACAAGAAAAGACTGAAACAACAAAGGGAACGTTCAAGGACAGGGGATAACTAATGTCGATTGGATCTACAAGTGTTGTTAGTGTTGTAATGCAATACAATATCCAGATTTATATGTCAGGAAGTAGTTGTAACTACTTGGGGTTTTTGGCTGATCTGAAGTTCGGCTGTAGTGTTTCGATGCTCTTGGCAGGACCGGCAGCCTCTTGCTGAACTACCTAAGGATCTTCGTGACGACACTTCGTTGCAAGCCCAGATTGAGGAAGCTTGCACGAGACTCAATGATGCAAAAGATGGCAAAGACGTGGATGATAACCTGCTGAAGGCTTGCTTGTTTGATCGAAGTCTTAAAAAAAGCTATTTTCAAGACTCCTGCTACTACATGCTATTACAATAGCTTACATGCCTTGTTCTCTGCATTTGATTTTCCGAGTTCCTTCATCGAATCATCATATTTGTCAGTTGCCAATGCATGCAGGCCCAAGCTCTTTTGCGAAAAGCCATTCGTGATACTACGGCAGAATTAGATGATGATGATGATGAAGACCCAGACAAACAGCACAAAGATGATGATGATGATGATTCAGATGCAGGAAGGAACAAAAGCAAGCCTTCTCGGGGAAGAGGCAAAGGGCGGGGAAGAGGTAGAGGTCGCACTAGTGGACGAACGAACCAAAAGAAACCGGAACAAAAGGAGTCAAAGACCAACAATGCTGAGAAGGAACTCGATGATTTGCCCAAGTCTAAGAAACCACGCCTTGTAGAACAGCCAGACGCAGCAAATCATACGCTACCAGAAGATTTGGACGATGCTGCCAAATCTGCTGAAGAAAAAGCAGAGCAGGATGTGAGAGACCAAGCTGAGGATGAGCAAAGAGATCATGACCAAGAGCAACAGACAGCAAAGCCAGGCAAAAAAACACCCAAGGCTAAGGCTGCCAATGGTAAGAGGAAAAGGGCTACTACACCACAGAAAACGAAAAGGACAACAACAAAGGCAGCTGCAAAACAGACAGAGCCATGTGAACCAGACAATAGTGAAACTGTCTCGGCAGTCGCTGGGGATGAAATCAAGAATGATGATGAAATGATTGGCACACCAAAAAAGAAAGACAAGCCGAAAGGAAAAGTCCGAACACCAGTTAGGACACCAAAGACTTCGCCAAAGAAAGCTCGCAAAAAGAAACATCAG